AGTGGAGAGGTTATGTCCAAGGTATAGATCGCGCGCCCCTGTTGGATTGCCCACTTTTTGACCTTGAGTAGCGGCGATCGAGGCGCTGCCGTTTGCATTTAACACTTTTGGATCTCTCATCGGATACTCCATGGTAAAAAGTGCCACGTGGCGCTGGGGGTTTTACATTAACATCATCATCGCCGCCATCTCGACACTGCTTTTGTTCTTTTTCTACCATCCGGTATGTTTCTACCGTCTCCCCTACGCTTCTACGGGTGCTGATGAAAGATAGCCGGTGCCTCAGAAGGAGCTCTCCCGCTTTCAGATTCTCAAGACCATCGACTTCGTCGGCTGCGGTCTTTTCATGGTGATATGAATTCTGAATTTCGTCAGAATGACCATTGCTAATAATTATCCCTAGGCTGGGCTTGGAGCTTTTCTACTCGGCCTGACTTGGGCTGCTGGATCATACCCTTGGAAATCAGCACCGGTGCTGGTCCCAATGCTTCTGGGAGTCTTACTTCTAGTTTTATTTGGCCTCTACGGCAAGTTGACCATAACGATGCTCCCTTTTAAGCCTCGCACTTTACTGACTGTCTCGGATAGAAGCCTATGGCTCGTCAAATCCTCTTTTTCCAGGACGGTTATTCAAAAGATCTACAGGGTGCGTTTGCTCAATTTAAGAAACTCGGCCTAGCTGACGCAATCTATTATCACAGGATGATCAGCCTGACCATCGTTGTCTTCATCGGCTCCATCCCGCTCTATGCCATGCTTAGCGGCTGGGCACAGGAAGTGACAATCCTGTTTACACAAGACTCTCTTAAAATCGGCATTTACGGAATCCCTCAGGGAGTAGGGCTGGAGTTTGGCGCCGTTTTTGCTGGACTTCTGGTCAAGATCATCGGGTATACGCACCTCCAACTAACGGCATCAGCTTTCTTTACAACGCTGTTCGTGGCTCTCATGGCGGTCTTGACACCTAAGAGTATCAATCCCGCGTTTGCCTTCCTGCTGTTGGGCTGTATGGCCATGAACTATCTCCAGGTTACTGCAATGATCATGGCACAACTTGGAGTTGAGCATCGTGATCTGGCCAAAGCAACTGGTCTCCTGAGCATTGCCCGCAACGCTGGTGGCGCTATTGCAGGTAAGTTCTTGTTCCGCGGTGCTGCTGACGATCCTGTCATAACAATTATTATTCGATAGTTGCCATGTTTTACTCGATCTTGCGGTCTCGTGTCAGCGCCAATCTGCCTCCAAGAGTGACTGATGCAGTTCTGGCCTTGGGTCTCCCAGAGTCCTCACTGCCTGAGGTATTACAAGGCGTGGCTTCTTTCAATCAGACTATGATCAACGAAGCTCCTGGAGTGACACCAGCCATTGCAGAAGCCGCCGTCTATGCCGGCAAATTGGCATATGCCGCTTCCTTCCGGTAAGGGCTGATCATTTCACAACCCCCAATTCATCGTGTGTCGCTGACAACAAGTTATCCAGAGTGATCTACTATGTCGGTCTTGGCTTGGGTGTGGTCTCGATCGTCGCAGCCTATTTCACTAACGATGTGATATCTCGCATGACCGACACTCTTCAGGTCGACCTGAACGAGAAAGATCATGCACACCTCTTCAAACCTACTCAAGTCGAAGGGGTCGTTCGTGATGAGCCATAATCACCACCTGGTTCTGCCGAGATCTGTGGTAGCTCTCCACTGCTGGCCAAGAACGATATGAAGGATCAAGTTGCGCTCTTGCGGATCGTAAAACGTTGCAGTGCCTATCTAGATATGCGAATTTATCTTCTTTCCATCTCTCAAGTGCGTTCTCCAAGCATGCTACTGTACTGGATGTGGTGACTCGATCGAACTTGTAATTGTGAATTTTGTCCATGTTGATAAAATTCGCGTCCTCGTATCTCGCCACTGGTCCATTGCGAGACATCGAACGACCCTACACGATCATCCACATTACTGTCCAGCGGCGTTAGTTATTGAGGTATCCAGCCTAAACGGCCTTTGCTGTTTGTCCTGTTGTAAACGCCCTCGGCACACTTGCTGATCTTTTTTGGTGTGTGGGGGATGGGATTTTCGCTCGCCAGTGTACCGTACCGTCTGATTTGGGGAGATATGCTTGTGGCTAGTGCCAATTGACGGGATGACGGGAAACCTCTACAAAGTGCCAAACTAACGAGGCCGAAACGGAAGTTGGGGTTAATGGAGCTGGTGCCATTCTCTGGTCTCTGGGGGAACCAGGGGACCCACCTGCAGCCTTGTGTCCGGTTTTCCGGGGTTCGGGTTTCCAGACAACAATAACCCCGAATAGTATTCAAGGCAGTCCGTTTCAAACTAGAATCTAGACCATGGACTAAGTTTCTCCAGCTTTTTGTTTCTAGGGTCGGTCGAATAGGTCAGGAAACCCCGGGCATAGTTCCCCATTTAGTCATCCAAGGCCCAAAGGGAGTTGAACTCTTTAATTTAGGGAGTGCTCGCGGGCGATGGGTGATATCTGCTCTACGGTTACGAGTTTAGGAGTTTCTTTCGAAAATCTGGAATAAGCATTGGTTGTGAACAACATCCAGGACGGGGGTGAGAGGCCTTGAACAAAGGATAATTTTGTTATATTATTCTACCAAACTCTTTTCGTAGGCACGCGAGAAAGAAAAAACAAAATGACCGCCACCAGACGCACCAAGTTTAAACTGAACACCGGGGCTGAGATCCCTGCCCTAGGCTTTGGAACATGTAGGTTTCGCTCATGCCTTACCAAACGCGTAACCACATAAACTGATTGGACGTTTGTCCAGGGCAGGACGAAGGGGCTCAGTATGAAGCATGCTTAAAGGCACTCGAGGTTGGCTACCGACACATCGATACAGCTAGAGTGTTCGTCCTTCCAGGGTCAACCCACAAGTTATGATGCTCTGTTAATGTTAACTGATAGTCAGATATGGTACCGAAGCTGCGGTCGGCAGAGCCATTCGTGACAGTGGTATTCCACGGAAGGAGATATTCGTGACAACCAAACTTTGGAACACTGATCATCACCCGGACGATGTCGAAGTTTCTCTAGACGCCTCGTTGAAGGATCTGGGAGTTGATTATGTCGACCTCTATCTGCTTCATTGGCCCGTTGCCTTCCAGCGGGGTGGCAAACCGCCATTTCCGGTAGACGACAAGGGCAAGGTCATTCACGAGAATATTGATTATGTGGATGTATGTGTTCTTAAGAACCTGCCCGAACCTGCGAAAGTCGACGTTTGAATACTGACCTAGTTTCGTGACCTCAGACATACAAGGCTTTGGAGAAATTGTTTGCTACCGGGAAGACCAAAGCCATCGGAATATCCAATTTTTCCAGAGCAGAACTCGACCGCCTCCTTGAAAAGACTAACGTCGTTCCCGCCGTTCATCAGATAGAACTCCATCCGTGGCTTCAACAAACTTCGTTCCACGAATTCAACACCAGCAAAGGCATCCACGTAACTCAGTACTCGTCCTTGGGCAACCAAAACGAGATCTACAGTCTAGGAAAGACCACCCCTACTCCAAGACTGATCGAGGATCCCACCCTTGTGGAGATTGGCAAGAAATACGGCAAGACAGCTGCCCAGGTTGCACTGGCATGGGGTATCGCCCATGGGCGCAGCGTGCTGGCAAAGTCCAAGACACCATTACGTATTGAAGAAAATCTACAAGGCGACTTCACGCTAGACGCCGAGGACGTGGCGAGGGTGGACAAGATTGATAAGAAGTTGCGATTTGGAGACCCATCGAGCATCTTTGGCTGTGACTTGTTTTCTGACCTGGATGGCAAGCACAAAAACTAAGTGCTTTCGTCGGTCGAACGTCTTATGAACAGTGGTATGATGATATGTCGTTCTATAAAGCAAAAAAGATTAAATCATTCCGACAGGACCTGTGTGTTGTGACCTCGCTTTCCCTAGTCAATCGCTGGCTGAGCTGGTCCTTCTACCTTGATCTTGAGCTATCATGGAAGACTGTTAGGAAAAATCAATGCTCTCGGCTGCCAATGTTGCCAGTAGGATAGGATTGGGCAAGTGTGTGTTCGAAGATGTCAATGTCGTGGATGAATGTAGTCATCACTCTACTTCGCACTTGTTGATTCTTTGCCGCTTTGCCTGGGACTTAAAATACTTTAAACCCCCCCCCCCCTCTTCTCCCACAGGTCATCTCCAATCGACGGGGTCCAATATCTGCTTCCTATTAGCAAGCCTATATCTACGTCCTCCCTACCACTTTTTCTCGTCATCTCTACCTCTACTTAGACCATGCACCCGCTGATTAGTGTTACTTGCTCAGAGGCAGTTCTGTGTACTCAAACACATGAACGAAAAAGCTATTGATCTTACCGAAAGGGGCAAATACAAAGACGCGGAAACACTGACTCGAAGGCTGTTACGGCTGAGCGAGCAATTTCTCGGCGGGACGCATCGGCTCACCATGACAAGCATGAATAATTTGGCAACTCTTTTGTGTAGGCAAGGGATGTATGCGGAAGGAACACAAGCAAGAGCGGCATCACCACAATGATACAGCCCTGAAGATAGTCTGACGAGTGGTGGTAGTACTGTAGCAGTCCACGAGACAGTTGTGTATCTGGAGAGGACTGCAGATGAGCCGGTGCTCCGCTTTTCTATCTTTTACTCTTCCAGCTCGCCATCATCGAACCACCCTCTCTTATCACAACTGCGGAACTACAGGCCCCTCCGCTATTATTAACTTACGTGGTAAAGTATCTCCTTTATCTATTAGCGGTAAGGGAAGCTGGGTGATAGGTGATAGGCAGGTCAATGGAGGTAATAACACCTCGTATTTGTAGCTCTAGCCCTATATACAGAGACTCAAAGCCTTGAAAAGGGTTTGAGTAGGGTGCGCGCCGCATGCGCTCCTTGTCTGTTGTGCACCCTCGGCCTGGCTTGGCCTGTTTGCTGTGTTTGAGGAGGCTCCCTACCAACCCTTGGCATCACACCGCCTGGGGCATTTTCATCTTCCCTCCCGCCAAATGCCTGCCCCGACACGTCGCAGGCTTGACGGGATCAATCAATAGACCATTCACGTTCTTGGCCCGTGTATCTAAGCCTTCGCGCCCTTCGAAGACACAGAAGCCCTACTGCGTCCCGGGCATTTGCAGCCCTGTGCCTCAATCAAGAGACAACAGGACGTGACACCCAGCTCTTTGGAGAGCGATACTCGGGACCTTCTTCTTCAGGTAATGCATCATGTCCACAGCGCAGCCGGAAACCAAAGCTGAGGCCGAAGCACTTGTGCCTCAGTTCAAGCTCGAGAGGGTCCTCAATCAAGGTGAGATGCGACCAGCTTGGTTACCACTCTGCTACTAACCAGTGCTTTTGAATGTGTTGCTTGCTATCCACCTGGTCACACCCATTCTGACTCGAGATCTTGAGGTAGACCAGAATGGGCGCCGGATCTCTCTGCTTGGCAGCATCGCTGACCTGCCGGCACTCATCACTCTCGAACGGGCAGCGTTCCCAACGGAGCCGGAGCTCGTGTCGTCGCTTCTGAGATCTCTCGTCAACACCACCAACCTCGGCGCCAACGACATTTACCGATGGTACATGGCGAATCGCTCCATCGACTCGTCTTCGTCCTCCACCAGCGCCTCGTCAACATCATCACTTGCGACCTCACCGCCCCCAGCCGTCCCAGACTTCAAACTCAATCTGATTTACCCATGCTCACCACAGCACATCCGGAAATACTCGGCCCAGCGCCTGCGCATGGTCACCGAAACGCCGCACATCTACTCTGCGCACATAAAACCATACGTAGCCCGTCAACGCGCGGCCGGCCGGCTCGACTGGGTCTTCAACATCCTCGAAGGGCGCACGGAGCAAGAAGACGTGATCGCGCGCGTCGACTGGGACGCGCCCTCCAACACGGGCTTCCTGCTCCTACCGGATCTGAACTGGGACCGGAATACCGTCGAGGGAATGCACTTGCTCGCGCTCGTGCAGAGGCGGGACATCTGGTCCCTGCGAGACCTGAAGAAGAAGCACGTCCCCTGGCTCAAGACCATGCGCGAACAGATCGTCGCCGCGGCCATCGCCAAGGTCTTCCCACCAGGCCAGGTCGAGGCCGACGAGGTCAAATGCTACCTGCACTACCAGCCCACGTATTACCATCTCCACGTCCACGTGGTGCATGTCATGCTGGAGGCCGGCACGACGCAGAGCGTAGGCAAGGCGTTTGGGCTGGGCAACGTGATTGCACAGCTGGAGGGCATGGCGGGGGACGACGAGGCGGGCCTGCACGAGGTGGATCTGCACTATTTCCTGGGCGAGGAGAATGAGTTGTGGAGGAAGTGTTTTGGTCGGCTGAAGAAGGGGGAGGGGGTAGATTTGAACGTTTGAAGCCCCGGAAGGGTAGCTCGGTGGTTTCAAGATCGTGGACTTGCAAAGACACCCATCTATGGAAAGCCCCTCGGCGATTGTGCCTACTGAGCCATATCGATTTCCACAACTCCTCTAAAACACCCTATATCCGGCAGTCCCGAAATCAAATCTCAGATCCAGGGCCCCTGATGAGCCCTCTTTGACTTGTCTATTCCTCTACCCAACGATGCAGACCGCGTTCCTCGATGTCCCGCCCATCACATTCGTCCACCCCTCAAAACCCTCGCCTCTCATTCAAGCGAAAAGGAGTACACATAGTGAAACCTCCCAGAGAAGTTCTGGGCGGAGAGAAAGGCCAGGGATTCGATGATTCTTCTCTCCTCCTTTGTTCCGAGGCCAGCCGCTCAGGTTTGCAAAGCTTCAGGCCCGCACCTCACTCTTGGCCGGCCACTTGACCCTCCTCTCGGCGCGGACGTAGAGATTCAGCGGCCGGATGAGCTGGAACATCGGGTCGTACTGGATGGGGTCGTCTCCCTCGCGGCTGAACTTGTACCGGTAGATCAGCTTGGGCAGGAACACCTTGACCTCGAGCAGGGCGAAGTTGAACCCGATGCAGCCGCGCGGGCCCATGGCGAAGGGGATGTACGCGGCCTTGTGGCGGTTCTTGACCGAGTCGGTGTTCCATCTAACCCCCGGGCAACAAAACACGGGTCAGCTCTTCCATGCTGCAAGCTGGAATCACATGGCTTTTGAATCTTTGGGGGCGGGGGCTCACCTGTCTGGATCGAACTTGGTCGGGTTGTCCCACAGTTCCGGGTTGTTGTGGATGTGGTGCAACGCCGGGATGACCACGCCGCCGCGAGGGATCTTGAAGCCGCCGGGCAGAATGACGTCTTGTTGTGCCGTCCGTCCCCTAAAGCAACAGTGAAGTGTCAGAAAATCCATTCGTTCCCTTGTTTTGTGTCTTCCTCCCATTCTCTCTCCAGTTTTTGACGGCGGGAACTCACGGCTGGAAACTGGGGTTGTGGCGACGCTGCATCTCCTTAACATAGTTCTCCAGATATGGCAGCTTGCCGATGGTGTCAGCGTCGAAGACGGTGTCCTCGTCAATGTCGTTGTCGATCAGCTCCTGAAGGAGGCGCTCCTGTACGCCTTCGTAGCTGACCAGTCCAAAGATCAGCCAGGACAACAGGCTGGAGGTGGTGGTAAAGCCGGCCGCGGTGGCCACCACCAATGACGATTTGAGGTATTCCCGGGGCAATTTCTCGCCCTGTCGGTCGATGGCGCGCATGGCGTAGTCTGTGTCATTACGGCAGTGTTAGTTCTCGCGGAGCTGAAGAACAGGTGGTGGATGGAGAGAGAGGAGAGAGTGATATATCGCACCAGCAATGCACGACGCCTTCAGGGCGGCATCCTGCAGGTCGAGATCCTCGACGCCATTGGGGGCCATCTTGTGCAGCGCATCCTCGACCAGCTCGTCAATGTGCTTTCTGCAGTCGCGCAGCGCTTTGGGCTCGCCAAACGGAAGGGAAGAGTACCAGCTCCCCTTGGAAGTGACGCGCTTGTTCAACTCGAGCAGCTCGGCGATGAGCAGCACGAGCCGGCTCAGCGGCGCGTCCACCGCGTGAAAGTGGTTGAAGTCCACGCCCAAGGTCAGCTTGCCGACCGCCTGCGAGCCCAGCTTGAGCATGTACGGGTAGACGTTCCACGCCTCGCCGCGCTGGTCCAGCTCGTCGAAGACCTTGAATGCCGACTCGACCGTCTCTTGCATCTTGGGGGCGTAATGGCGCACCGCTTTGGGCGAGAAGGCCGGCGGCAGAAACTTGTGCGCCAACTTCCACGCCTCGGTGTTGGTGTCTGCCAGGAAGACGCCCGCCGTCTGGTCCTTGATGCCGTAGAGGGGGTGGGACGGCGTGATCTCCTTGCTGAAGTACTGCGACTCGGAGAACACCAGCTGCGCGATCTGAGGGCTGTTGGTCTCGTAGACCGTGCTGCCCATGTTGGTGGTCTTGAAGATGGAGCCGTACTGTTCAAAGAGCCTGGTTTGCCGGAAGAGGAGGTGTTTGGTCAGCCTCGATTCTTTTTTGGGGGGGCCATGGACAACGCACCGTTGATGGTTTCCCAAGTGGTCGGGATACACTTCATAGTAATTGCCTAGGTACGGATACCCCTTGGGCCCCGGAACATCTCTGATACGCTTGCCGTCGATGGAGATGGCCATGGGTGTTTTCGCGCCAAAGACGTCGCCCACGTCCGTCAGAGTCTCGCCATCGATGGACAGATCGACGCCTGGATGGAAAGTTAGTTGTGCTGTATCGTCGAGCTCACATATGTGCTGTACCTGAGGGCTCGATGATTGCAAATTCGTCAGCTATCAGGCGACGGATGTCTTCGTATTCCTGCTGGAGCTGGGGATCGAGGTCTACCTCGCGCGTCTTGGAGGGATCCTCCCCAAAGAGGTAGAAGTGCTTGACGGCCATTTTAGTTTGCTCAGTGGAAGTTCGACAAGTCCCTGCTCGACCGGTCCGAGCTGATGTAGATGCAGCTGAGTAAGGAGACCGTGCTGGATAGAAGAGCGTCCAGAGCCCTTGCCGCCCAAAGAGTATATGTACTTCCCGCTGAACAGACAAACAGCCCCGGCACTATAGGCAAGCAATATCACTCCCTTATCCGGTCCTCCATGGGTCGCGCGGCTTCTTCAAACCGAAGGGCCCCCCTTGGGACAAACCCCACTGGCCCGAGATAGTCCTCTTATCGCATCTCTGAGGGAAATAAACGATTGCTCAGGCCTTCGTCGTAACCCAAGACAAGTTGAGAAATTAAGTGAAAATCCCATCGCGGGCGGAGAAACATCCATTCCATTCTTCTCCATCGCGTCGTATCCTAAGTAAGTGCGAAGTCCCATGAAACTGGGCTGCTAGGATAGCCAGCTAGTGAGTGTGTGTGGAGCACATCTCATTACTACTGCACAAGCCACGATGATGGATGCGTGCATGCATGCCGACATTCCTCCGGTCGTAGTTGGTCGTCACTGACGGCTCCCTGGCCAGCTACTCCATGCCTGGTTGAAAAGGATGGCCAATGGTGGAGCCTCGTCGTATAGAAATATAGCGTGATGATGGCTCCACCCTTTTTTTTTTAACTCGGCGCTCGGCCCGTCTGGAGATTCAGCCACCGACCTCAAAGATGCCGATTGATATTATCGGGCTGGGATGAACGCCTGCATCGCTGAAACAAATCCACAGCTCGCCATTCGCGGTGTCTGGATCTGCGAGGATCCCGTCGATCCCGAATCTCCAGGCCCCAATTGCGACGGGAGGACGGACATGACGCCTTTCCTTGGCGCGTGGCGGTGGATTGTGCATCGTGGATACAGAATGCCATGCAGAGACGGAGCGAACATTTGACATTAGGGACTGACGAATATGAAGAGACGCCACACAATACGGTGTCGAGGGCTTCGCTACCGTTGTACGCCAGCTGTGAGGACTGTCGAACACAAGGTCAAGAGAAAAGCACATGGCATTCAAAGAAACTTGGATTTTGATTCGACCACTAGAACTATCGTGTAGCGCCTCTATCCCCCAATACCCGCCCAGCCTTGTCTACATCTCAGAAACAGAATATGTCGTCGGACATCTTACTGACCGCGCCGGGCTTCTTCCAGCCCAGGTCGACGAGGTTGTTCTTGGTCGCGTTGATCATGCCCGGAGGCCCACACAACAGGACCTTGGACGAGGCGTCGGTTGACGGCGCGGGCATGCGGTGCCTCAGAATGTCCTTTGTGACGTAGCCGGTGCCGAACTTCCACCCTGCGGGGGCGTTGTCCAGGAGATACCACACCTTGAGGTTCTTGGGGTAGGCCTTGGCCCAGCGGTCGAGGTCGCCCCGGAGGAGGATGTCGTCCTCGGTGCGGTTGGCGTAGATCAAGCTGACCTCGGTCGTGTCCGTGTCATCCTCGCAGATGGCCCGGATGAGCTGGTACATCGGGGTGATGCCCGTCCCGCCGGCGACCATGCCAATCTTCCGGGCCCAGCCCCGGCGGTACTTCATCGCGCCCTTGGGGCCCCGGAACTCGACCTCGTCGCCCTCCTGGAGCGTGGAGAGGTAGCCGCCCGTGAGCAGGCCGTCGTCGTAGATCCGGATGACCAGCACCAACACGCCGGGGTCGCGGTCGTTGGAGGTCGGCGTGTACGAGCGCGTGACGACCTGGTCCCCCACCTTGGCCTTGATGGCGACGTGCTTGCCAATGGGCAGTCCCAGCACCATTGTCGGCGTGGGCAGCTCGAAGGTCAACCTTACGAGGTTCAGCCCGCTCAGCACTTCCTTCTTGACCAGCGGGAGGCCCTGGTACACATTGGGGCTCAGGAACCCCTTGGGGTGGTGCTTGGGTGTCCCCACGGCCTTGATGTGGTTGGGGTAGCCCAGAAAGCCGGATTCGATGCTAGCGGCGTGGGAGACCTTGACGGCCACGCCAGCAAACACAGCCAGAGACAAGGCCAAGGCGACCACAAACCCCTGCGCGAAGCCGCCGTCCCCGAGACCCAGGAGGTCGGGCCGGTTGAGCTTGATGGCCTTCACCACGCCCAGGTTGAGGTGTCGCAGGCTCCATTGCGGCATGTTTCGACTGGCCACCAAGCCGAGCGCAAGCGGGCCGCCGGCCACTGGGAGATATTTGAGTCTCAGCAGAGAACCGGAACCACCCTCCTTCTTCTGTTGTGTTGGGGGTTGCTTTTGAGGCACCGCGGCCGGCCTCTGTGGTCTTGGAGCAGCTTGCGACGCGCCTTTCATGGTCCCGACGAGGAACGGAGCCATGATTTCCTTCGCGTCCTCGGAATGGCCCACGTCTTCGTACGCTTCTGTTGCATCTTGGCCGGCGACTTCTATGAGGGACTCGATACCTCCAGGGTGCTCAACGAGGTAGTTTGTGATGTCGTAGACTACAAGTTGCGACTTGGTTAGCACAACATCACTCAAGAATACGGGAGTTGGTGGATAGGGGATGGTAGTAGCTACCTTTGCCGTGGATTGTGATCCATACATCGTCTTTGGTGTTGTGCTTTGCTACCTCTTTGACCGAGAACTCCTTGAGGCTTGCACCGCCATTGCCGTCCCTTTGCTGGACCATGCTTCCAGAGTGTGCCGAATGGTTGAAAAGTGTTCTACAACAAAGCGAATGATTCGGAGACCGTAAGAACAATGGCGGTCGCGGACCAAACTCGACGAGGACGGGGAGAAGTACTCGATGGGCGATGTTCGGAGACGCATGGCTGTTTCCTTTTATTTTATATCGCATCTGGCGAACAGACAATCGGCGCGCACAAGGACACACTATCGCTCTCCTGGTCCGAAGCAGTTTCATCCATGCCTGAGGCGACACTGCTAATCCGCCGGTGGAGAGTCGTCGACTTTGGCAACCAGGCCTCCGGCACAGCCGTTCGCTCCTCGAAAGATTCCAGGGCCCGAGATAGCAAATATCCGGATGTGGGATCTGGACGGAAAATCGAGTTGGCGTTGTCTTGCCGTTCCCACTGTGGGTTTAGTGTCTAACGGGCGTATCGTATAGATGGCGCTAGGGCACTAGGAGACTCAATCTGCTTACGCAAAGGACCCACCTTACTAAGAGGTGGAATCTCAAGGCTGTCACCCCCTGTTGGCCCCCTTCCGCTAAACTTCTCTCGAAAGGATGGTTGTGAGTGGTTCCTGGCGTGTCCCTCAATCAAAGCACTGCACGGATCTCCGGCGATAACTCACCGCATTCCAGGTTCCGAGAGGCTTAACCTGCACCGCTCCACCGTCTATCTTCATGAGGCATTATGTGTACCGCGACACCGCCGGCATGGGTTCCATTTAAAAGACGCCCAAGGACGACGGAAATGGCACTCCATCAATTCACAGCACCTCTCTTTCCATCAAGAAAAAGATGTGGAATCCTCCAAAGAACTACGAGCATAGACCTGTGACCGTCCTCGGCGGCGGAGTCCTAGGCAGGCGAATCGGTGAGAGAGACCTGCACATCACTTCCCGTTGATTGCGCTGACACGATGGGAAGCATGCTGCTGGGCAGCGGCCGGGTACAATGTCAACGTCCGAGACCCAGGCGCCCAACAGCGCAAAGACGCCGTCGACTACGTCACCGAAAACGTTCAGCAATACGCCGAGTTGACGGGAAAGACGCCAGGGACCATCAAAGCGTTTGCCGACCTGGACCCCGCCGTCAAAGATGCTTGGATTGTGTTCGAGGCGGTTCCGGAAAGCCTTCCACTGAAGATCGAGACCTTCGCTTTGCTCCAGACGCTGGCGCCGGCGGACTGCATCTTGGCATCGAACTCTTCCTCGTACAAGTCAAGCGAAATGCTCGACAAAGTCGACGAAGAGACGAAGCTGCACATCCTCAACACACATTATTTCATGCCTCCAGGCAACCGCCTCGTCGAGATCATGACCGATGGCCATACCCATCCAGAAATCCTCCACTTTCTGGCCGATCGTCATCGTGAAGCTGCTCTGATTCCTTTCATCGCTCGCAAGGAGTCGACCGGGTTTATCTTCAACCGTGTCTGGGCCGCAATTAAACGCGAGGTCCTCACTGTTCTGGCAGAGGGGGTCTCGACACCCGATGAAATTGACAGCATGTGGAACCTGTTTTGGGGCTCGAAGATATCTCCATGTCGAATGATGGACCGTGAGTTGGCGTTGCGCCAGTATGCTTGTGCGAAACATCTGCTGACTCCGTATGTAGAAGTTGGGCTCGACACAGTCTCCTTCATTGAACAACATTACGTCCACGAGAGAGGTCTTCCATCGGACAAAACGGTCGATTTCTTGCAAGAAAACTACCTCCAGCACGGCAAATTGGGCAACAAATGCTCCAAAGGCGGCCTATACCCCTCAGCACCTCAGGGAAGTTCCGAAGGTGGAATTGTGTTGTTGGACTTGGGCATTCCAAGCTCCCTGAAAGGAAATCCAACGGTCCAGGAGATATCGGGCAAGGGCCGGCTGGTGAAAGTCTCTGCGGATGGCAAGAATGTCAAGACGCTGGTGTCCGGGGCCGGCTTCCCCGATGGGATTGCTTTCAATTCTTTGGATGGACGTCTGTACTACACCGACATGGGCTCCTTTGGCAGCAATGACGGACGTGTGCTATCGTGTGATCTTGACGGAAACAATGAACAAGTCATCGTTCCCCGTGGTCGGGTCCACACGCCAAAACAGATCTCGATCGACGAGCTGGCTGGGAAGCTCTACATCTCCGACCGGGAAGGACTTCGTGTTGTGAGAGTCAGCCTCGACGGATCCAACTTCGAGGTCATTGTGCAGACCGGAGTCTGGGAGAATCCTGAAGAGCAGTCCGACCAGACCAAATGGTGTGTGGGCATGGTCGTCGTTCCTAAGCTCGGAAAATTCTTCTGGACTCAGAAGGGGCCACCAAAGAGCGGAAAGGGACGCATTCTCAGTGCCAACCTTGACCTGCCAGTCGGTCAGAGCCCAGCCCACCGTGCTGATATCCGAGTCGTCTTCGACAGGCTGCCAGAACCCATCGACTTGGAGTTCGACGAGGAGTCGAACAGTCTGTTCTGGACTGATCGGGGAGAAATCCCTTTTGGAAACAGCTTGAACCGCTCCCAGCTGAGTGTTGCCGGTGAGACGGTCAACGGCGGATATGCTCGTTTCCCGAAACGTGAGATTATCGCCAGGGGATTTCATGAGGCCATCGGCTTGAAGCTGGATCGCAAGAATAACGCCATTTTTGTGGCGGATCTGGGGGGTACTCTCTGGAAGACCGACTTCAACGGTGCAAACAAAGTCAAGGTGTATGAAGACATTGCGGGCACATTTACTGGCATCACCCTCCTCCCTTGAACATTTCAGGTTCGACCAGGATTGAGGGAGCCGTGAAACTAGCTTTGAAAGGTAATCAACGACTCCACCGCAGTTACATTCCGGCCGGGGGCCACTAGGATCTTGAAGGTCGCGCTTTCAAGGGAGTGCATTGGTGCGCTGGAGTTGGTATCGAGCTCAACAGTTCCGAGGAGCTGACTCTTAGAGTCTGTATATCCGAAATCTCAAGGATGACACCAATATCATCTGTGAAACACATACCAGATGAAGAGTTTGGAGTCTGGGAGGATGATGGGTGTAGTTTTCTTGTATGGAAGTCAATGACGCTCCATAATAGCAGACTGTTTCCAAAGCCTAGGCGATCATTGCAGAAGCAAAACCCACTCGTTGAATGGTTTCTCCTTCAGCTTTTCCGACGATATTGTACATCTCAAGTTTCTATCTTTCCCTCCTTGTTGGTGATTGTAAAAGCTCAGAGTCATCAGTCAAATCCAGTCTCGATGAGGCTCAATTTCAATCGGTCACCATTGGGCCGCCATCTTCGCTCGTGTGACCAGATTATGGGAACCATCATATTTGTAGAGAGGGTGTGCATGCACGCACGCGACAGCGGCACGGAATTGTGCCTCCCGTCACATCTTCCACATCTGGCAGACTTCTCTGCGTTGGATAACCGGTCCATTCCTCCAGCTGAATATCGTACTCGCTCCACCACCTTGAAGCAGCATTTGCACAAATGGTGAGCACTCCTCTCAGCGACAAGAGCCTTTCGTAAGTAGTATCGTCGTTGAAACTGCTAGTCCTGATCTGCTCTAGCGATTTACGCACCTGCTAACGTTCCTTGCTGAGAAGTGACGATTCTTCTGAAGAACTTTGATGCCTGAATATTACGTGGCCTCTATTTAGGTCCGAAGGCTTGTCTACTTGAGCTTGGCAAATACACTTGCATATCTCTGCTTTCGACTGGGTCAGTATGCCATGACAGGTGGAAATCCTGCTCTGGCTTTCAAAATATTGTCGCTGCCTTTCCGAAACAACTTGGTATAATACGCTGGGAACATAGCTATGCACCTGCCTCGAAACAGCCCGAAACAGCCCGACTTCATCGCCACAGAATACATACAAGGTCGTCAAAAGCCTTTTCATTGTCAGGAATTGCTCTGGCAGCGTGTCTTTGCGGAGCTCTCTGTAGAGACGTTCTACTTCGCTTTTCCAAGAATCTGCTTCGAGCTGTGCAGTAGGTCTCGTGCGCAACGCCATTGAAAGCTTGAACACAGACCTTGCATATTCGCTGGTCAGCTGATGCTTCTGTACTCCTGAAATGACGACTGCATGTTCCAAGGCGGTGCTGCATGACATGGTCAGTAAGGAATTTAGGTACCAGTCTATTTTTCATTAAGTACCACGTACATTGATTCTTCATTCTGGCCAAGGTCCAGAGCGGTGCAGCCGATTTTGTACACACATGCCCCATGGAAAACATGAGTTGGTGCGTGATCATGTTGCGTCCACACATCCCTTGCTTCCTCGAAGCTTTGTTTTGCAGAGGAATACTCGCCGTTGCGAAAGTAAAAGTTACCAATGGCGAAGTGAGTGCTGATGTCAATGGTCAATCTCTGGGAATCTGTGTTACTAGTTAGAAGGATGGACTTACAATGCGAGCATAGCCCAGTTTTCGGAGGACTCCAGGTTTCTTTGTATACCATTCGACGGCCTCATCGTACTTGTTTGTCGATGCCGTGGCATTTCCCATGTTGTTATATGGTCCAATGAAGTTGATTGGATCAGAGCTCCCGTACGTCTCATACAAGCCTATCACGTCTTTGAGCAAGTTCTCACTAAGCTCAAGGTCACTTCTGTGTAGCCACATAGTACTCGTTGGCACCAAGATAAGAGCAAGCATAAGCGGATTTTCAGCTCTATCGTCCCAAGCGTTGTAGCTGTCGCGGGCGACGTTGACAATGTTCGCCAGCTCCACGTATGATCCAATCTCGAGAAGATACCTGGGCTTTCATTAGCTGAGTTGGCACCAGCTTTTAGACTGCAATCTACCTTGCACAGTGAGTAGCCAATTGAATAAAATCCAGAGTAGGTTTGAGAGGCTGCTGGCCAACGCTTTCTCTTTTGTACTGCTCGACGAGGCTTAGGACGTGTTGAAGGTACTTTTGACATCTCTCCCACAGATTGTACATCTGACCTATCACTCTCGGCTTCGCTGGAAATACGGCATTGAGTCGCTTGGCGGCATTCCCAAAGGATTCCTGACGATCTGCCACGCTCATGTGATACCTGAATTGAGTCTGCACCAGGCGATGCAAAGAAAAATTGCGGGTTGTTCGGTCTTTCTTGATGAGAGACAGGTTCAGTAGCGTTTCGACAACTTCCGAGAAGCTACGGAATCAGCCCGGATTCGAGACAGGGACTGGCAACTTACTCAAATTCGTCCAACAGAAAGCTAAGTGATTCTGGGAGATTCGACGGATTCGAAGTTTCGAACAATGCGTATGGAATCTCATCAGGCATCAACCATGACATTATGCCAAGCAAACTAAAAGCAGGTCGGTCGAGCGATTCGAACGAGAGCTTCCAGACAGTATCCAGTCCTGCACCGCGTCCTGTCGATGTGAGAAATTTCTGCATGTTTTTGTCGTACATCCGGATAAAATCGCCAATGGACCAAGCTCGTCTGTGTATGAGGCCGGCCATCTGACTTATAGCCAGGGCGTGTCCACTCAGTCTTTCCGACAGTTCCAAGGCAGACTGTGTCTCAGCGTTGTTGAGATCGTTAGCGATGTCCATTGAGAGTAAATGAATCAGGAATCCAGACCCCTCCGAGGGATCAAAGTGAGCCACTTCAATTCCGGCCTCGGCTGGCTCGAAAGCAAGGGCATGGTTTCTGGTGGTGATAATTATGGAACCACGAGAAGCCATGGGCCAGTACTCCAGTAAAAGGTTAGCATCTTCGGCATTATCGAAGATAATTAGCCACTTCGCGACTGACAGTGTCAGATACAGCAGACGCCGCTAACTCGAGAAGCTTACCTGTTCTTTGTAACCAGCTGAGGACGAGAACACGGTTCTCTGTATGCTGTTGAGGCTTCGCGTTAGGAATTTGTAGTCTGATGGCAATTTCGCTGAAGCTTTGCGCTATGGCAGTGGAAGTCTGGCTGTGCACCCAAAATATAGCATCCAATTCTTGTGACTTCTTCTGAGCATATTTGAGTGCCACTTAAGACTTCCCTACTCCTCCCAGGCCATACAATGCCACAGACCGGACATCACCGGATGTGTCATCCAGTAGTTTCGCGTGGAATATCTCATCGATCTTGGCCATATAGGCATCGCGATCGAAGAAGCGGGTGTTTCTGACAGCAGGAAGGACGATACAAGGCAGCTTGACGTTTTCAGAGAACGTTTCGGGTGTGATTGAGAGCAAACTCTGGAATTTGGCGAGCTCTTCGGCTTGATGATTACATTTGGCAAGCTTTGAGAGGCGCTCAATCCGCCCGAAGGCTTCGTCGATGGCTTGAATGGTGACTTTGTATTGCTGGTTCAAAGGCCGCCAAGCTTCGTCATCGTTATGGTCTCAATTAAAGGACGATTAGCCAAAGTCTTCTTTATGGTTCGCAGGCACGAGAGAAGACATTACCGAAAGTGCCACCCCTGAAGAACTTCACGACTTCGCTCAAGAAAAGGAGTAATTCCATATGCACTTCTGTAGCAATCTCTTTCTTATGGTGAAGGTCGGCCGAGCTACTGTGCCCGTTGAACAGCTCAGCCTTGTGGCCGAACACCTTTAGCATTCGTGCCACGCGGAATAGGGCGTTTTCTGTTTGAGAGGCCAGCTGGTAGGAAGTTAGCGACTTTAGTCTAAACATAAAGAAAATGAAGCTGGATGGGGGAGCAGACTCTAATATCCAGCCACAACAGTCCCCAGAAGATCGAAACAGAAATGTGAGATTCCAACATAGTCACAAAGCTTGAAGATAGCTTTTCCAGATGTGCGAGACTGGGTACCAGCATCGCAAGTTCTGATGAGGCAGCATTGTCGGAGTACCCACTGCGTAACTCGCTGATCTTCTGTCGCACAGTTTGCGGACTCTCAATCTCTTCGACCTGCTTGAGGTCATAACGCTCAAGACTCTTTCGGCATCGTGACATAGTCTGCTGCCATTGCTGAATGTAGATTTCATCACTAATAGGAGTCAGGAATCTTCTTGATCACGCTGTCGACGCACCCACAATTTCTCTCCCTCCATGGTTTTGAGTTAGTTTTCTGAAGAGACCTAGACAAGATTGAGTTCAGGCTAGTGGGTGCTTTAGCTGCCGCGGCTCCAAATATTTGACGCTACTGCTTTACGGTGTGACATGGAACCTGGCTCACAGATAAGCAGATGAAGGCAAAACAATCAGAGATGAAAAACGTAGGTATTTGACCACATACTATTACATCGTCTGTCCCCAATTTGCATCATGGGTAAAAGCCATTATTGCAAAGTCTAGAGAGAAGTCCTGGGGCACGAGAAGCCTCGATCTGACCTCGCAGTGCTTAAATGCATCCAGCTTAACACGTTGCCCCGCACACATGCAATTTCCCATCTACTTGGCGTGATAACTTGCGAGTGTGGCATTGCCATCAAAGTGCAATCTTTATTATACAGTGTTTGCTCGAAATCCGATGATTTTGGAGCATTTCCCAACCCTGGAACCTGGCCAGCTGCAACTCTTCCCGCAAGATTCATCGCAGGCACAAATGAATCCCGACCCATCCACTGTATCTTCTGTCCGCAATGGAACGGATGACGCTGAAAAATTCGTGTCCCCAGACGAGCATTCGCTGCTCTTGCCTCGAAGACCATCAGCGGCAAGGAATACCGATGAAGCAATACCTTTCTCTCGATCCTCCCTCATTCAATCAGGTTTCCGACTATCAAGAAAGACTCTGTGCTGTCTGTGCAGAAACAATTGGCGCGATTTCGAGGCTGGAAGTCCTTCTTTGACACTCTAGCTGGTATGTTGATACTCATTTTATAGGCCACTTTCGAAAGCTCATCAAGTCTAGCACTGCTTGCAGCTCTTCCAATGGGCCGACTGGCAGATAAAATGAGTCACTCCCAGCTGTTCGCATTGATCTTGACTGGGTTTTTGGCGAATCATGCATGGACAATCGCATTTGGTAAGTCAGCACGTAAGTCAATCTGGATCGAGCTAAAATTGAAAGCATCACAACAACACTTGCCTGTTCAGTGGATTTGGGCGTCTTCTATATTTACACTGGTAGGAGGTGGCAGTTACGCTGCCGAAATGATGCTGAGCGTTATGCTCTCGAGTACGTGCAGAGTGCATGATCGGTAGGTTCTCCGCTCGAGCTTGAAGACGGCATAGTGTCTTGACGGGATCAGAACAAGGATATTCTACTACGACTATGCTTGTTCATATTTGCCGAGCTCATTGGTTCGGGGATCTCTGCCTGGAGTGTCGGTATATCTCGACAATTACCGATATATCTTGGATTATTCTCTTTGTTATTATGCTTCGCAGTCACTGCTATCATTCCGGAAATCCACGAAATGTCCGTCGAGGCACAGAGCCCCGATGTCAAGGCGACAGCGGATACGATATGGCCAATGAACAGTCAACGTGACGCCCAGCAAAGAAATTGGTGTCGGTTTCACGAGGAGGTTTACATCAGGCTTACTCTCTTCCAACAGTGTAATATGCTGCTCGCCGCCCCAATTTTCTTTATCACGACTTTCCGGGGCATATCCGTTCACATGCTTTTACAATATGCCTCCGTTAGATTTGGGTGGAAGCTATCTCAGGTTGGTGACCTGGCATACTCATGACCCTTGCTTATTCTCCGTAATTTGGACCAATGCGCTTGTCAGCGAAGTCGCCCTTGTCAATCTTGTCCTCTTTCTGGTCGGCCTCCCTTTTGGTCTTGGAATTATCAGATGCCAATTCAAGATCCACGTCCTAAGCCTGGACTTGATTGTTCTCCAGCTAAGTTTATTGTTGTTAGTGCTTGGATCAGTCCTTATTGGTCTTACCTCCACCTCCACGAGCCTACTTGATGGTACGTTTGGGGACGGTGGTCGATCACACATGCCATACTGATACAGCTCAGCAACGCTGGTTTATGCTCTAGGCTTTGGAGCAAGAGCGACACTACTGTCACTGATAACAGCAATGTTCCCAGCAGAAACTAGAGGTAGAATGTACAGCTGCATTCTCCTTATAGAGCAGGCCGGCATGCTCCTTGGGGAGACGTCACTGCAGTATCTCCCTCGCATATGCGCTTGGTCTATCCAGAGGCTGGCTTGGCCTCTCTTTTATTATTTGCGCCGTAAGGGGTATGTTCCAAAATCTTAAGCCAAGCTAAATCTTCTAGTGCTGCTACTTGATTGCTTTCCTTTGCGCTTGTAAAATTCAATTGAAAGATCTCCCTCAGAACAAGAGGGTAAACATGATAGGGGCGAGAAGTTAACAACGTGTATGTTCGCACCATTTTCGTTCAGGAAAGGGAGCGCGGCCGCTTTAATCGGGCACGTGACGGAGCATCGAGGATGCCCGGCGGAGCCCGGGAGAGCGTCGTGGGAGCCACGGCAGAGTACGGGGAAGTGCGCCCGAGCACCGGGGAGGCAAGCCCGAGCACTGCGCGAGCCACAGGGGGCGCTGCCTAATGCCATTGCCTATTCGTAGGCGCCCAGTTCAGGCTCAGGGTTCCCCTTTGGGCCTCACATACGATGGTGCGTAAAGGACAAGCACAACATTAGCCACCACCGCGTGGCACAGAATCAGCACGTGACAGACTGAAATCGTCCCGTCTTGGTCTTGGTTTCTCGCTTTCGAGTCAGCCTACAACACGCCCCTATTCAATCCCTCCCTTGCCCTAGGTCTGTTCTTCCCTACTACAGATCGCTAGCTGTTGAACCCAAGAGAAAAATGCCTAGACTCGACCTATCGATTTTCCCATCCCAACCTTCTTGAGACGCCTGCCACAGGCGGAAATCCCTCCAACCTACCTCTTCTTCACCTAGCACTCCAGGTCGGCCACTTTGTTTGCACCTGAGGGAATCATTTCACACACTCGATCCATCGGGCATTGGAACCCTAGCACATGGCGTTACATTCGATTCCTCTTCAGTTCGCCGAGAAGCAGTTGCATGATCAACTAGCTTTGGAGGAAACTTGTTCACAAAGGACGACGAATGGAAACATTTCAATGTGCAGGAAAACAAACATTGACCAGGCCCTACTATTTGACACAATGGAAAGTGTGGAGCAATGAATCTTGCCAGCGGCGTCAATGAAGGTCTGGTGCAGTTTCTGCTCGTGCTCTTCGTCTTGGACTTTCTCCTGGAATGTGTTCCAGATCTCTACGAACCAAAGGATAGGGGGTATACTACGACTTCCACGAAAATCCTGTGGTTGCTTCACAAAGCCCTAACCGGTTACTTGCTCGCCGCAATGGCGGACTCGAATACCGACCTCACGCCTTCCAGCAGATCCTTCTTCGTGTGTACTGGCTGCCATCCGTATTCCCGGGCGAGGTCCGCTTTGGTCAATGACCTGATACGGCGTGTCAGCAATTGGTTTCAAGACAAAATTGTAAAAGCGCCTTACGTAGATCCAAGACCCACTTCGCACACCGACGGAAACGGAAACAATACTTCGGCGGCCTGTTCTGGGGAAAGATGGCTGATTTCTTTGGTCTTCAATACTCCCAGCTGCACGCCCACGTCGGCAATGGTCTGAGAGAGCTCGAGCCAGGTGAAAGTACCATTCTCGGAAAACAGAAGGTCTTGCTCTCCGCTTACGACCCCTTGCCCAGAAACGATTCTCGACAGTAGGATGGCATAAAGCGAGCATAGGTCGTCGATGGAAACCAAATTCCAGCTTCCTAATCCATCTCCAACGACGACCGCCTGCTTCGATTTGATCGCGGCGCCCACAAGCAAAGGAACTTGGATCGTGGTACGGTTAAAATAACCTGTTCCTTTACCGAAGATCAAGGGCGACATAACACTAGTGGTCTTAACGCCCTCCCTTAACCCAGCGTCTAGTACGGCGAGATCCGACGTACGCTGGCCGAAGGTATCGACCGACTCCCGGAATCGCTGGTAAGCAAAGATGTTTTCTTTATCCGAGTATGTTCGGGTCTCGGTGAAGCCCTTGGTGATAGGTTGATTCGCAATGTTGGAGGTTCCAGATTGGTGAATGTAGTAGACCTCTTGCGCAGTCCTCACTTTTCTTTGGCCTTGTCCTGCTATCAGCGCCTCACAATATGATGGTTGGAAGGTGAAGGCCGGATCGATGATAATATCGAAACCGGCCCCGATCTTCTGGAACTGGTTGATAGCGTTGGTATCATCAAAGTGTACCACGTCAATGCCCTCCTCAGAGAGCACTTTTGCGTGCTGCTCGCTGCGAACGAGTGCCGATAGCCTCACCGAACTAAACACGATATCTTTGGATCTGAGAAGGGAAGCCAGAATCGATCCACCACTGAGGAATCATCCGTCAGAAAGTCGCAATATCAAATTGCACAATCCGAACATACATGTAACCTGAGACGCCCGTCACAAGAACCGTGGTACTCGCCATCCTTGATGTTCAGCTCCACGACTTGGAACTTGGTATATAGCTGCGATAAGACCCGATGCCAGTCGAAGAATGGGAAGAAAATTGAAAATGAGAACCCGTTTGTACCATTTCACCTCAGAGGTTTTGAATTGGTATTTTTTTATGTTCGTCCACTGGTCACCAAAGGCCAAAACGCGACCCGTGGTCGAAGAGTTCGTCCGTGAGGCGACCGAACATGAAGGGCGGCGGATCAGAGCGCATCTGGAACGGACGTGAGCGGACATGGTGGTGGATCCTCTATTGAAGGGTGCGATTCGACAGGTCGAGTTTAGATTGCTTGATAATCAATATGCTGGAAGTCCAGCAACAGAAGCTTCGTTTTGCCGAAGGACTCCTCTATCAATACATCACATGGTAGCCTAGGCCTCTTGCATGGGACAAGGGTTGATGTAATGAACATACAGGGGAATCTGTCCGATACAAGGAAAGAAAACTCCGTGTTCTCTAAACTGGATCTACAGTGAATGTTGGAACATCAGTCCCAACTCTCCACCGTCCAAGTGAACTCTCATGCCAATCTGTAACGGTAGCTGTGATATTGTATAGGCCGCTCCAAGCTCAAGGAGAATAGTTCCCTACCCCCATACATAGACATGGTAGTAATGAAGCGCTTTCTGTCCTCAGCGGATAGGTCCTGAAGAGCTTGAGAGAAGGTTTGAAATTGGAAAGCTGAGTCTACAAAGGCCATACGCTCCACGACTGTTCCAAGCAGCTCGAATTCGATCTTGCCACAGGTTGGATGAGCGCCGAGCCGACTCGGATCATCCAGGTAGTCCCCGCTTCTAAGCTGTGGCTTTTGATTCATCATTTTGTTGAATGCCACAACACTTGCTGCGTGTTCTGGGACGATTCGTACAAACAAGTATTTGAGAAACGGTATCAAAGTCTCCGGGATGGTGTCATGAGCCAGCGATGGGTCAACTGTTGGGTAGCCACCATCAAACCACTCCAATTGAACCATTCGCTCAGCCCAGCGAGCGACCGAAGGAGCTCTAGTCCGCATGAGGTACGCGGGGACTGGGTCGCGTGCCAAATGCGCCCACACCATGGTCATGAACCCGCAATCAGCAATAGTGGGAGCCGCACCTAGAAAGTAAGGATAGGCTTTGAAATGGTTGTTCAGAATGTCGAGACATTCTTCCCAGGCCTTCTCGATCACACTGATCGTTTCCTTTCGGATTCCCAGCCCAGGTAGATAGTCGGATGTGAAGCTGGCAGTCTGCTCCTTCCGTGTAACGTGAGAACGTGGGGCGACCCAATCCGCGAAAGCACTGTCAAGGAAGCCCTCTTGCCGATCTTCATAGCTCCAACGATAGTGCATGCCAGGCTTGTGAAAGCCGTCGGAGCCCAGGAGATTAATGAGATGTGCTACGGCTTTGAGGAGCGGAGTGGTCGGGATGAGGCTGCGCTTAAGCTTGGTTGCTGCTTGATGCTCAAAGTATAGGATTGCTTCAGTCGTGTCTTGCAAGATGAGTCCGTCTTCAAGTTCGATGACAGGAATCACGAAGTAGCCGATCAACGGGACTATTTCTTCGTGAAAACGGGGTTCGTTGGCGAAGCGCTCTTCAACTTGCAGGCCGGACTTGGCTATAAATCCGCGCAGTTTACCGGAGAAGGCTGAGGACGGAGCACTCCAGAAGATTGGTTTATCGTGGGATTTCCCCGTCGACAAGTACACGCTGTCGATCTTCATCTTCTCTAAGATGTCGTTGCTGAACGAAAAGTTGGCTGGTTCTGAACAAAGGGAGAGTTGTTGCGAGTAATACTCAGGAAAATTAACCCGAATGCTGCTGAAGACGAGCGGGAGCTATCTTATAGTGTTTCACCAAGCCGTTGGACTCTCAAGGACACAAACTTCGGCTTGTCACAAATGCGTGAGACCTCCCAAGGCAGAAGAGCGAAGACTCGACGGCCGGTGTTCTGACCGATAGAAGAGGTTGTGGGGAATTAAATTGCTTTCCCTGTATAATAATTGTGTGGCGTACGAAGACGGAGCCGCAGCAGCAGAGGTGGGAGCCGTGTGCAGGTGCGACGTGACATGAATTGCTAGCACCGATGCAGTGCCAAAGGCGTATAGACATGAATCTAAGTACGAATTTGGAAAGCATGCCAAGAGAAGCTTCCTCGCATTTTGAACCGCTGCACTCGATTGAACCAATCATCATCGCAGTCTTAGCGTTTTGGGGGCTTCCGTTCTTGCATCCGCTCGGGCGCCGGAAACTCTCACCGAGCTTACGGTGGCCCATCTGAAGCATTCTGTCGACAGCTCCACTGGTCATGCACCGGGGTGGTATTGATGTACCATTATTACCAGGAAGTTGACATGCTTTTCGGAAAAGACCCAGCGAGTCACTTGGCAGATTTCGATAGTCGTTGAGAACAAAGCCTGATTTCCTGTCACGGGATTCTGGAATGGAGAGCAAAGATTTCCCAACAGAATTCCTCAATCATCGAGCATCGTGGCAAGGTGATCGTCAGATCAGTCAATGTTCTGGAGTGTGCTATCACTATACCGTCGAGCCACTGGCACAAGGTGAGACTACGTAGTTTCCCTAGAGATCTTCTTTCAATAAACTACTAGTCGTACCAGGGATTAACATTTGAAACACCGTGATTGATTTAATAACTCTCATGTAGCTGCACTCTAAGTCAACGACACTGATAGCGCTAGGGTACTCATGAGATTGGAATGACCAGACCCCAATATTAGGCCCAGTATGATGCGAATTTAGCAACTAGATTCTTCGGTGAGATCCTGGTATGAGCATCAATTGGCCTAGGCTACCAGGCTCGACAATTACACAGCGGGGTTTAATTCTGGAAATGAACTTTTGGTGCGCTCTATCCCTGCCAAAAGGGGTAACTGGATAACTAATGAAGTAGGCATAGCCAAAATAATTCATAGCGTTGCGGTGTTATAATTTAGGATGACTGTGGCAAAGTGGTAGGCAGTGGGGGGTTCGCTTATATTGGCAGGCTCTCTTATAAAGCACGTTGAGTGATGTTCATAAGTTGGGTTTGAGGTACGCGAAGTCTGTAGGCTGCAGGAAATGTAGAGACAACAGACGTGAGAAGAAAGGAACGTGCCAAGTCGAAACCAGTATATACTCTCCTCTATTGCTTAGGTCTAAAGACTTCTACCGAAGCTCACGTGTCCAGACATAATCACGCCAAGCCTTCAAGACCAGCCATAACGCTTTCCTCGAGGCCTGTGTAGCCAGGCACCCCAAAGAATGACTTGATCAGGTCTTCGGCCTGATCACGCGGCTTGATCTCCATAGTGTCTTGTCCTTCATTTGGTGGAGGAGCAGGAGTATTGTCGTTGTCTGGGCGCAGCCTTCGAAGAAGATCAATCATGTCGGTCCAGTTGAAGGGCGCTGCAAACGGGAACAGCCGCTGAGATTGGACGGTTGGGTCCAGGAGAGCCGCGACGTGGACTCGCGCGTCGTCTCGAACGTTGATGTACCATTCTGGAAAAAAAATGAGTACGGTCAGTACTGACATCGGAACATATTGAAAGAATAGATAGAAATCCATCGATGGGAAAAAGGGCGGAGGGGAATATACGAGGAGGCAGTAGTTTGGTTACGAAGTCGTCTCCCTTGAGGAGTTGTCGAATGAACCCCATTGTGCTTCCGCCAATCTCGGGGGAGAGGATCGGTCCAACCTGGAGTTAGTGTCAAATATCAGAATCTGAGAATACTGTGTGTGTGCCGGTAACATTACGTTGAATGGAGGAAGAACGGTGTTAAACGCAAATCTCGGCTTATTCTTCTCGACCCATTTCCATGCCTGTCGCTCTCCTTCTACCTTGGAGGCAGCATAGACCTGAAACCCTCTAGCCTCTTGTGGTGTATCATCGCTCCAAGCAGCATTGACTGCCGCGTCATTCCAGGTGTCTTTAACAGTACATATTAGTCGGTTTCCCGATATATTTGTCAAGAGAAATCTAACAAACCTCGGTCAATGACGGTCTTGCTGCTTGATCCAATGACATAGGAGGCCGCGCAGGAAGATGTAAGGACGACACTTTTGATCAATGGCTGAGTAGCGGCAGCTTCCATCAGATTGAGGGATCCCGCCACCACTTTTGGGATCACGAGGTTTGGGTCGGGGCTGACAGAGAGATCGGAAGCCTAAGAAACTCAAGATGCGGATTAATGAAAGGCTTGAAGAGATTGTATAAGATAGAAGCCAACTCACGATATGCACGACGCCTGAGACTCCCTTGACAGCCGCGTCAAAGGAAGATTCGTCCTCCATCCTTTGTACGATGACAGTCTCAAACCTGCCTTGGCCGTATTTGTCGTCGAAGTACTCGTTCAACCAAGGTTTCTCAGCGCGAACGGTGCCACGAACATTGTACCCCTCTTCTAGAAGGACATCTACTACATGCGACGCAATGTATCCGTTGGCGCCTGTGACAAGCACAAGCTCGCCTCTTGTGAGTCTGCGCCTTGACCATGACATGTTGTTTGTCTGAAGGCGGCACTGGTGGATTCAGATGCTGGGGTAGTTATGGTTGCAGAGTCGACGACCGTGTCTTGCAGCTGCGGAAAATCAACGTTCGGATGCTGTTGTTTCTTATATTGACACTGCGGGTTCCCAAAGACTGTGAACGGCATTTCTCACGGTCCCCATCTCGGAGATCACCTTTTGCTTGCTAGGTTCGCCATTATCTGAACGATGATGGAGTCCAATTCTCGCTGAGCCTAGATCTTGTGCGATGGGTTCTCAAAGTCCCCTTCGGGCTTAGGCACTTCTCATGGGGACTCTTTGCTCGTGTATTGTCTCATATGGCGAAGGTGGCAAGGTGACGACGTAAGGTTAAATCCATTATTTTAATAAAGAAGTTCATGCAGGGGCGGATGCAAAAGCGCAATTCGGACGAGAATGGACTAGTGCTTCTAATCTTGTCGGAGATAATGCTCCCGCTTCGAGTTTGTCACGAGGCCCCCTTCCCCCAACCCCCCAAACTGTGGAGCGGTGACCTAAAGTGTATTATTTCGAATCTCTTGCTTCTTTATAAATGAGTTGGTCCCACGGCCAGCTGCACGAGTGGATTATCTGCGGAAACACAGGGGTGGACGAGGGGGCCGGTTTTCTCTCTTCGGGTAAGTCTGTCTCTTTGAAGTCGAAAACGACTGTGGCGTACTCATTTTTCGTCACCACTAGTAAGCAAGCTGCATTCATGGCTCAATTCGTAGAACTCGACATCACTGCTGCACGAGCGGCATGCGTGCCTTGTCGAAGGCGGAAGCGAAAATGCACCAAGGATCTGCGCGGATGCTCGACTTGTATCAGGTGAGCTAAGACATCACCTTCAATTCAAGCCCCGTTAGTCATGATTGACAGGGCATCGGAATGCTGACGATACAGAGGTATTGTAGACTGGGCTGTCGATGTTTCTATGATCAAACCCCACGGCTTCCATTCGTCGCTACCGAGAAGCCCTCAACGCTCGGGCAGTCGACCCTGGTCCTTCAGCATTCCACATCACCAAGCAACAACGCCACGTGCCGGACCGGATCTTACCATTTACCTGCCAGCCTAGGTGTCTCCTCGTACGATTGTACGGGGATTTGTCAGAGTGATAGCCTCTTTGCTGAGGCCATCAAGCTGGCTGGCCCGCTTGGGGACATTAAACATCAGACGTCCAAGTACTTTGCGTCCATCCATATCTGGCTACCAGTCGTTTCGCGCGTGCGGTTCTATGACGCCGTCAGAAGACTTCCGGGCGACTTATCCTCTCGTACGGCATGGATTCTACTAGGCTGTACCATGCGTATGATTGCTTACGTCCCACACGATGGTACAGCTACGGGCACTGGAAACATGAACGAGTCACTGTACAGACAAGTCAAACGAATGCTCCTTCTAACCGAGCTGGAGTGCAAACCATCCTTGGACCTAGTCCAGGCTTGGCTGTTGATGGCAAGTTACGAAATAGGCCATGGGCTAGAGTCGGCCGCATACCTGTCCATTGGGTCATGTGCACGGCTGGCCATCTTGTTAGGACTCGAACGTAAATTCGACGGTGGCGCTAATTCGACATTGATGGAGGAGAAATCCCGTACCTGGTGGGGAATTGTTATCGTGGAAAGGTGCGCAGACAACATTAATGCCCCCTCCGATAACCCTGATGCTGTGTGGTGCGAATATTATGCATTCTTCGGTCTTTTGCTTATGGCAGCGGACACGCAGACACATCAATTTGGCATTCCCCCACCGACCTTTACTCACGTCGGATCCAGAGGCCAACGGCTACCTGCCCGCGTATGATGATGATAAGTGGGATGATGGGGTGCGTAAATTTCCTTCCCGCCTGTCTCAGAAATGTTTGGAGACAATAGATCATTTTACTGACCATTTGCGGAGTCCGGCCAATCTCGTGCCTCCGTCCCAATGACAACTTCCTCGGACATTCCAGCGGGACCTTTTGCACGGGAAGTCCAAGCAGCAACTCTGCTTGGACGCACTCTCACCCATATCACAAAACCGACGCCCGATGTTGAATTCAATGTGGCAGAATCGCGCCAATTAGACCGCACCTTGACTTCCTTTCTCAGCGTCCTGCCCGCTGAGGATGTGCTCAAGCCCTGTTCTGCCTATTGTGGCGCCATGGGAATATGTACCAGGTCAGAGAGAATCAAGGCGGACGTTTGCAGGAGAACGGCAGACAATCTGACGGGTGTTACAGTGCGCTACTACTCCTGCATACTTATGAGGTGAACCACCAACACAACTTCCAAAACGACTGGCACAACTTCCCTTCATCTCAAGATGCCATAGGTTTCTGCTGTGATTTCGTCATCGAGCGGGCAGCCAAGTATACCTCGGAGCTGGCCACGGTTGACATCGACAGCCTCTCGCCCTTTGCTCCGCACGCCATCTATCAGGCTTCTGTCCTCCAATATCGATTTTTGGCCCAGAGTGGTAGTAACAAGCATACAGCTGATATCCGTCTTCGGTTGGACATGCTGGAAGAGATGTTGGCTTCATTCAGCCGGCGATGGGGCACTGCAGGTGAAGGGGTCCCCTTCCATGTTCGTGACATGCCGTTTCCTTACTGACCTCAGTTTAGGACAATTGTACCAGCGATTGCGTGGTGTTCTCCCTCTTGAAGGAACACTGACAAATAGACCGGCGCTAACCTGATCATGGCCTTGCCCTGGTAGGTGAAGGCGAGATTCGAGTATGGGAGGTCGAGTTGAGGAGACCTGCTTGCAGGGCATTATGCTTTCAGTCTGGCTGGGCGCGTCTGAGACGAGGTACGACGGCATCAGACGAATCTGCGAAAGTTTGAAAGATGCTCGGCGGTCGCCGAGTGGTAACTTTGGGAATTCGCTCTGGGTCCTCATGACGTTGTCGTTATGGAAGAAGGCTGCGCTGCTTGCTGTCGTTGACGTGTTGTTTATTGACAGTGATCATAAGGAGTAAGCCGAGAGTTTGTTCCTTCCATCTTCTTATATGCCTGCTTCCGCGAATACATTTTACGGACGAGTGCGCTCTCGACCTAGAGCATCGAGCCTGCCCAGAGCCGCACATTTCACCGGATTCGCGGCTGCTCGACTGCTTGGCCTTTTCCGGTGTCGCGTAGCTCCTCGACCTTGAAGCGGACTCACCAGCGGAGAGGCATGTTACCGAGGATATAGCTCGTTTCCTAAACGGGCCAACAATGTGGTCGTTTTGTGGGTACGTAGTACGGCGCTCAGACTCGAATCCTCTTCACCCTCGAGATCCGTTCCGATCTACGGAGTACAATACCAAATTACGCGCGTTATTCACCAGTACATTTCGGACAAACAAGGCCTCGGCAAGGGCATCTCCTAGACACGCACCCTCTGAGAGTCCAGCCGGCTGGATTGGTGGGAAAACTGCCACCCCGTCAATGCTAAGCTTTAGCAAAGTCGGAATTCCACACCTGGTGCTGTTAAGATTGGCCTTTTCTGCATTAAATGAAGGATAAATTTAGACAAGGAATAACGCACTGGGTGTGGGCTGCCGGAGATAACTTGGCGTGCTTAACGGTGTTACGGCACGAAGATGAATGATGCCGTCTTAAAGCTGGCTTAGCAATGGACTTGAATGCTCAATCCACTTTAATTGTCAATAAGACGGCCAGGCAGTCTATCACATTCAGGATACGGCGTCACACACGGACACGCCTCTGCAGCCGACCACCTTCATCGTTTCTACCCTCTCGGATGATCGCATTACCTCCTTACGTACTACGGCACCAAGCTCACTACCATCCAATAGCCAGTATGAGGAAACACCGGCACCCCTCAGGCGGAGAGATCATCGAGGGGTGAATCTACTACGTTTTTCTTTTCAGGCCGCATCATTTCTTTGCTTCGCGGATTGATGCTAATGCACCACCACAAAAATGTCAAGGTCGATGATGACGACGGCCACTACACTGTCGTTTCCTGATTGTGAGCTTCGCATGTCTTGAACCGCTGTACATTGCCCGGGTCTTTCACTAACGTCATTCGAGAATCCGAGCGCGCAGAATGGAGGCGCAGGCCAGAGCAACGAAAGCGAAGAACACATTGTCAAAAAGTCGGTGCAGAATGGCCAGATCGTTCGCACGGTTGAGATCAGCATGGCTTTGGAAGATAAGTACCCTCATGCTGGACATTCCACTCGTCGAGATTACTATCCTGGGTACGATCTTGAGATCGACTTTATACGGCCGTCGGTACAGCATGAGGGGCCGCTGGCGTACTGTGCAAACATGCAGCCACGGCCTAATTCTCCGCCTCACGGCATATTGTATGAGTGTCAATCATGGCAAAGGGGGACGCTTAGACCGAATATCCCCCCCCCCCCTCTCGGGCAAGGCACATTCGGCAAGGTTGTCTAGGTCCGCGAACACACAAGGAACAGAGCCGTCGCCGTCCATCAGCTAGACCGGCAAACTGTTGTGTGTCTCCGGGTAGATCCTTGTCCAGACCAAATTCTAATGATAATCTATCATCTGTTATGCCATTAGTAACATTTGAACCAAGGACTGCTCAAGGCGGCTCCCTTCATTAAGCTGGTCGTAGTCGTACGTACGCATCACTCCATTGACGCCGGGTTAGGCTGTTTGTTACTTGTCAGATCGTTATACCCCGGCGAGGGGACTCATAACCCCAATGGACAAGGCCAGCTCAAGCCACACAGCCGGCCGGAATCTGATATTTCGAGTTCAGCCTAGTGAAAGTCTTTCGTCCACGGTCATTGTGAATTCGATCAATCCACATTACGCTTTGCAAGCTTCGGCGAGCGTCGTCCCAGGATACATTATGCCCGACAAGTTGTGTTTGGTACGTTAGGAGCGGGGGCTCGTCTATGTTCAGCCCTATCATGCAACCCAAAATGAGCACCCAAAACAAGATTTTTGGAAGCTTTGATGATGCGAAGTCGATCTTGAGTAGCGATTGGTAGAGTCTATGACCGAGGTATCCGTGCTGTATGTTGCTGCTTGGCAATCCGAAGGTAACAACAATAAAGGCAAGCATCCCCAGTCGAAGGCTTTCGCCCAAATTGTCGCAATTCATTAGTTGATGCTGAAGTAGTCGCATCTGAATGCAGTCGATTTGGCTCTGGAAGGTTGCAACTCCCATTTGCCTGCCCTGCACCAAATGCTCATTGATCATGTTTGTGAAAAACTGAAGGTCATGAAATATGACCGCTAGCTTCGGTTCGCAGAGACCCTGGAACAATTGCATTTCGCTGGCGACTTCACTATCGGCTTGTAGCGATGGAAACATCGGGGTCCAAGAAACTTCCCCGTCAGACGGCAAGAGGTATCCCGTGTTTAAGTAGAGATGGAGTTCAAGACTAGAAACGACAACTGATTAGTGGCTTAAGAAGCATAGCAAAAAGGGTAAGCTATACCGACCGACTGAGCTTATAATCCAGTATTGGATTGTCATGAAGGTAGTGTATGCCGCCAAGAAGCTGCACCATCTTACGCAGGCCAAACAGGTGCGCCTTTGTGGCATCGTGGTCGTCGAAAAGGCTAGCGGTAAGTGCCAGTAGTGCGACATTGTAGACAGTGGATCTTTGCAAGGAGACAACTCCCAAGCTCAGTCTTTCGTTGAGCAGCGTGATGGCTCGCTGAAGGTATGACCACGTATCGGGCACGGGTGTCCGACGGTGCAGAAAGTCCTCCATGGCGAATATCGAAAACTGAACGCTACAAAGGAAAGATTCGTCGACAGTCAGCCACATCATCCCTCCAACGTCTTCTTGCTCAAAGGCTATGCAGGGTTCGACGGGGTATATGATATCCTTCAGTGACAAGAACCTGGACCCTTGTGGCACCAGTTAGATGATGTTCCTAAGCGAGACAGAGTGCCGGAGAATAACGTACAGTCACGCATGGCCCCATAAGAACAATATCGAAGCGTCAACCCAGAGGGGGAATGAGATGTCGTCCGTGGCGCAATAGGACCCGGTGAGCTCGCCCAGGCGTTCTGACTCTCTAAACATGCCTGCTTGCGCGGTTTCTCAGTTTGAGAAAACGACTGTAATGAGACAGCGGCGTCGAATGGCACAGCAGCAAGAGGAGTGTCTCCCTGTGAGTTACGCCTGTTCCTCGCTGACCGTCGAATCTGGCGCTGCGTCCGACGAGAATCGTCCCTCTTGTTCTTTCCGCGCATGCAATGACGTCGAATTCGGTCCCTTCTTATGTCTTGAGGCTTTCCCTCGCCGCCGTCTAAAGGCACAAATTCGAAGTGAGCCGGCATGGGGTCGCGAGTAACAGATGCCGGCACCGGCTTTGCTTTGTGGCGGAACAAGCTATAGGTCGTCGGTGCCGGGGGGATGGAATTCATTTTGGTGCGGATTTGTTGAAAGGGTGGAGTTGTGGGGGGGCTGGGCGCCAGAATGTGGAGCCACACAACGACCACATTGTTGGCCCGTTTGGGAAATGTGCCAAGTCCTCAGTATTGATAGATATGGAATCCTGACTCCGGAGGGCTGTTACGAGCCTGATCGCCACTGCGGTGGTAGTAACTCTAAGATATAAGCTGATGATGATTATGGTCGGCATCTTTTGACATATCCAAAGTCCGAGCCTATCTCCGCCACTTGCCACGAGCATATATAGGAAGAAGAGGCACTTCTCTGCTGGGGCGTGCACAATACTACAGTATATATTGTAGGATTGTGCTTGAACCGGCGCGCTCTCTATCCGAACCACTATCTCCTATTTCACTCCTGTTTGTGGCGAGTCTACATTTCAGTGCTGAAGAAAAACAACAACCTCCTCGTGTCTTGACGATGAATTCTGCCTTGCTGCCTCCCAACGAGGACTCCGACAGCCACTATTTCTGTCGAACGCAAGTCTGGACGAAGCCTTCGGCACCGCCGCCGAATACCACAGTTGACGGCCAGGCGGCCATCATCACCGGCAGCAACACAGGGATTGGCCTGGAAGCGGCCAACGTTCTGCTCGGACTGAAACTCTCGCATCTCATCCTCGGCGTTCGCAGCGTGAGCAAAGGAAGCACTGCCGCTAACGCGCTTCGCAAAGCATATCCTCATGCCAAGATAGAGGTGTGGCAGCTGGACATGGCTTCGTACGATTCAATCCAGACGTTTGTTCGGCGATGCCACTCCCTGGACAGACTCGATATAGCTATCATGAATGCGGCCTTTTCCGTTCTCGAATTTGGCACCAACACCTCGACGGGCCATGAGCAGATGTTCCAGGTGAACTACCTATCGACTGCTCTGCTTTCCATCCTGCTCCTCCCCATTCTGAAGAACAAAAGCCCTCCTCAGACTCCTGGCCGATTGACCCTCGTATCCTCTACCCTGGGACTGAGGGCGAAGTTCCCGAACCACAGTGCCGTACCCTTGATCCCGTCTTTCGACGATCCCCAGGTATTCGTTGGTACCGGAACGAACAATGCATATTCTCTATCCAAGACTCTGATTCTGATACTCATGGTCAAGCTCTCCGGCCTCGTCAACGCCGATGATGTGGTTGTCAACGCAGTAGGCCCGGCACTCACGGGAGGCAGTTCAAAACTGGACCGCCATTACTCTCGACTCATGAAGCTGGGTTTGGCAGCACTCAAGGCTGTGGCTGCCCATTCGCCGCGGCAGGCTGCCTGGCTCTATGTCGACGGATCGGTCACCAAAGGCAAGGAAAGTCACGGAAACTTCATCATAAATAATGAATACTACCCGTGAGTTGCTCGTCACTTCTGGCAGTGACATCATTGTTCGTCTAAGCTTACTAAATCCTAGTTTCCATGCCATCATGTACACAGCCGAAGGAAAGGTGGCCATGGATCGGCTCTGGAACGAGACACTGGAGGAGCTCGACTTTGCCCATGTTAAAGAGATTCTCGCACAAATGTGAAGAACGAGCCCAATAGATGGGAAGTAGTACTATTTCCTAAGGTTCTAGCGACTTTAGGCGCCTTACCTCGTCAATTAGGTAGCTGAATATAGTGTTTAAAATCGATTTATCTATTAGTACAAGTTTCCACAGATTCTGGTTCAAAGGGTAAAACGTCATCCGCATTGTCATGTAAATCTATGTATCCGGTCAAAATAGAGGTTATGCCGATTAACCTCGAGATCAAACAGCGCCTGAACGTATTTAGCCTAGCTCAGAAAGTGCCATTGCCCGATAAATATGTCAATTGATCGACGTTTCATTGTACAGTTTGGCATATCGGAGAGGGCCGGCCATCAAATTCCTAAACAACTGCAGAGTGGAAGCGACGTCTTCCAGGGGAAATTGCCCGGCATCCATTACAGACTGTGCGAGAACCAAAAACTCGCTGTTGATTCGCTCGATAAACTTGGGCCTGATCGACAGCGCAAGCGGTAGATTTCCAGCGGGCAGTAGGGGCGCGATTGCCAGATGGATCATCTCGTAACAGGCGAAGAAGAGCATGGTAAAAGGGTCTTTTCGCGCCAGTTGTTCGAAGGCGTTGGGAATCCAAAACATCCAGTTTCGGATAGGGAACAGCGTCGTCAACTGCCGATGAGTCGATGGTGGATTCGAGCCTTGCATGCGCAAGTTGGTGACGTAGATTTTGAGTTCTTTAATTCCTAAACTGATGCCACGGTAGCTCTCGGATCTTCCCAGGGCTTGTTGCATTTCGGACATGGCCTGCTCGGCTCGGTCGAGCAAAGTATCAGGGTCCATCTGCGCCAGTTGAGTCGCGATCTCGGTATTCTTCGATGGAAGAAGGAGGTGTGAAAATGTAGAGCGGTAGCGCTCGGTTTTTACTTGATGCAGGACCTGCTCAACCAATTAGCCCAAGAAACAACCCGACCATGGAATTGATTCCAGACCGAACAGATCCCCTGCATTGTGTGCGCATACTCGTCACTGGCTCTTGATTAGCAAGCAATTCGGAGAATGACAGTCCGGCTGGTCACCTTTTAGGAGCCTGCCAAGAAAGCAAGAGTGAAGCAGCAATGACTGCCTCGATGTGTTCCTCAGAGAAGGTTTCCAAACACTGGCGAAGGCCTTTGAGAGCTACCCCTCGGTGATGATATTCCACGTATACCATTGATGCCGAGCGCGTAAGCAGGGCTAGATGACGAGCCCCAAGCGTGCAAACACCATGTCGGACAAAATCGTACGAGACTGCGATTTTGAGGATCCTCGCTGATGTTAGACAACTCGCGAGGAAGCCTTCTTGACCACACTAGACTTACTCTGGCAGCACAAGAGTCCCAAACGCGAGTTCATGGCTTTGACATTCTTCTACACGGTGGATCATCCTGGCCACATGGGCGAAGATGCAACGGTCCCGAAGTTGGATGTCTGGTAGATCTGCCAGAGGAGGGTACACCAAGGCCAATGTATCTCCAGGATTCGTAGCAAGAAGGCTGTGCTGGCCAGGTTGTTGCGAGCCCTGTTCGGTATATCCGCAACTGAGGTTTAGACGGCGGCATCGCGTGCATTCGGGCTTGTACTCGTCACACCGGACTTTGTGTTTCTTGCAAGTGCTGCATCCAGTTCTGGATTTGATGTGTGTTCGACGGATTTTCGGGATGTAAGGCATTGCGGGGGCGTGTGTTAGCAGAAACGAAGGAGTGCGCCGCACTGTCCGGGATGGAAACTCAGGCCAGATGCCATTTCATCCAACCGTCGGGAGAAATATCGAAGCCTCGCCAATATGGGCTTTGGCAAGAAGATGGGATGGTCAAGAAGAAAGTGAGAGAGACGTCCTTTATCAACGGATTCACCTATCTCCCCTTTTGTGAGGGAAAACTTTTTCCGAGCCACGCCCGGGTTGGCACGTGCCCACGCTCACCATTAAACCCGCCTTGTTCCGGACCCGGTCGCTAGTGAAGCAGGCAACAAGCTTGAAGCGCAAAGTTGCATCATTTTCATAGATCGACGGGATCTCAGAAAGATCAGGAATGGGCTTCGTGAAGTGAAGGACAACACGGATCTCTTTGGTGTCCACGATTGTAGAACGTAGGTAGGATGGTGGAGCGGAGAGACGAAGTGAAGGTGAGATTGAGAGAGAGATGGCAAATGTCTAATAGCGGCATTAGTTGAGCTAACCAGCGAGCCAGTCAGGCTAGCGAAGCTAGTGGCGCTAGTGACTGATCTGTCGCCAAGGCTTCTTAAGTTGACAGCAAGTTGACGCCCTCATTTCTCCTGTTCAAAAAGGGGCTCAACACTGCCTCGAGGCTAGTTGACCCTGGATCGCCGTGGTGCAATTTCTCTAGGGACTATCCCATTGACAATCGTATATACACTGTCCAGGGTCTCAGGCTGACAGGCGGGCACAACCTGACCTTGCTCGCGCAATCAAGCTAAACGACACTCAATGATGCTCAAGGGCCCCCTGCACTCCCAGATCTTGTCCATCACCAAGCCCGCTGCTTTCACAATACGCTCGAATTGGCCCGGTGTCCTTTCCCTCCCATTGGTCATCATCATCATGTTCAAGTCCATCATGTGGGCGGGAGCCATGGCCACACCATAATTCGGCAGCAACGGCGCGGGAGCGGACTTGAGCTTGTCCGAAGGCAAGGTGGTGCTCATCAATATGTCGGCGATCAGCACGCGGGAGCTGGGACTCATGGATTCTGCCACCCGCGACAGGATGGCGATGGCTTCGTTATCGGCCCAATCGTGGCTAATTGTGTGTTGTATGCATTAGCCATGCCACCGAGAACCTGCCTCGAGCGACTCACACAATGTATCGTAACCAATAGATCTCAGCGCCTACAACTGGGTTTTTCTGGAAGAAGTCATGCCGCGCCAACTTGACTCTGCCGTCAGCAATGGCGGAATGATGTCTGGTCTCCCAGACCGCAATTGCCTGTTGGATCACATGCTCTCGATCTTGGACAACGAGGTTGAGACTAGGGTAGTAGGCGTGGAGCTGCATGCAGAATGAACCTGCTGAGTTGTTAGTTCGAGGATCTTCCCAAGTAAACCCCCGTACAATGGAGGAGCATAAGACTTGCCAATCCCGCCACCAACGTCTACCACCGTTGCACCGTCCTGCAGCTGCTGCCAAGGAAAATCCAGCACGCAGTATTTTTCGGTGCCTTTGCCCTGGCCGCTGATGGCAAGGTTGAAGAGGTGCTTCTCCGGGCGCGGCACCATCTTTTCGTCCGATCCATGGGTCTCAGGCGGTCCATCGTCCTCCTCGCAGGGATGTCTCCGTGCGCTTCGAGGCCGCCAATTCACCTCGGACGCAGGCACCATCTCGTTCATCCAATCGAACAGGGACAGCTTCGTGCCCACGGCCTGCTGGAAAGCGGTCTTTCTCGGGTCGTAGCTGTCCCCAATGGCGGGGTTTGCCAGAGCTTGTGGGAGGAAGTCACTGGCGGTATACTGGAACTGGCCCCTGGAAACGGTCAAAAAGAGTTCTAGATCAACCCCCTCCGAGCTGTCTTGTGTCACGACTGTTGGCCGGAATTTTTCCCCCTCTCCCGTCTTTGACCTCACGCTTCGATCTGGCAGAGTGCCGAGCCAAGGAACCTTACTTCATGGTGATGTTTGCTTGAAATGCAGCATCGCCGACAAGAGCCTGAGAGATGCGGTTGTTGGCGAAACAGCCGTCTTCGACCTCCTCAAAGACATGGTGCGATGTCAACGTCCGCATGACCCGACCTAAAGAGCGGCCGCCTTCCGTTCAGCGAGCCATAGCTATGCCATATGGAGATGTCTTTGGGGGGGACATACATAGCTTCCCCTCCTCAATGCCAGTCGCTGTGGCGAGATGACCAGTACTGACGCCGCCACCACCGCCCTGCTCGACACGGGCAAGCACTTCCGCAACGCCATGCTCGGCAGCGACATGCAAGGCCCGGGCGATCAGATAGGACATGGACAGGTTCAGCAGTCGGGTGTGCGGGTCTAGAACGAGGCTCTCGAGCGACCCCAATGCGGCAATGATGACCTTGACTGCATCGTGCTCGGCATGTGATACGGTGTGGGTGGCGGTAGCAGTAGCGGCAGCACCCTCGGTCTGGGACGGCGCAGTACCCTCACCGCCCGGAGCAGATTCCCATTGCGACGCTAGACTCTCCACCGCGGCCGAGAGCAGTGCCAGGACCTCCCGGAGCTGCGCAGCAGGCTTGCCGCTGCCGATCGTGGGCGATGGCATGATAGGGCAGGATCTCTCTTCTGCAGAGTGCGCCAGGGGGGAAAGGGGGGGAAACAAAAGGCCCTTATGCGTGCCCTCCTGGGGAATCTTCACTCAGATACGGAATGATTATGGATGCCTGGCCGCAAAAGACGGTGAAGATGGAGCCCTGTCGTGGTGGATTCTTGCTATTCTCGACCCAAACCAGGGACGGTGGTATTGAGAAGGATCGAGGCTAGTCAAGACTTTCCCCGGGGCAGTGTGTAGCCGACATCGCACGGACCAATTCCACGACAATCTACACGGGGAGGGAGGGGCTGCAGGAAGAAATAACCACTCGTACGTACGAGGTAGCTATACGTATCCATAAGCAGGCCGCCCTCTTCAGCACAATTATATGCGTGGGGTCTGGATCCTAAGCCTTGGTTAGTCCCGAGGCATCCATCCAGTGGCCAGACTCGAATCCATACACAGGGAGGGGGGGCGGGGGGTGGATTCCACACGTTTGTCTCCAAGTTCAACCTAAACCTAAACATAAACTAGAGCCCTCGAATACCATTATGAACAATTAGTAAATACTGAGGCGCAAACCACTGGGGGGTCCTCCCTCCCTCCGGCGCTCGTGGTCGATATACCGCTGCCGCTCCCCCTACCGTTTCGCGCGAGCAAGCTCCCGCCCAGCTACCTACATATGTGCTATGTACCTCCCGCCAGCTCGCGTGCTTCGACGAGGGATCTATCGTCGCCCCACAAGGCAAGATCAGGCGAGGCGAGGCACAAAGAACACGGGCGACGCTCGCCGAACAATCATGCTCGGCGAATCTCCCGTAAGCTGACGATGGGGATAGGAGAGAAAAGGGGACTTTTGATTGCCCTATGCAGCCACTAACCTTAACTGTGGGTCACCCAGAAACTAAAGTCCCTATTAAAGAGTGGCGCATCAGACATGTTGGCCAATGAGGTGGAACGGCTGGTCTCCCAAACAGGCAATCCCGTCTCCGTAAAAAGTCATTCTGGCTTTCCCCCCAGAGATACAGGCACCCGAGCATGAACGGCCCGCGGCGCCGCCTTGCCAGGCGATCAATGACCTGCTTGCTGCTGGGGCTCATGTGGAGAGCTCGTCCTTTTTACGTAAACCGGCTCTCACAGCAAAGAGCTCTCTGGCTCGAGTCGAGATTACTGATGGACGTCAATAGCCTATAGCCGCGGTGCACCGCTTCTCTCCGCGCACCGGGGCTTTCGAGGCAACCGGCACAAATTCAGCGGCGAGCAAAGTAACGCACCGCGCTTCGTCTCGGACATACAATTCCACTACTGCCCTTCCGATTGCGCCCTGCGGGACGGAGTTCGTCGCCGATAAGATCGCATCATCTTGGTGGGTTTCTCGCAGATGGTGAAACTTAGCTGTAGCCCGAGATCTATTGGGAGATGGTCAACAGCTCGCCATCCGAGATCAAGGTCGGCCTGCCTTGCCTGGGAGCGAGCGAGGAACCATTGTGGCGTGAGTGGTAACCTACCCAGGTATGACGGCGCTGCTCCCCGACAGTCTCGTCTGATCGAGATCCTCAGGCTGTCCAGACGCTGGCACCGTTGAAGGCTTGTACTTTCTGGTGTCATTGGCTTCTAGCCCTTTTTCGGGCCCCCTGGATCGTAAAGAAGAACGAGAGCAACAGTGTTGCATCACCTAGTAGTATGGGTAGAGAGAGCCTGGAACCCGTCCTTCGATATCGCCTGGTTTCCATGCTATTTTGGATCGACGAGAGTGGCGGCTACCCACCCCCCTTGTCCCTGGCTTCTTTTGACTTTGCCTCCATGACGAAAAGAAATTCGAGATCAAGATCGTAGATTTCTTCTCATTTTCTGTCATCTTCTCTTTTGTGCAAACGTTCTTGCTCTGCCCTGTGATTCACCCACCATACTATCCCTTCTCGAAGCCTTTTTGTGTCGGCATGAAACGTGTGGTGATTGTCGGGGCCGGTCCCTGTGGGCTCGCGGCCCTCAAAGAGATGGTCGAGAGTGGACATGAGACAATACTGTTTGAGAGATCGGGACAACTGGGCGGCGTGTTTGCCAGTGCCACTGCATACCCAAACCTGCACCTCACCATCAGCAACTGGGCCATGGCATTCTCCGACTTCCCCGATCCGACGAGGCTGCATTATTCCACGGCCCAAGAATACCTGCACTACCTCCACGAATACGCCCGCCATTTCCACCTCGAACGTCGTATCAGATACCACACTGAAGTGCGCAGCGCCAGCTTGAGAGACGACGGGCTGTGGTCTTTGGAGATCCAGACCTTGATGGGATCAGAGCAATCCATTTTCCACCTGCAGGCAGACGCTCTCATTGTCGCCACTGGGTCGAATGGCCTCCCCAATGCACCACCCGCGGGTCTTTCCGAGTTCGACGGCCGTGTGATCCACTCGTCGCAGTATGATGAAGCCTTCAAGCAGGAGGTCGCGGAGAAAAAGCTGAAAGTACTGGTGGTAGGAGGCGGGGAGAGCGGCGCAGACATCTCAGCAGAGCTAGGCGACCTGTCACCCAATGTCACGGTCTGGCTTCGCCGTCCCATCTGCGTCGGGCCCCGATACCTCAACAAGAAGGACGAAATGGAACAGGTGGAAGCGAACATGGCCGTCGACTTCCCCGCCAACGGCTTCCTCGAGGCCGCCACAACCAACCGCATGAGCGCCGCCCAAAACGTGTATGCGTACGGCTTCTTCCGCCGGCTGCTGTGGTGCACGCCCGTGCTGAACGGCACGCTCTCACGCATGTCGCTGGCGAGCACGGCGTCTGCCTTCCTCCGAAACGATCAGGCCACCTATGTCACCAAGAACCAGCGCATGTGCGAGGCGCTGCACGACGGGAAGATCGAGGTCGTTGTCGCGCCGTCCATGTCCGCACGCGGCCGAAGCTGCGAGTTTCAGTTGGCCGACGGCACGACGCAGCGGCGCGACTTCGACGCCGTCGTCCTCTGCACCGGCTTCCGCGTGGAGTTTCCGTGGATCCGGTTGCCAGGAAAGCTGACGCTGTCATCGACCCCCCGTTCGTGGTATCTGCATTGCTTCCCCGAGGGGCTGGGCCACTGCCTCTTCTTCGTGGGATATGCGCGACCGCATCAGGGAGGCGTGCCTGTAATGGCCGAGATGCTGAGTCGATATATTGCGTTGCTGCTCCGTGGTGAGAGGGAGTTGCCGCCTGATTACTCAGCCCAAGCCAAGCGAGATGCCGCAGCCTCGCGCGAGTATTACAACCTGAGTCCCAACCTCCACACCCTCGTCGACTACAACGCATTTTTGGAGAGCGCGGCAAGGAGGATAGGTTGCGAGCCGAGACTGCCCCTGCTCTGTATCCTATTATTCAACTTCCACATGCTGACGGTCCTCCTCCTGGCTCTCCAGCTCTGCCACCCGACACTGCTATGGTGGGGTATCCGATCTACGCTGCTGATGTGGGCAGTGTCGATGGCCGGCTTCTTCGTCCTCTACGACGGCTTGCTGATCAAGTGGTGGTTCTATCCGCACTGGGCGGTATGGTATCGCCAACGCGGTCCAAACGCCGATCCGGCTCTGCTCGACGGGGTCTTGAATCGGGTGAATCTATGGAAGTCGACCGCCATCACCTCCGGGTTCGTCTTGCTTGTCTTCTGGTCTATCCCAACCTACTATATGCAGCGCCTCCTCTCAATCTTCCTATTTGTATGCAGTGCCATCCTGAATACCCTAGGTATTCACCTCCCTACATCGCGGGGTGTCCTGCTCCGGCCAAAGCTCTTTGCATTGCACGACTGCCCATGGCGGCTGTCCGATCTCTTCATGCCATGAGATCCTTGGGTTGGTACCGTTGCCGATAGGTGTTTGTTGCCAGTCCTGTTATATGTATGAGTGCAAGGTGTACGAGAGATGGAAGCTGGCCATCCGCGGGAAAGAATACGAAAGAAAATATGAGCTTTATAACGAAATAGCAATGATACTTATGACGGGTGCACACTGTCTAGATTCCGCAGTGCTAGTCCAGAAGAAAGCGTGCTAATATTCAACTCCTCGGTTCTCACGTCAAGGCCCAACGCATATTTCATATCTGGCAAGCCTCTCGAAGATAAAATTGGCACAGTCTGACGCACTCTCGAAATCACAACGAGGTGGCCGCCAGATCAAATATGGTCAATATCATCAATAAGGAGAGGGATACCACTATTCCTAAAGACAGAATAACTACCCTTTTTAATGATGGTTACCGTTGCGCCAGCCTTTCTATCTCAGCCTCTCACCATCCTATCAATTTGGCCATACGTCCATCCCACGGTCCTTATCGAGTTCCATTCGAGACATGGCGTGATGGACGACCCCTCACACATACCCCTGCCGCGTAATGACGTTGTACCCCGGATCCTCGATCTGAATGTCCGTCTTGGCCAGGAACTCGAGCGGCATCTCGACGAGCATGCCCCTGATCTTGGCCAGCTCCTCCTTAACGGCCGCGACCCCCTCATCGCCCCCGGGGAAGTTGTCCTTCATGACGTGGCCCCACTGAGCCAGGTGCAGGCCGTCCGGCCCCGTGAACCGCTTCCAGAACAGCATCTGGTACTGCAGCCAGGTCTGCGCCGTGTCGTCGGGCATCGGCGCAAAGACCTTGCGGAACGCCAGCGTGTTCTGCTGCGCCACGCCGTTCCAGTGCTCGAGGAACCGGTCGCCGAGCGGGTCCGAGACGAGGACGTCCTCCTGGGATCCAAAGTCGTACTCGTTGTCGCCCGGCGCGGGCGTGAAGTGCCCGTCCGGCTTCCGCATGTCCTGGGGCGGGAGCAGGCCCAGGTGTTTGCGGAACAGGTAGCGGCGCAGGCTGGCCGCGAAGCGACTGGCTTGGAACGGCTGCCCGTTCATCGTCGTGGCGATGGGGGTCGGGTCTTCGATCACCAGCGCGATCTCCGAGTCTCGACTGCCTTTGAGAGACCTGTCGTTCAGATTGGCGGAGCCGCACAGGACAACCCGGTCGTCGGCGATCAGCACCTTGGAATGCACATAGAGTTCCTCGCTGACAAAGGCGTCGATTTCCTTGATGGTGCCGCCGCCTGCCCAGGGGACTTTGCGAATGTCGGCGCCCCCGAGCATATAGCAAGAACTGACAGAGTCCCAGCTGCTGTGGGAATGACCCGTGGCGTTCTGGTACTTCTGGTAGGCCTCGTGGTTTGTTGTGACGTCGTCGCCTTCGAATTCACCCATCTCTTTCTGCGCCCGCAGTCCAAAGGGATCAACGATATCGTCGTGGTCCTGGCTGGCAAGCTTATACTCGACGCCGCTAGCCTGCTCGGCCTTCTGCATCACCGCACTCTCGTTGATCCGATCGTAATTTCGCAGATTGTAGAATCTGATGTATTCCTTGGGGTCGACGCCGGCCCGTTTGATCTTGTCCATGATGCTGAACCCACCACGAGAAATGGACTTGTACTGCAGCTTCATGATCGCCCGCGGCGGATGACCCGTTATCAGAGCTTGCAGATCTCCCGGAAAGGCCGGTACGGAGGGCAATATGACAATGGCCTTGTACCGTTTCTTCTCCTGCGCGGCGCGCAAAATCCGTTGCACAAGAGCTTCGCCGACGCGGTTCCAGACCGTCCCCAGCCAAGTCCCCGTCGACGTGATGAAGAATTGCTGCTCGATGTATACGAAATGCTCGCTCTTCTCGATGATGTCGATGTACGCGTTGTACACGCTGTGCTCGAGCGTTGGACCGCCACTCCAGCTGCCGAGGCTGCGAACCAGTTGGCATGCCATGGGACCGGCGGGCTGATCCGGTGCATTCTGAGCAGGTTGGTCGGTGATGGGTGGGATACGTTCGTACCGCGAGTCCCGTGGAAGGCCCGTATTGTATTTCATACTGTGGACAAAGTTCCAGCGTTCAATGAAATGCTTGCAGAGGTCTGCAACCGCCGGCCCGGTAAGACTGATGGAGATGTCCTGCCAGCCCATTCTTGACGTCGTCAGCCGACTGAGTTTGTTATGCTCCCAGTTATCGAGGTTTTTGAAGTCCATCACTCGTGCGTTGTTGTAGTCTTGGCCGGGAAAGACGATGTCGTCGAGGTTTCCAGGATGAGCATCGGCGATCGGGTGTTGGATCGTATCCCAGCGGCCATAGGAGAGGTCGATGCCACCCATAAAGACTGTCTGTCTGTCGCAGATGACAAGTTTCTCATGATGTGCCCAGAGCAAGGTCGGCCCGCCTGCCAATGCGAACAGGTTCTGCAACGATTCATCCGACACTTTGCCCAGGTTCGCGGCGCCGCCGGATATTGTGTTTTGGAGCATGCTCTTCGTCGACGAGAGGACTCCCTTCGCGCCGGTATAATGATCTGGGTATCGGAAGACCGCAATATTGGGGTGTAGCGCCTCTAGCGCGCGTTGTGTGTGGTGCGAGGAGACTTTGATGGCAGCGACATATTAGCACAGGCCCATCCAACGAAGGAGACTGAACTCAAAGCTGGGTGGCACAAGACTTACGGTACATGAATTGAGGAACCTCCTTGAAGACAATGATATTCACCTTGACGCCCCGCTCAGCGGCGGCGAGCAGCATCCGGTCGAGTCGGTATTTTTCATTCTCTGAAGGCGGCCGCCTCAGATATACTTCTGGTGAAACCCACCCTGGTGCAGTCATTCAGCCTCGTCACCTTTCTACACACCCATCTTCATAGAGGAGGTTTGGAAGTATACATACACCCGAGAATCCAGACCGACTCCTTGGCCTTCTCCAGCGCCTCAGAGACAGCCCAGAAGTACGAGCACCCAGAGACATGATACTTGACGCTGTTGCCCTCCGAGACGGGTGCCGAGCTGGAGTATCTGTTCTTGGGGCCGGAGTCTTTGCTGGTGACGATGCTCGTCACGACATTGGTCACGCTCTCGAAGCCGAATCTGCTGGTGACGCTTTCGAGATGCGTGGAGCTGACCACGGTGCTCTGGACGCTTTTCGCCGCGCTGGTGGCTTTGCTGATGAGGTACGACATGCTCGCTTACCGCACCACACTGGTGTTGTTGGCTGCCAGGGAGTAGAGTGGCTGTCTTTTGCGAGTGCTGGTCTCGAAGCTTTATACTTCACTGGTCATCCTTCCAGGAATGAGTCGGCCATTGCAGCTGACGATCAAGCCGCTAGCAGGACAGATCACCTTGCGCGAAAGAGTCAGGAAGAGAGCAAAAAGACCTAATAATAATGCTGGACCGTGAGTATATCTCGTAGCTGAGATTGGCATTCTGGCTATGGGCACCAGTCTGGTTCCAAAAAGGACGAACGGCATTCCCGACTAAGGACCAAAAAGCCAGTCATGAGCAGGACGAGGATACCGGCTCTAAGAGAGGCCATTCTCTCTCTTCAGCATGGCCTCTCTTTCCGGCTCAGCCTGCACAGGAAACGAGGCACTATACCATACTTGACACAAATTGGCGCACGGGCACTCAGTACTTCCCTTGCGCAGTCCAACTCGATCGAGGAAAATCCACGCAAGAAAGCGCCGAAAAGAAGTCGGCACGAAACCTTGATCTCTGGACGGGACCGTCCAGCCAGAGACTGACGTGGCCATGCGCCAAAGCAGACTTGGAACAGGTGCGAGGCAGACCCAAACCAATTCGCCCGTGTACGTAAAATGCGTGCACGGCTCGCGAAGACAAAAACTGGACTTGACTCGTTCTGCAACGACCCAAGGACTCAGCGCGACGATCACTTCCTCAGCCTTGAAGGATTGCCCAAACTCACCAAACTCGTCTGGGACGCCTGCAGCTGTTTTGCGGCAGACATTGACAACTCTGGGAGGGAATCGCTAAGCGAAGACACAGGAAGAAGAAGACCACGGCTCGCTCGGGAACGAACAGCGCCCCCGTCTGGTCCGTCCCATTGGACGCTGTGGCCAAGCTGGCCAGGTCCAGCACCCGACCTGCAGCGGCCTAACGGCGTTGGCGAAGCGTTGTTTTACGTAGAAACATGCGGGGGAAACGACGGAGCGGCCGTTGCGCGCTGCATTTGCGGTGCATTGCTCGTGACGGTGGGCGACGAATGGTAGGCTGTGAGACGAACTCTGGAGCTGCTCTTGACAATGGAAGACGCACTGTAGTAAGCTACTTCTGGGAGCGCGGCTGGCATGCGAGGGCTCAGCCGCTCTTTGCTTCGTGGGTTTCTGGCTGCCAACCCGACGATCGAAAGGACAACGGTCAAGAAGGAGTAAGTATATCTGTTCGAGTGTTAAGACGAACGAGGAGAAATCCTGACTCTGCGGTCTACACATTCCGAGTGGCATATCGCTGAAACTGGATTCTCGAGGCCCTTCAGAGGACCATCTCCAGCAAGGCTTTGAACCATCCCGGCGGTCAAGATATTGTCTCCTGCTCTTCCTAACACTCCCACCACGATCCTCCCAAGATGGTGTTCGGCTTCAACAACATAAACATAAACAGCTACCAGAACAAAAACCCTGACCCCTCAATCGCCATCTACCCTGCCCTCCACGCATCGGACGCGCCCTATTCCATCCAAGAGCAGCCTCTGCGCTCGGCGATTTTCATCCCAGCCGACTTCAAGCACGGCACTGATGGAAAGACGCCCGTGATCCTCGTGCCGGGCACAGGCTCGTACGGCGGCGAAGCATTCCAGCACAACTTTGCCAAACTTCTCCGCGCCAGCACCTTCGCCGACCCAATATGGCTGAACATCCCAGGCCGCATGTGTGACGAAGCGCCCAAGAATGCCGAACATGTTGCCTATGCCATCAACTACATCGCGACCGTGTGCGGCAAGAAAGTGGCAGTGGTGGCCTGGTCACAGGGCAACCTGTCGACGCAGTGGGCGCTGAAATACTGGCCCAGCACCCGCGCCCAAGTCAGCAACTTCATTTGTCTTTCGGCCGACTTTAAAGGGACAGTCGAGGCCTGGGGGCTGACACCGCTCCAAGGCATGGTGCCTGGCACTCCAGCCGTGTGGAACCAGACCATGAATTCGAAGTTCATCGCCACCTTGCGTTCGAATGGTGGAGACTCGGCTTATGTACCCACGACGTCGATATACTCGGCGACAGACGAGGTCGTGCAGCCACAGTTCGGGTCTCACGCCTCGGCCTTTATGAAAGACGAGAGAAAGGTTGGGGTGACCAATTGCGAGCTGCAAGTCGCAGCGTTCATGAAGCCTGCCGGGCTGGCGTACTCGCACGAAGGCGTCATGTACAGCTCACTTGCCTGGGCGCTGGCCGAGGATGCCATCAAGAACGGTGGACCAGGCAGCTATGACCGGATCAACATGGCAAGTGTATGCATGCACAGAAAAGCCCCCGGGTTGAGTCTCTTGGATGCGACGCAGACTCAAGCGCTGAGCGGGTGGTGCTTGAAGAGCATCCTCCTCTTTATGCCCAAGCCATGGCGTGAGCCTGCCCTTCCTCTGTACGTCGCGTCGGAAAAGATCAACTATGTTGCCGAAGAGGTTGCCATACCCGCGAAGCCAGCGGTTGCTGTGGTGGAGACGGAGGTCGCTGAAGCGGAGGTCGTTGCTACCTAGCTGTCTTGAATGTTGAGCTTGCCGTTTCGTGTTTTATATGGTCGTAGGAGTTGATCTTGACTCTTTGTGATATGATACCTTCAGGCAGATATGAATTCCATCAGTTTGATACCCCACCGATAAGCATCGCATTCAGATCCAGCGATACCTGCAAGGGAGGCGTGAGGTCTGATCCGAGGGGACGCGCTACCCCTGGGTTTCTGTTGTGGTGACAAGCTTCAGATTCCAGGTGGGCGTGGATCAGACTTGTGCGAAGTGGCTCTTTTGGCGAGTGGGATAGAAAAACCTAGGCGGGGCGTTGATAGAAATCATTCCACATCGGCTCATCAGTTCAGGCCACGATGTTTGAATTGCTCAAACCATGACCCTGCGCAACCCGCTGGTGCCGCCGAGGACTCGTCTGCCGGTGACCGCACATCTTCCCTTCCCGCTTTCCCAGCCTCCCTCACGGCTCTTGTGCTCTTTCTTCTTCGACTCATCGTGTCCTTGTCCCTGTTCGTCGTCTTCCTCCTCCTCATCATCTTCCCACTCGCTCATTTTCTCCCCCTTCATAAACGCCTCCTGTCGCTCGTGCGTGCCCTCAATCCACTGGAATATGCACTTGTAATCGAAGACATATCCAGTCTGGCACGCCGCTGCGGTGGAGATCGGATGCAGGCAGATAGGACATAGGTCGCTCGACGAGGGCGGCGGCACAGTGAAAATCGGCAGGAAAGTGATGCTCGAGACGGGCGGGGTTCGTTTGGCCGTCGCGTTTTTGGTTGTCAACTGGCGCAACGCACCTTTTGGCTCCGGCATGGTCGTTCGGGCGAGTTCCATCCCAGAGACAATCGGGGGCGGCAATTCCAACCCTTCGGCAGCCTTTCTGCTCAACTGGCGGGAGAAATCACTGGCGTGCCACCATTCCAGGAATTTCAATGCGAAGATACTCGCCGGCAAGAGGATCCTCAAGCTCGACAATAACCGGGGATACAACGTTCGCGGATTGAATATGCCGCTCAACCCTTGTCCCGGTCTCCCAGCAGCGCCGGCCGCGACAGCTGCATCGGCAGCTTCTCTCGCCGCATCAATAGCCTGCTGATCCGCAGCGCCCATCCTCCTCATCCTCGTGGCAACCATCCAAAGAAACGGACTCGAGTATTTGGTGCCGTCAAACAGGTATCCCAAGCTGAAAGCCAAGATGCTGAAATAGTATGCCGCATTTAAACTCGGGTAAACATGCCGTAGAAACCACTTGTAATACCACATAAGCCTCTGCTTGATCGTCGGGTTTGGCGGCAGAGCGTCTCGGTCCAAATACCTCCTCCCTTCGACTCCGCCTAGCCCTCCCCCTCCTCCTCCACCGCTGACCAGCAACCCGGCCGAGGGCGCGATATGGATATCATAACTCTCATCCAGCTTCCTCTTGAGGTAAGGAACACCGACCAGGACGGCGAGGTTCCTCCAGACGTCCCGGCCATGGAGCTTGAGGCGCTCGCGGACCTCGGCGGGGACGGCGAGCTGGGTCCGCTTGACCTCGCCGCCGCGCACGCCGAGGACCTTCTCGCGCTTGAGGCCGTAGAAGTTCTCGGTGAAGCTGCCGCCAAAGTGCTTGAGGTAGTACTTCTCGACCGCGAGCGACAGCAGCGCGTACACCTCGTCGTAGTTGTTCAGGACGCGCAGCAGGTAGCGCGGGTAGCGGTGCGTGAGCAGCGCGAGCAGGTACCGGATCGTGGGCGGCAGGAGCGCCGACAGCTGTTGCTCCGAGAGGAGTTCGAACAGGGACGGCTTCAGGTCGTCCACGGGCGACTGCAGCGTCGAGAGGTACTCCATGCCTGAGGGACGGTTTGCTGGTGTTCAGGCAGGCCGATCGGGATGTGGAGGTTGCTCAGGGCGGACAGGATGGGACGGGACGGGATGGGTTGGTTGGAGATCCCGTATCTGCGGTGATGGGATCAACTGGACGAAGCCGATATCATCCTTGGAACCACGACAGCGACAGACGCAGAATGGACAATCTCAAATTGACGCGCTGGGGACTGGGAAACAGATACTGATGAGCCATGGCAATATCGAAACCTAGAGACTGCGGATGTTTGATTTTCTGATCGGCGGGATTCGAGCCTCGGCATGATCTTCGGCCCCCAAACCGCCTACGAACCCGAGCCTCGAATACACAGATCGGACTGACGTATTCCTCTCGAATTCTCCTTAGCTAGAGGTATGTATAAAATTGTTCTTTCTCCCTTAATGCCGTCCGTATAACAGGTCGATAGTCTCCAAAGTGAACAATGGTCCAAGATACCCAGGTAAAGTACAGCCCCAACTCTCATCTCTCACCGTATGACCCAAACCATTCAGTCATCAAATGGCACGCAACTGATCCGCAAAAGTTTTCAGCCGCTTAATCCTCTCATTCAGCGCGTTTCTCCTCGCAGTCAGGTTCTGGTCCCTCTCGGCATCCACCGAGCGCGTGAAGACGTCCTTGTCCACGCCAAAGTCGCCCTGGAACAGCGTATGCAGGGGGCGCAACAGATGTCGCTCGACGACTTGCACGACGACATTGTCGACGAAGACTTCGCGTGCGATCTGATTAGGAAAAATTAGCTTTTGTTCTGTAATGATTCGCCCAGCACGCCAGACACGCTGTTGCTTACCTCGTAGTAAATGATCATCCTCTTGCCAATCTCCTCCGCCGACTCGGCGCGACTGTCCTGAGCCAGAACCCGGTCGACATGCGCCGGGGTAAATCGTGTGGCACTCCCAGGAGTCGGCGGTGGCGGCATATTCTCCCTCTCGTTCACGCTCTCCGTCCTCGTTGGCGACGACGTATTTGCCATGTACGGGTACTCCTCCTCGGCCACACGATTGACCAGGGCGAAATTCTTGTTGATTTTCAATTGCCGGGCCAGCTTCTCGAAGCGTTTACTCTGTGTCTGCGCGGGCTGTTTCCGGTCCTGTTCGATGGCTTTGAGCTCGTCCTCGGCCTTCTTTTTCTGCTTCTCGAGCGCCTGGTACAAGTGATCTTTCATAGCTTGTGATACCCGCGCCGGAAGTGCAGGAAGCTCTTTCCGGAGCACGTTCTCGACAATGTGTTCGACAAAGGCGACGCATCGGCGGTGGGCGTGGTCCAGGTGCATCCTGGCAATTCCGTACCACGGTTCCGAGTGCTTGCGGAACAGCAGGTTCAGGCGATTGGGATCATAGCTGTCCTTCAACTCGCGGCCCCGGGTGGATTCGAGCATCTGTTGGACGTAGGTGCGGAAGCCGTCCCTGTCCTCGGTGAGGCTGCGTGCAGATTTTGCCTGGCGTAGGCCGTGACCGTTCAGTTCCACTTCGCGCGCAAACTCGTCGTGGTCCTCTTCGATTCGAGACCGCAGGTAGTAATCGGGCGCCTCATGCCAATCGGCCGAGCCGTCCAGGTAAGTTCCGTCAACGCATCCCTTTGCCTGCACAGCCAGTCCAGTCCGCTCTTCACAGAACCTTGTCCAGATCTCGTCGGCATCTGCCAGCTTCTCGTTGATCCCATCTACTTCCCTCATCGCCTTCTGGAGCCTGTGCAAGATGTCGTCCTGGATGATTGGGAGCTGACGCCGGGTGTGGTCGTAGTAGATGCTCCTCAGACGGCCTTGCAGTGACTCGATGCCCCAGTAAGCTTGGTCGACCTGACTCCATCTGCGTTCGGGAGACATGAAGAACATGCGCTCAGCCTCGTCTCTTTCCGCTGTAGAGGTCTCGTTGCCGGTTTCGCGCACGCCACGATTGCGAAGGACATGCCAGCCCTTGGCAAAGTTGAACTCGGTCATGCTATCGGCGCCATTCTGGGCTTTCTTGACCCAAAAGTCCTCCAGACCCGAAGGCGACTCGACCAGATCTGGCTTGGTGATGATGCCAAAGGTTCGCTCCCCGGTCGGATCGACTTCTTTGGCGATTGTGAGGACGGACTGCTTTTGCGGGTCGAGATTGGCCTCGACCACGGCCAGGATCAGCGTGCGTGGTTGCTTGATCCAGTCATCGACGATCCGGCGGACCAGGTCGATGTACTCGCGCCCTTCATTGTGCGAGGCAATCAGACCGGGGGTGTCAATCAGAGTCAGCGGCTGCTGATGGGGCCTCACAACCTCCACCTTGAGCACATCGCTGGCAAAGCCTCCGCGGCCGCCCAACAGCCATTTCTCGGCCTCCTTGACGATTTGGCCTAGCTCGGTCAATCTCCTGGACTTGAACCTGGCGTTTCTGAGGCGGGCCTGGTCGTCAGGATTTCGTCCCGTGTCAGGCACTATCTCGATGTTGATTGACTCGACATTGCCTGGACGAAACCGAAGTCTTGAGACAGCCACAGTTAGCACATATCCTTAGAGCATCAGGATCAAGAACTTACTCGGTCACGAATTTGGTGCAGGTAAACTCTCCTCTCGGGAATGAAAGGCCGCTGATGGCCTCGAGGACGGAACTCTTGCCGGACGACTGGCTACCGCAGACCACGAGCTGAGGCAGTTGGAGCTCTCTGTTCACATCGAGGTCCTTGAGTCTGTCGACAAGGTCAAACAGCCGTCTCTCCTCCTGACTCTGCAGACTCTTCAGACGATCGGTGAACGGGTTGGGGACATCGACGTATCCATTCACGGTCGGGGTTTGTAGCGGATCTGGCACAGGAGTGCCATAGCCTTGTTGATACGCCATTTACAACCCTACGGGAAAACGACAGGGGAAAGCAAAGAGGGTAAGGTTGAGAGCTGGATAAAAAGGTGTAGAGAATGAAGGGTGCACAGTCTAGTCAAGAAAGAAGCAGATCGAGATATGGGAGTGGCCGGCTGTGGGAGAACGCCCGTATACACACCTAGGCCTAGTACATGCATACATAGGTATTTCCAGGACAGCCACAGGTATCGGCCAGAAGTGTCTCTTTCCAATGCCAAGGGGGGCTGATGGCGTCCCGGTAGTTACCAACGCGCCGTTTGTTTTCCTCACTCAGCCTTACTGGTGGCAGAATTCGCCATCTTGCGCGGCCCTGGGCGACCCATGTCGATCCGCAGTACAGCCACTGGGCAACTGTGTTCCCTCGAACAGAGCGACAAGGCCGTCACCCGAACAGGCTACAGCGAAAAAGAAGGTCCGAGTCGATTGGGGCGAGATGGGGGGAGCATTGTTGTGCTGCAAAGCCGCGTAACGTCGCGCAGCCGGAGATGGCGATGTGATTGGCGCGTGTGTCGAGTGATATGCAGTGCCGGTGGCGACGGCGAAATGCTGCAGCCTAACAGGTCGCGAGGAGGAGGACGGAAGAGGACAGATGAGGTGTCAACTTGTCAATCAACGATCATGATCTGTGCCTCGGTGCCTTGTTTGGGAGTTGGGAGGAGCCATGCTGCTGAACTGATGCTGAGAAGACGCGCTGGAGACGCCCCGTTGTCTTCTCACTGGCCCGTTATGCTTTCTGCCTTGACCATGGCCCATCTGGCATCTGCCTAGACCCTCTGACAACTCGGTTACAGAGCAGTACGCTGCGCCCGGCAGAAGGCAGACCAAAACAAATGCGAAAGCCAGACTAATGTGGCGTTCTCTTGTGCAGGCTCTTTTTCAGCCCAGCCTGATCCAGAGTTTCCCTCGCCCAACCCTGCAAAACGCCCTGCCTGATTGCCCCGCCGACCTTCGATCCACCTGGCTGCTGCGTTTCCAGAAGAAGCGGGCGAAGCAGGGCGAGACACCACCACGAGGTAAGGATCTACTCCCTCCGCGTCCTCTGTTGTGGGAGTCTTGAAGGGCCACCTGTAGTTACGTATCGCCACAATCACAAGTGTCTCTATCACCTGTTCGGCTAAGACTGAATCCCCTGCCATATTCAGGTACCTCACTCCATTGCTCACACGTCCATGCTGTCCTGATTTGACCTCCTCTCAGGTCTTGTCTTATCCTAAAACACCACCACCAGCCATCATTGACTCTGTATCAATACTCCTCACCTAAAGCAAGTCTGTGAGGAAAGGAAAAATCACCACCATGGCCGCCGTTATCAGTGCCATGGACATCACCTACTGCGAAGGGGCACGTCTCCTGCAAGACTCGCAAGCGGATATAGATGCGATCCTGGTCCAGCGACCCAATGGAAACCTGACCTGCAAACACTGCTACCTCGTCCTCGCCGACGCCGACAGCCTCCGGACCATTTCTTCCGACAAGGACTGGCCGCTGGTCGTGAGCTGTCACGTCCAGGCGTGTGCCTCGCTGCACGACCGCCGGGCCGCGTACTCGTGCTATGCTTGCCTCGAGAGAGGGAAGACGTCCATCGAGACCTCGGTGGCCGCCCTGAAGAGCCATCTCCAGTCTTGCGATCTGATCAAAGATGTTCAACCCACAAAGCCGTCCCAGCGGCAAGAACCCGTCAAAGAAGGACCGGGTGCAGCTCCAAGTATTCCCGAGCGGCCGAAACGGCGTTCACGACCAGCACCAGCTATGGAGGCGACGCCCGAGAGACAAACAGCTCGCGAGGTCGAGTCGGCCCAAAGCGCTAGTAGCCGGCGGCCTGTCCCCTCGAATCCATTCTGGTCTGGTCAAGCAGCACCGCCTGTTGTCCCAAACAGTCCCGTCACACCGGCAGAGTCTGAGCGACCCTTACAACCACGGTCGAGGAGAGAAGTTCCCACTCAGGCAGAAAGAACCTACACTCCTTCAAACGCACCCCGACCAGGGCAACCTAGTACGCCAAGCCGACCTCACGCGGACGCAGCTGACATCTTCAACGTTCCAGGCGGCTTCCCCCCTCACGACGCTGCCGGCCATGACCCTCGCAGTCCATTCTTCCAAGAGTTCCCGCCCACCCCTCCGCCGCCGCGAGGGACCTTCTCCAACGACCACCCGGCGACACCGATTAGACGAAAGGACGTCAGATTGGAGACCGCCTCGCAGCCGTTCCCAGAACCCGCTCGAGAGGACCGAACGTTTCCGACGCGACCGAGTCGAGCCCCTCCCGCGCCGCCGGTGTTGTCTGCGCCAGCCCCGGCGCCAGGTCCAAATGCTTGCCCCGACGCCCGACCAACCCGGCCGGACGTGCCACCGGCATTTCAGAACACTGGTAGTGGCGACATAAACGGCACCGCCATGGAATATGGACAGGTGCCGCAAAGTCCGCGCGCTGACCCGGCCAAGATCCAACAACTCGCGGCCCTGGGAATCAGCAGGGCCAGAGCCGAGTATCTGCTCCACCAGACGGGAGGAGACGTCAATGAAGCAGCCGAACTGGGGTTCTCGGAGCAGCAGGGCAGCGTGGGCGGTGCTGGTGGTGGATGGCTGCCGACAGCAGCTTCGCAGGCTGCACAGTCTGAGGCACTCCCATCGTCTCCGGGCCTGGACAGACGAAATCGACGGTCAAGGTAAGGGGAAGGCATGGGATGGCGGAGAAGAGGCCTGGAGGATCTAGACAGCATTTGAGCCACATTCGAGGGGGATCTCGCAACATATTGTCTTTGGAGTTGCAACGGCTACCCAGACGGGCAAGAGTCGTCCAATCTGTGTAAGAAATAAACCATTATATTTCACCTTCTACCGTCATGGTCGCAGCCAGGGTATCATCATCTCCAGCTCTTTCTTTTTCCCGCGCACCGACCCTCCCCGGGTCTTTTGCACTCCATCGCGCATAGAGATCCGTCGTAGAGTTCAAGAATCAAATCGAGGGACGATCGCGGTGGACAGTGGTGCAACGCTGCGCTATTGTACCGAAAGGAAGGAAGGGGATCGCAGCGTTCGACGCGCGCGCATTCGAAGCGGCTCACACCAAGGTTTCGGGCATTCAGACGCGGCGCATGCATCAAAACACGCATTCATTCCGCGTCTCCTCAACAGCCCAGAAAGTTGGGTCGAGGCAATGGGCGGTTCACACATTAGTGGTAAATGTGCACACGGCCCAAGGGGGCGCGTCAGTAGCTGAAATGAGGGGGGGTATGGTACCTTTTATGACGCCGTAGGGGGATCATGGTGATGATGATGTCAAAAACCCCAGTGGTGCAGAAGATGGGTCATTGGCAAGGGCTCGTCTGTGGCTGTCTGTTGGCTGTCTGCGGGCTGCCATCAGATTGTGCTGCGTGACGTGATCTCCGAAGTCGACGACTACCTCGTACTAGGGAACTACCTAGAGGTAATAAGCTAGTGAAGTGCCCTAAGTAGCCACTACTTGTAGGTAAGTAAGTAGACCAGCCTTGCGGCCCTACGAGGTCCAGCCTCGCCAGGCGGGTGATGAGAAGCCACCATCCCCAGCCTTGTGGCATGCATGGCATTAACTGGTTTGCCACGATACAAACATTATCCCCAACTCCTCCGTCACCAGCCACAGCGACGGCAAGACGGCAAGACGGCAAAAGCACAGGGCCAGGTCAGCCAAGTCAGACAGTCCACAATTGAAGTCATCTTGGACGGTCGCCCAGGGGCTGATGATGTCAACAACCTCGGAAAAGGTGGTATTAATTATTCAATGGCGAGTGGCAGAAGAGTGACACACACCCACCCATCCGTCCATCCATCCACCGTACAAGTACAAAGGAATTTGACATCCCCCCCCTTCCCCCTCCACCTTGGAAAAAAAGTGGCTCTCTTGGACTTACAACACCCCGGCCCACTGCATCTCACGATCAAAATCTCACATCTTACTACCCGTGGGCCTTTGACGTCAGCGACCCAGGGGAGGGATCGAGTTGGGATCTCAATCGAGGACTTTTGTTCCCCCGCTCCACTACTACTTACAAGAAACCCACACTTGTTCCGGGCCTGTCGATCTAGACAAAGGCATGTGATCGAAGGTTTTCATTCCCTCCCCCCTCCCCTACCTTCAGACCCAGGACCGTGCAACGCGGCATCCCGATTCGGGGGCGGTGACAAAGGCCGGATCATGGTATCCGGATCGCCCTCCCTCACCCCGAAAAGTTCTTTGGCCCTGGAACCTTGAGGATGTTCTACCCTTCATCGATGGACGGAGCTTTCTTGAGCAGATTCCACCTAACCTAGTGACGGACGGCACACCTTGGTCCCTGAGGTAGTCTGCATCAAGCCGACCCTGCGCGAGGGCCGCGCAGTGGTCAAGGGTCAACCAAATGCAGGGTCGGCGAGCATGTTTTCCCAGGGCAGGGTGCGCGATCAAAGGTAGATAGGTAGGTAGGTAGGTAGGTAGGTAGGTAGGCAGCTTGGACGAAATCTCAACCTCAACAAAAAGTCCGACGATGCCTGCGCATGGTCCTTCCTGCAGCTCGGTCAGCGGACTCGAAATTTTGGAATTCATAGATCCAAGACACTTTCTCGAAACGAAGGAACGCACAGTCAAAAGGCCGAACGAAAAGGTGCTCTCGAACTTTCTCTCGAAGTATTTGGAAGAACGAGCAAGTTTCGGCTTGCTGAGTGCCGGGTGTATTCAAGCCGCATTAGGCTATCACATAGACTCGGGTTCGCACCCTCTTCCATGGTCTTTCAGAGTTCGTGGCAGCCATTCGTCGGGATGCTGCAAGGTTGAGTTCGGCTGTCGACGAAGCTTTGGTTCCTCGCAATCCGTAAGAACGCCGGGACCCTCGGATCATCCCAATCGATGGTCGAGCGCCCAAATGGGTTTTATACTTTGCAAGACAAAGCCGCATATTGCAAATCGGAGCCAGACATTGGACAAATGGATTCAGACATCTGCACAAAATGGTTGCAAAATACACTAAGTATCGCATTGCAACTGATACTATTTAGCTACCATTACATATCTCGTATTCTCGGAAGCCAGCCATAAGCCCGACTCGGCACAAATGCCTTTGCATCTGCGCGCGGGAAAATCATTGCGAGGCAGCTGAACTCCACTTTCCAAGTAGGAAATGCCATTTTTGTCGGGTGTCCTGTGGTCCCTTCCTATTATCCCACTTCGTCTCGACATTCATCCGCATGCACAAAATGCAGTCGGAAGCTAGCTGTGCGGAACCTTTCCATGCTCGTCAACTCGTTGCGACGGCCAAACGCTACTGGCCAACGACAACGTCGCGCCCAAGCTGTAGACTCCAGTGCTGCATAAACCGGGTCCCAAAGAACAGGGAGCTTGCCTGGGTGTCCTGGACAAGAGAGCTGAAGCAGCGGTCCCAAGCCGAATGGCGTCGAATCGGGAGCATTTCGGTCGGTCACGTACAGGCACCGCCACATGAAGCGGGGCAGAGGCAGCATTCTGACCCCGCCAATGACATGCTAACTGTCTTTGACAGGAACAGCTGCACGTCTGATTGACTGAGTCATCCTTGGTATTCCGCGAAGGCAGCTGAAGCCAGAGAGAAACTTCAGTGAGGGGTATCATCGAAAAAAAGGCCGCCTTGTTCCGGCAAGGATGAAGGACCTTGCTCGCCTGGGGCGGGGGTCCGAGGCAGCAAAAAGATTCCGCGCTAATTGGTACATTGAACTGAAAGAATGATAATTGGCTGTGAACGCCTGGAGTTTCTCTCTCTTCAATCGGCCGGCGCCGGAGTGTGCACCTCGAATTCTGCAGACCGATTAAACTCTGGCAGGGGCGGATGCAGCATTTCGTCGTCGGTCGGCCCTGCAAAGAAGTTGTCGGGCATGACGGGCAGACTGCTAAAGCTCACCGGAGCGAAGTCTCCAAAATTCTGACTGGCCAGGGCGAGTTGTTGACTGAAGAAGTCGTTGCCCAGGGCATTGAGGTGGGCCTGAATCTCTTCCGGAGACTTGCATCCTTCACAGTTGGCATGTGCAACCAGGATGGCGTTCATCTGTTGGATCTCATCCTTCATGCGCATGACTTGGTCTTTGAGGTATGCGTTCTCAATTGCTTTCTCTTGCGAGTCTCGTTGTAACCTCTCCGTCCTTTCCTTCTTGTTGATCCGGCACTTTGCAGCTGCCAGTCTGTTCTTCTCGAGTGACTGTTTCCGCTTTTGCTCCTCTGGCGAGTCTCCTTGTTCGATGGTGATGGAGGATTTCCGCGTGGCCTTTCGCTTACGTCCCGCGGTCGTCGTCGTTGTCTTGGATGGCGCTGAGGCTGTCTCGGCAGCTTTGGGCCGGCCCTTGCCTCGTTTTCGTGGTTGTAGGTCTGCCGGTTGAGACTTGGGCGACAACTTCTCCGCTTTGGAGTCGGTGCTAGCAGCGGAGTCCGACCGAGGAGGAGTCATTTGGCCATATCGTGCAATGGCTGTAGAGGAATTAGGTAACACCGAGGTGATGAACTTGTCCATCTCATAGGCGTCCATGCTGAGCGGGTTCTCTGTGGATGGCTTCAAGTCATCATCCCGCTCAAACTCGGGCCATTGCGACATGGGATAGTCATTCGGAGGGCTGTAAACCTGATAGTCATTGATTGCTAGGGGCTTCTGCGGTGGGTCAAAGCCGAAGTCGTCGTCCTCAAGTTGGATAACCGCGTAGTTGGAGCTGGAAGGAAAGTGGTAGTCGCGAAAGGTGTAACCGTCTAGGTCACTGATGCTGGGGGTGGCGGATGAGACGCCGGCTGACGACATGGCTGACTGACTCCCAAGGGTTGCCACGGTAGGCGGGCGAGACTGCTGTTGATAGTCCTGATCGTGAAAAGAGCTTCAATGCCCTAGGGACAATGTGGCTTGTACACAGGCTCCGTTTGGGTAATGCCCTGAGTTGGACGTAAGAGCGCAACGCGTGGATTGGCCTGTTTGTCGAATGATGGTGTGTTTGCTGTGGACGTATCTAGAATGGTGGTACAGAGGAGGAATATATGATTCCTTTGGTGGGATTGGGGGGGCTTGAAGCTGAAGAATGTTCCAGAGGGGAGGGGTGGTTGTATAGGAAAACACTTCCAAAAGATGGGTAGGGGAGGCGCGTAGCTTGGGTCGGAAGGGATCGAGTTTTATTTAGGATCAGCAATCGGAGGGTAGTAACGGGGAGGGTGGAATTCGAAAGAAGGTATTTCGACTTGGAACAGAAGAAGGATCGGAGAAAAATCCAAGGCAGGCTTCAGTGGCTTGTGAACGTGTTGAGGATTGCAGGTGGACGCGGTGGGCTGTTTCTTGCTACACTACACAGGTGGGCCGCGGCTTGTGGAGCGCGCGATGGGAAGAGGGAGAGGAGCGAGAGATCGACCGATGGCTCTAGTCGTAGCAGCGGATGCTTGACCCGGTGAGCGGGAGGAAGTGCTTTGTCTCGTCAGCTGGAGGCACCGCAAGTGGCTGCGACACGGGCACGAAGTGGAGGGGAGTGGCTGATGCGACGTGAAATCCTGGTAGGGCCCAAGGAATTGACTTCCAGGAGACAAACGAAGGGGGGGAGCAGAGGGGTGAGTGGACGGGCAAGTGTAGGAGAGCAAATGAGAAGCGCGAGAGGGATCTCGGTCACAGTGTCCAAGAACGGCATGTGAAGGAAACCAGCGGCATTGAGGCTTTTGTGAAGTGCGGGGCAGGCAAAGACGCAAGGAAGAAGGAAAAGGAAAAACTGGTTGGCGGCACCGCTGGAAACAAAGAACAGGTGTCGGCGCAGTGGCGGAAGTGGTGGAAGTGGAGAGAAACGGCCGTGCAGCAGCCACTGCTTGTAGCCTACTCGTACATACAGTCAGTCAGTCAGTCACTCAGTCGGAGTGGAAGCAAGCACCAGGAATTGTCGACTCCGGCGCCGTCTCATCCAACAAGAAACAGGAACCTTCCCCCTGGGCTCCTGGGAACAACGACCCTACTGTATGCAGTTGGCGTGGGCATGTCACTCACTGCAAGAGACGATTACCCGGGGGATGGATTGGGCGTCTTCATCGAGCATCTGTGCCTGCATCGATGCCCCTCCCCTTCACGGGCCTTCTCTAGCTCCTCTGGGCCCCCCGCTAGGCTGCCTTAGGCGGGCCCAGCTCCCTAGCTGTTGGGATCGCTTGCCGCCTATGTCATCGACGATCGGGCATGGAGATCGGCGAAGATCCCCCCAGTGTCTGGGTGGGTTTCTGGTCATGGGAATTCTGAAAAGTGCCATCTGCCGGGCTGATCCTCTCGCTACTGAGCGCCACTCGGGGCCTGCAATCCGTCGAATCAACCGCCTGCGCAAGCCTCAGCAATGCACCGAGAGGCTGACGCCGCTGCTCTTGCCCATCGACGATTCCCACATTGGTGACACCTGGTGACACCTGGTGACACTGATCACCGCTCTTACATAAACGCCCTAGCCCATCCGCACGACTCCCTCGCCTACGTCAATGTCCAGCGAATCACCGACCCCAGCCCTGGACTCAAAAGACAAAAGCCTCGTGGCAGACGAGGAACGAGGAAGGCACTGGGGAGAAAGAAACAAAACTCAATTGGACATGGGAGAATTCCTGGGCCAGCCCAGCCTCGTGATCAGTGTTCTTCTCACCTCTCTCAGTGAAACAGAACGAAGAACGAGGGAATCAGGCAGTGGGAGATAGGACGAGGGAAACAACAACGCGGTGACAATCAGCCATGTAATAGGGTACGTCATCCTCTCGCCAAACAAGCTGCACCAAAACGGTCCGCATCTGCCCCGGACATGAGATCCGGGCATGGTCACCGCTTGCAAGCTGAGGCGCGGAGGATCGAGCCAGGCAGGCCAATCGATCGATGAATCTGTTGCTGACGATTGGTGTCTTGTTGGGTGTAGTCTTATTATTATGGTGTATCTCTTTGCTCCAGAGTCCCACAAGCAGCCAAAGATATGCCGTCATACTTGTCCCTTGTATTGCCAATTTGTTGCCACGCTTCTCCCATGCTCCCTTGCTATGCTTGGACGATATGCGCAACCACCCACGCCTGGTTTTACAACAAGATAAGCGTCAGCCCAATCAGCCCGGCTCCCGCTGCGGACACCAACTCCCAGCGAGTGGCGCCAATGCTTACGCCACTGCTGCCCTGATCTGTCGCGATCCCAGTTGCACTTGTACTTGTACTCGTGCTGCTAGACGCCGCGCCACTGCTCTCAGACCCGGTTGACGAAGCTGTGGATGCACTACCGCTGGCCCCAGTGGTGCTAGCACCAGTGTTGTTGCTGGAATCGGCGAACGCGGTGATCGTCACTGGAATGAAAACGCTAGTTCGTTGTGAGCCACTACAAGATTCCTGACAACGACCAAAACGCAATCTGGGACCACAAACTTACATTTCGGACTGCGACAGGACCGTCGTAGTGGTCGTGGTGATCATTTTGGTATCGGTGTCGGTTACCGTCGACGAGTCAGTGGCCGTAGCCGTTTCCGTATCCAGGATGTCTGCGGGTCCGATGTATGTCTCTGTGCAAGTGGCGGCTGTTGTTCCTTTTACGTTGCAGTCGAGCACGAGCGACAATGGGTCGAGGGTCTCTGCCGCGCGGAAAGTTGACGGGCCGAACGTGATGGTAACTGCGTCAGGGCCGAATCCGCATTCGCTCATATCGGCGTTGGTTGGACATGAGATCGCCATCGTGGTTTTGGAGGCATCCTGTGTTGCCAAAGGTAAGTCGTCGTATTTGCAGATGGCACGCAACTTGTACATACGGAGGCAATGAGGGATCCCAGAAGAGTTTGATCGTCCGCATCGGGGATGAAAACATTGATAACGGACGAGTTCTGAGCGCTGACCGCGGCAGCCATCGCCAGTGCGAGGGCTGATTTCTTCATGGCGACCATCTTCTTCGATGCTGTACGCTTCGGCGGGTTGCTGGTCACTTGTGTGCGGTTATTGTCAACACGTATAACAGATGAGGCTCAAGAAGATACGAGGTCAAGACGAGGGAAGAGAAGCCACAGCGGATTGGAGAAAAGAGGTGCATCTCATAGTCCCTCCCAGGCAACGTTTGACCCTTTCCCGAGTCCCGGAGCATTTTGGGGAAATTGGCATGTGTCGATGGTGTCGGGCCATGTTCTCAAACTGCCCCTTTTTTCCGTTTCAGTCCAATCCCTCGGCAAGCCGCACAGGCGCCAAAATCGTGCGGAAAGTGCCCTAGCCAGTAAGTCCCTCGGAAAGCCGATAAAGAGTACCCACAGAGGTCAAAGCAAAACGGTGACATTCGACGAGAATGGGGTGTGTTTCTGGGTCTCCCAGTTTTGCGCAGGCTCTTCAATACCAACCAGTCAGTGACTGTTCGAGATGGTAGCTACTCCTGAGAGGTTCGGTCCATGGCATAATTGTGCACCGAGCACAGCAAACACTCCTGCTGAAAGACATCAACGAGACAGACACCCGTTATCTGGGCCGATAATATGCTTTCAGGCCAAGCGAAATTTGACGTTGGGATGAAGTTGGCAGGCTGGCCAAGTTGTGCGCCGGGCGATCATGAATCGTGCTGCTCGCTTCCGAGACACGCGCTTGATTGGGAAGTGAGCTGCAGAGACCGGGCTCGTCCTTTAGGGTTAGATGGGCCCGATCGAGCCAAAACTGACGACCAACGTTCATACTAGGGGCCACGCTGGAGACAGAGATGAAGTCAAACGCAGATGAGTTTCAGTTCGCGCCGTTGACTAGTGGCCCCAAGGGAAGCGCAGTCAAATGCCAAGCATTCGCCGACTCTCTGGGAAATGAGGCGCTTGTCCGTTTCTGGTAAATGTGCTCACGTGCCTCACCGTCGTCGTACATCATTTCTCAAGGCCGCAGTCGACCGGTGCCATGGTGCTAGACAAGCTCGAGGACTATGGTCCGACGACCACGGCGAACTCGCTCAGCTCCAGATTGCGCAGGAGATGAGTTGTGGAGGCGGGGAAATGGCGGACACCGGCCCAACTTGGACTAACTATGTCACATCGCACCCGTCTGGATACCCCCTGATTGAGCCAAAGCACCGGGTATGTTGATCTTGCTGTCAAGCTGTGCCCTCCACGAGGCACCTGGAGCCTGCGATTCGATATTTCTGTTTCCTACCATCCACTCAATAGTTGCTGCTGAATGTTTTGACTCGCTTAGTTACAAATTATAAGGCGCTATCGCCGTTGACGGCCTCGGTTTCTTCACCGAGCAGCGATCCCCCGGCCTGGCCATCTACCTCTCCATCCGCTTCGCTCAAACTGTGGACTTTTCTCATGTTGATGCTTTCGGTCCCGCCAACGCCTCCGTTGCTGTCATGAGTGGACAAGGTCTTAGATCTGGTCAGGAGCTTGTCTAGCCATTGCTTAACCTCCTCACATCCCCATCGGCGCCGAGGGTCTCGCTCAAGCATCCCAGATATGCATCGAACTGTCATCTCGCCTGTGCCTGGTTCGTGTCCTTCACTGTCGATTTTCTCCGCAAGGCCAGTTGGGGTCCTGCCCCTTTGTAGGTCCCGCAATACATGTATGCGCTCTGTACTGGTCAGGCAGGGCCATAGCAGTTCAACAAGGATGACACCAAGCGCAAATACGTCCACTTTCTCGTCCATTTGCGCGTTAGCCTTTGTCTTGCCTTTGGAGTCAGTCCACGGCGGCGGTCGATAGTATTCTGTCCCCACCGCCTTGCTGGTCTTTCTGCCACTGTTGCTTGTCTCGAGGTCTTCTTCTCTGGCTAGCTGTGCAACAAGTCCGAAATCACCAATTCGAGGATTGACATAATATGTACTAGGGTTGTCACAGCCGATGCAAAATCCCACGTCGTAATATCCGTCCGAAACTAACCCTACCGCGGGAAAGCTCAAGCTTGAGATGAAGATGTTGGATGGTTTGATGTCACGGTGTACAAGTCCTTTGGCATGGATGTACTGCAAGCCACACAGAATGCCCATGAGCAGTCTTAGAGCTGGGACCAGGTGGAAACAGTGTCTGCGAATGGGGTTGCCGGGTGCACTTCTTGCATTGGTTGGTGTTGGTGCTAAATACTGTGCGAGAGTCATGGGATATACTGACATCTGCACGTGTAGCACATACACTGACTCATCCATGGCTGGATCTTGCAAAGCGCTGGCCCTTGCGTTTCCATCTGTGAAGATCTCAGAAGCCCTTGCGGAGGATTGGTCGTGATCGGTCTCACTGATGGATAGCGTTGGATTGGCGGCACTCTCCACATCCTGAGCAGGAGTGTTCGGTCTGCTGTCAAAGCCGAAGATGATACCGTCGCCGTGATCAGAGCCCTGGCAGCTTGATGGAACATTTCGATTGGCGGGCTGGGAATGCCTTGGGCGGTCGGCAATGAGTCTCCTGCCCGGAACTGTGAGGCTTGGTTTTCTAAGTTGGGATGCCATAGCAGATGTCCTTCTCGGCTCCTCTATCCACGTCGAATGGTAACGAACAACGTTGTTGTGCTCGAGCTGCGCCAAAGCCTGGACTTCCCGCAGTACGTTTTCCAGCTCTTTGTGACCAGATTCCTGATACCGTTGCGATAACCGAGGGCTTAAAGGGATCTTCTTGACAGCGTATTCCTTTTTGTCAAATAGGTTGTAAGCATGATATACTCTGCCGAAACCTCCTTTTCCGAGCAATCTCAGTTGCTGAAAGCTGGACTCGTAGTGACTGCGACGTGTTATGGGCGTAGATAAGACTAGATCACTATACGGTGATGAATGAGTCTGACTGTGCAGAGAGAGGTTTGTCATGGGCGATGCGAGCAAATTGGGAACGAGAGACTGTGGCTGATGGTTGACGTTGGTTAATGCCATTTGATGTTCAAGTGATGGAAGTTGACTTCGAGCTGGCCCATGGTGGAGATCGTGGTTCTGGACGCCCCCAAGCGCAAGACTTTCGATGCCAGCCAGATATGCCGCTCTTGTTTGCTCGTTGTCCCTGTCGTTGCTGGCTGAAAGGATGCCAGTCAGAGATAATGATCGACTAAGTTGCTCGTAGAGTTTTTCCGCCAACGGTTGGATTTCGGCCGATAATCTGGTGAATCTGGATCCTGGCTTTGCATTGTTCATGACCTCGCATGCTCTGTTCCTGGCAAAGTCCTCGAGAAGAGCGCTGAGCAGGTTAGTCCGGTGTTGGTCGACATTGGAAAGAGAACCCGCAGGGGCATCCATCTCTTCTCCAAACGAGACACTGCCATGGCTAGAAAGCGATTCAGTGATAACGGTCTGGCCTTCCCCAATACTCTCATTGATTTGGTGTGGCGGAATCTCATCTTCCCCTGAGCTATCGCTGTCTGAGCCGGAACTGGAGCTTCCATCGGTAGGTCGTCGAAAGAAAGCAGAACTCATCCCTTCAATCCCAACCGATTGGCCTCGCTCTCGGCAGCCTTTCAAGGACAATGATCATCGCATGAAGAGGAAGAAATTCGGCAGGAAGTCGGAGTTTGATGATCTTGGCTGAGGAGGTAAACAGGTTGAGATGACTGCAGCGCCTTGAGCAGAATTGAAAACTATGTTTGTGCTCTCGGTTGTACTATATCATTGACACGACTGTACTGTGGCCTTTCATACGATGCAGGATATTGGACACCTTTTCGGCAGCCATTCGTAGCTTGGCGAGGCGTGCCACGCGATTCGATGTCGTTCGGTCTTAATTGGGAAAACCGAAGGGCGTGTGCACATTGACAATGTAACAAGATAGGCACCAGTTCAGCCTCAGTTGAAATAGGCCACAGATTTATACCGACTTTCACTTGAGAGGTGGGCAATACAACTGGGGGGATAAATCAGTCTCGCAGGTATCGAACCACTTGATCACTGACTCAAGTCACCACGCGGAATCCAAATTTATATCTACGCGCACTAGTGACTAACTGAAGGTCATATGACATCATATGGGACATGTGAGTGGTAGTCGGAAGTCGACGAGGCTGCACGAGGTAATTGATTGATTCGAGTGATGCTTCAAACACTCCATTGTCAAATCATGTCGGTGCAGACCTTGGTATCATATTACCCTGTTCCCCAATCATACCTCGTCGTTCACATCGAGATCTTCAAAGTCATCCAGAAGCTCATCCATGTTGATCTGAGGCACTTCATCCTCACTGCTCTCCCCAGTCACCATGCTCATCTCATCTGCATCCTTCTTCTTCTGATGCTTCGCCTTGTACAACGCTAACGTTTGTCTGAGCTCTACATCTTCCTCCACATCTCGCAAGAACATTTCGTAGTCGGCATCCATCCTATCCTGATCGGCCTTCTTCGGCAGTAGTTCGCCCTCATCCTTGGCCATCCGCCTCAGCCTCCAGCTTCTGCTCTTTGGTTTCTTCTTCCTGGCGTAGAACTTCTTGACTAGTATCACGTCTGGAATGGTCGAAGAGTAATTGTTGCTTTGCTCCAAATCCTCGAACTGCGGATTGTTGAAGTTTGTCCCCGTCAAATGGTAACCAAGCACTGAATCCCCAGCATGCAACACTCCACCGAGATGTGTTCTGCAGTAGTAGGTCTTGTCGTTAGAGCCAAGATCTGAAGCCCTTGCTACTGTGGCCTCGGCTCCAAAAAATCGACCATTTTGGGTGCCTAAAGGTTCGATGTCGAGGACAACAAACTCCACAAGTTCCTGCACATCTGCAAGGCTCTTGAAAGGCGTACGCCAGTAGGTGGATGTCGGCATGTCTGCTGTCTGTAGTGTTGTCGGATCCAGCAGATTGACCGACGTGCCCACCCTGTAACAAAGGGTCAAGGGCGCAATGTTGCCAATGGACTTAGCCATCTTGATAGGCAAGGCAACCAGATCATCTTTGCATATCGGTAATAGTTCGCACGAGAATGTGAATTTATATGATTTCGTCGAGGTATGGATGTCCATGGAAATGAGTTCCTGGGACTTCTTTACTCTGACCGGTGTCACGGAGGTGAGGAAGTCGACAAATTTTTCTGCATGATTTCGTTGGGAGAAGTAGAAATCCAGCCCGTCCTTGACTTCCCTGATGTTGATCGTGTCTTTATGTGCTTGGTGTTTGAGGACCAGCTGCTCGAGGTACAAAAATGTTCGCTTATGAGGCACTTTCTGTCGAACTTGGACCGAGGCTCGCCATACGTTGGGTGTATATGACTTGGCGCATTCTGGACATTGTTGGAAGGCGACCACATACTCCACCTCGAAAGTTTGCTGCAAGATTGTTCCTTCATAAGCCTCTTGTTGGACAGTAATCTTGACCTTGATCCGCCTGGAGTGTGGCTCCGTCCAGAGGAAATTAGCGTCGATGATTCGAACTTTGTTAAGACCTCGAAGTTTCCGTAGACATAATGCCAGTAGTTCTCTACTCTCTGGGGCTGCCGATACCCACTGTGAGGGTGGGCTCAGCCATCTTTCGCAATCCCGGCATGTGTGAAGTACGCCTTCCCTTTGAATCCCTTCTGACACGTCGACAGTGAGTTTGATACAGTCGTAACATAAAGCACCTGCGGAGGCAGTTCCATCGATGGGAGCGCCACAGTTACAGCAGAGGATGGTTGCTGCTTGTGGCTTGTTCACAGAAGGAAGGGCAACTGGAGCATCAAGGTCCATCGACATCCTGAAATTCCCTGATGTTGTCCAGATACAATGTTGGTCGATAAACACGATCGGAAGAGTTGCAAGGAAGTGAAGAAGGAGGAGTCAAGAAGAGAGGGAAGATATGGCTGAGGAATGGAAGATTTGAGAAAAAGTGACTGTCTATTATTCAGAATTCGCCTCCCGCTTGTTGGACCCCGGTCGGCGCCAAGCAAACTGCGTAGTCTCAGCCTTGCACGTGGAAGCTCTCGCTTTACCTTCTGTATTAGATAAGGTTGAATGCTGGGAAATAGAGCGAGCCTCGGAGTGAAGAGTACGGACAAATTCCCGAGGTTCGTCCAACGCCGTCATATTGAACGAATTCCCCAGACCAACCTTGCCCACGGGGTTCAATGTAATTGCCTCTGTCCTTCTCTTCGATATGAAAGCCTGCTGTGCCAGATACGCGGCCTCTCTTGTCGCACCCGGTACTATTGCCAGAACAGCCGCCTTCGCCGCAAGGTCCAGAGCTCCATTTTCTCCATTGGCGCTGGGCCGTCGAATGGTAGGCCCTGTGTCCTAGAGGACTATCAACTTGAGCTCACAAGCAGTGCAGATGTCTTCCACGACTATCCAGTACGGCGTGATGCCGAAAGAACTCCCAACAGACGATCCTGACGACGTCCTGTTCAATTCCCTCTACGGCGTACGAACCATAGAATTGAATCGACCCAAGAAGCTCAACTCTCTCAATGGGTCAATGGCAAGGAAAATCCTCCCGCGCCTTCGGGAGTGGGAAAAATCTCAAATGGCTAATGTCGTTCTGATAAGTGGTGCTGGTCCAAAAGCCTTCTGCGCAGGGGGTGACGTTGCGGAACTTGCGACACAGAACAAACAGGGACCAGAAGGTCAAAAGAAGTCTTCGGATTACTTTGCTCTTGAATACCAATTGGACCACCTGATTGCGACATACAGCAAGCCATACATAGCCATCATGGACGGCATAACAATGGGCGGTGGTGTTGGCCTATCCGTCCACGCACCTTTTCGGATCGCTACCGAGAAGACTGTCTTTGCTATGCCGGAGACTACCATTGGTTTCTTTCCGGACGTCGGTGGAAGTTTCTTTCTGTCCCGTCTGGATGGCGAGATTGGTACATATCTATCACTGACTTCCGAACGGCTCCATGGCGTGCAGGCCTTCTACGCTGGCATTGCGACGCATTACGTCGACAGCTCTGTGTTGGCACAAATGACAACTCGACTTTCCGAGCTCGTCTTTAAAGATTACGCTAATCTAAACGAACGACTGGAACTTATCAACTCCACAATCTCCGAGTTTTCGAGCAGTCTACCATCACCCGATTCCTATGAAGCTGCCAAGTATGGGAACCTCACCGGCGCCTTGCGGGAAGCTGTCGATCGAGTCTTTAAGTACAACACCATAGAGGAAATACTGGGCGCTCTCCAGAAGGAAACGGAATCAGCAGACGAGAAGATCGCCGAATGGGCGAAAGCAACCCAAAAGACCATAGCTATCCGATCCCCCACGAGTCTGCGGGTCACGCTACGTCAGCTCCGAGAAGGGAAGCACTGGAACATCTCCGAGACCTTCATCAAAGAACACAAGATGGCCAGTAGATTCATGGCACACCCTGACTTTGTTGAGGGCGTCTCTGCACGCCTGATCAACAAACCGCCCACGAAACCTGAGTGGAAGCCTGCCAAGCTAGAGGATGTCTCGGCAGCAAATGTGGACGAATTCTTTGCCGCGCCTACAGAGCAGGAGGCTCTGAGGTTGGTGGAGCCTCACGAAGGAGCACTTGACCAGCATTACACAGACTACCCGCACGCCAAATTTGCATTGCCTCGGGAGTCGGATATCGAGGCTGTTGTCAAGGACTTGGGCAAGGAAGGTTCAAAGAGGGTTACGGACGAGGTTTTGAGGCAATGGAATAACAAAGCCGGCGTGAGAGAGAAGGTCCAGGATGTAATTGCACGCAAGACCGTCTCCAGTGACGGAACAGCACTGCGGTGGAAGGGCGAAAGTGCCCGTTTATAGATGGCGTACATCAAAAGAGCTGATAGACAATTGTAGCATTATGAGAGGCAATATTTGCGTGCAACTTACCTTGATTGACTGCCAGGGGATATTTTGGACTCGACGTCTACCCTCTCCCGCTCGCCGCCTGGCTTTCTCCAACCAAAAATTTTCTCCGCATTCACCCACGACCCTCAACTCGAACGTGAGTGCGCCGCCTCAATCTTTTGTTTCGTCCTTCCATTTCGCATTTTGTCATCTAGCACAGCGGCAGCTGAGAATTTGCCCTTCTCTCTCGCTCTGCCAAGCCAAGATTGGCTGAAAACCCACATCATGGGGTCCGAGAGGAGGAATACGTACCTCGACGCAGGTTTCTCGGACGAATCAGACCAGGATGCTGGCTACGACTCCGAAGCCGCCGAAGTGTCGAAGGCTGGCAGAGCAACTAAGAGGCGGAAGATCGAACATGAAAGCAGCGATGAAGAGGAACATGATGCGCCCGACCTGAAGCGCAGTCGAGCAGCCACTAATATTTCGAGCGCACCGGCCGCTGTTCCTCATTCAAAGTCGGGTAGCGGTGAGGATGAACTTGAGAGTAAGAAGGAGGAGGACGAAGATGCAGAATATATTGAGAACCCAGGTCGAGACGCAGAAGCACACGAGTCGGTAGACGCTCAAGAACACCAACCCGCGCCCACGACGAACGAGCCCGCGCCCCCGAAGAAATCCCCAAAATCCAAACCCAAGGAGACGAGCCCGGGCGTGGTCTACCTCTCATCCCTCCCTCCGTATCTCAAACCCTCCGCGCTCCGCAACCTCTTGGAACAACGGGGCTTCTCGCCGATCACGCGGCTCTTCCTCTCGCCGGCCTCCCGCCACGCGCACAACTCCAAGAAGAACTCGCGCCAGCTGTACACGGAAGGCTGGATCGAGTTCTCGTCCAAAAAGGTCGCGCGGAGGTGCGCGGAGACGCTGAACGCCACGACCGTCGGCGGCAAGAAGGGCGGCTGGTACCGAGACGACGTGTGGAACATGAAGTACCTGAAGGGCATGAGGTGGGAGGAGCTGATGGCCGGAGTGAGGGAGGAGAAGAGAGAGGAGGAGGGCAGGAGGGACGAGGAGAGGAGGATCATCGCCCGGGAGACGAGGCGGTTCATCGAGGGCGTGGAGGAGGGGAGGAGGGTCGAGGGGATCAAGAGGAAGAAGGCTAGCAGGAAAGGAGACGGCGAGGAGGCTGCAAATCATGGTCCAGGTGAGACTTCTGATGTCCGGAGAACTTGGAGGCAGAGCGAAGTCAAGGGCAAGAGGAAAGAACAGGATTCTGCTGTCCCCGAGAAGATCAGTGAAGACGTGAAACAAGTGTTGAACAGGATCTTCTAGTCGCTTGCGCTACGTCGCAGCGATCATCAAATTTTGAGGAACCAGCCTGCAAAATATCTAAGTTTATGGCAACATCATGTCCACGTCATGAAGGTCATGTCATCGCCTTTTCGGCAATCGAAAAGGATGCGCCTCTGTGTTCAGGACGAACTCGTCAAGACTCACGACGCCGGGATCTTCGAATATCAGCCAAAAGTACTTCAGTGTCTCCGCCATCCAGAAGCTTTCCATCTTGTCCGTCTTCCGCGGCTCGGAGTGCGTCACATCCTCAATACACGAATACCCAAACTCTGTCCGCGTGTGCTTGGTGATGGCCTCGAACATTTCCCATGCGCTTTCCCGCAGAGACTCATCCCCGGTAATCCGATAGAGGACGAAGATCGACTCGATCGCCTCGGGCCGCAGTTCGTAGGCACGGCTGGATATGGCCGAGATGCCCTTGGGTAAGCGGAGCCGCTGAGACTTCTTGCGAAGGCGTTCGGCTTCGGGTAGCAGTTTGTCCTGAGGAGTCTCGTCGTGGGAGTTGAGGAGGACCATATGTTTGAACCAGGCCTTGTCATCCCAGTTGCATTGACGGCCGTCAGCAGGGCACGAAATGAGATGGAACATCTCGGGCATGATGGTGGTCGGAGTCTGCTTGTATGCCCACATGCAACCGCGGACTAGTTTCTCGGCCGTGTCTAGGTCTTCCGGAGAATCGAAGAGCTTCGCGGCCAAAGCGAACATGCCTCCAGCGAAGCAGGCGAGGTGTTGGGTCTGTGGTGTGAGTTCGTTATGGCCCGGCCTGAAGGACTTTAGGGTCCCTGCCATGAGAATGTCTTCGTTGGTTGGAGTCATGGGTCTGAAGAGGATGAACTCCTTCATCGGCTCTTTGGCAATTTCATAGAGCTTCTTGTACTGCTCGTGGGCGCCACCGAGTAGTTGATATTCCTTGGGGAAATATTCATAGACAGAATCAGCAGATCCGCCGACAGAGAAGGTCACACCGTCCCCAAACCAGCATTCCCTCGCATTAACAATGTGCGGGAAAAGGCCCGGCGCCCTTGTGTAGTTTTGCTGGCTCTCTAGGCAGTCCGAGATGCGCTGCACCGCGTCATAGTACTTCGGGTCTCCGGTCAGTTGCGTGAGCCTGGTAAATTCCAGGCTCAACGTCCCAAGCTCGGCAACGAGCGTATGGCCTGATGCGCCTTCTACACCAATCTTTGACCACTTTGTGACTGGCATATGGTTCGGCGTGTCGAACGCGCCGTACAGCATTTCACCAAGCTCGATGGCCTTTTCCAGCAACTTGGGATATCGCCGATTGCTCACATCATACGCCCCGAGCAAACCTCCAAGATGGCGGATGGTGGTCTCGAAGACATTGATGGGCAGTTGTGTAGCAGTGTTGAAGTCGATGTCTGCCACAGCATGTGCTGCGGCCTCAAACTCATCCTTGAATCCCATCAGCCAGAGCGTGTCCAAGGCGTCCACCAGCGTCAAAGACCAGTCACCGAAGCTCCTTCTATAGCCTCCCGTCACCGGAGCCAGCTCATCTTGCAGCCACGCCCTCTCTCGATATCCGGTCCATGAGTGCATCATGGCATCTTTGATCGCCTGGAGGCGAACCAGTCGAGATTCCCTGGCAGTGTCGCTCTCAGCCTTGAAATCATGTTGGATTTTGGGGAGGATTTGAACTGCTGTGGGAAGAGGAATAAAGCTGGCAATGGGATTGATCAGATGGACCTTCCCGGGCCTCAAAGGCCGATGGTTGCCCCCTTCCAGACCATCCAACGGCTCCCCTTCGACATCGTGAGGTCTTGGGAGATCGTCATGGTCGAATCCATGATCAGGTAATACTCTTGGAAGGACCTCTAAGGACGATCCATGCAGATGCAAGAGAAGGAAGAACAGAATGCACACACCAGCGACGACGAGCAGCGGCCTTTTTCTGCAGACCGCCATCGCAGGGTAGGCGCAACACGGTGCAATATTTCAATATTCCCACTAGTTCATGCTGACAGGTGAGATGTCTTCCGTTCTCTTGCCTCGTCAGTTCACGAGCGAATAGGAAGGGCTCATTAATTCGTGCAGGTCCAGCCTTGTCATCTCTGTCAAGAAGGATTTGGATCATGGAGTCTGCATTTCAAAAACACCAAGTCAGGGGTTTAGGCCCATTCAAGTTTAGAGGCAGCAGAGGCGAAAATCACCCTTGTCTTGACGGATCTTCGCGCCCGCCGAGCCGGTGATGGTGTTGGTGTTTCTGGCTACGAGTGTTCCAAAAAGCTCTTCAGCCCATCTTTCCCTCTGTTCAACAGACTGCGAGTTCGAATCGACGGGACTGCGTCTCCGAGTCTACTCGTACCTTCCAGGAAATCAATGGTCAAGGCTGGAAATCGATGTCTCTGAATTCCTGGTCCACTCATTGGCAAGGCATCCCGGAAACTGGAACCCATTCGTCGACGAGCAGGCCCATTCAATCTCGCACGGCAGCGCTAAGGCAGGTACAGCCACAAACAACGGACGCTGATCCTGCCCCGAATCCATGGATCAGTGGCTGTCGGATGGCGGATGGTGGCGCCCCTTTTTCGTGCTTTTCAGGCTTCAATTCTCCACCATGGCTGATGGCAGATGGCAGCCCTGGTCAATGTCTCGCTGGTTTGCAAGGGCCTGCCTTGAATGTTCTGGATCTTGGATCTCTCGTCGAGGCACATAATATCTTTCTTTGGTCGCTGTCTTCATTCTCTTCTTCATCCTCGCTGTTCATGTCACTCGTTTGACCATCCTCAAGTCCCTTCGTTTGGTTACTTCAACTTCACAGTCGTTCGTTCATTTAGTTCCCTGTATTTCTGTTCAGTCGCTCTATATAAAAATAGGCCCACTCAAAGGTCTCTAATTCAGAATGAAGACAAGCCAATTACTTGCTTGCGTGGCTGCTGCCGTCTCGGGAGCTGAGGCATACTACAAAGGATTCAACATCGGAGCCAACCTGGCAAACGGAGCTTGTCGAAGCGAGTCAGACTGGGAGTTTGTGTTCAACAAGATCGCCAGTTTCCCAGGAAACTTCAAGAACGCCCGACTATACGCCTCAAGCGACTGCAATACCCTGGCAAATGCAGTCCCTGCCGCCATCAAAACTGGTACCTCGCTCCTTGTCGGCATCTGGACTGAGGACGACAGCCACTACGAGGCAGAGAAGCAAGCGTTATTGGAAGCCATTCAACAATACGGAAGCGATTGGATATTAGCAGTTTCTGTCGGTTCTGAGGATCTGTACCGAGGCGACACTGATGCCAACACCCTGGCGTCACAGATCAATGATGTTCGTGGTATGCTCTGGGGGCTTGGAGCGAGCAGCAAGTCTGTCGGACACGTTGATACCTGGACCGCCTGGGTGGACCCTGCCAACACAGCTGTGATTGAGGCCGTGGACTGGCTCGGCAACGATGCTTACCCCTACTGGCAGGGCGTTGGGATTGACAACGGTGCTGCTAATGACGCATACTGGGCGGCGGTCAACCAAGTGCGAGCGGTCGCCGGTGGCCGTGATGTGTGGACTACTGAGACGGGCTGGCCAATTTCGGGCGACGCTGTCGGCAGTGCTGTCCCCTCGGTCGACAGCTTGCAAACCTACTGGTGGCAAGTCTCGTGCGCGAGCTTCGACAGCCTCAACTACTTCTTCTATGATGTCGACGACTTCGCGGCCTCGCCCAGCTTTGCTGTTGTCGACTCCAACTACGACCCTCTCATCGACATGACCTGCGGTTCGTGAGCAGGCGAACCGAATGCTACACGAAATACATCTAAATCACTGGCTCACCATGAGCTGTCCAATCCTTTACATCTTTGCATAGCGCGGTTGGTAGGGGTGACCACCAAGAACCCCTGGCGGAAAATAGACTCAAATTCTTGTATCTCCAGATAGATACACGTATATCTAATGCAATGGCACATATCGCATGCCACAAACATACTTTGATTCTTCACAACAGCCTAGCTCGGAGTCTCAGTTCTCGGCCTGCTCTCTCCTCCCCATCGTTCCCCAACAGTCCAAGCGGCTAATCATCAAGGCAAAGAAAGGAATAAACGGCAGTGAATCAAAAACCAGAGCTCAGATCGGCAAAACTTGTGATTTTCACGAGGGATGTCAAACGATGTCGGCTGGACAATCGAGAGAAACGTTCGTCATCACTGCTACTGGATTGTTCACGGAGAACTCTCCAGCAGCAGGACGAAGGACTGCCTCTCTTTTAAACATGGTTCTCACGTCGAGGGTGCATTGTCGGTTTCTTCAACATCTCCATCAGCGTCGTTGATGCCGTACTGTTCAGGCAAGTGGTGAGAACCGCAGACGACCGACAGCAACATCTCGGTCCTGTTCCTCAAGACGTTTGTGGTATCTGGAATTGCCTGGCAATTTGATACTGTGGGGGAGGGAAACATGGGAGGAAGCACGATCTCCTGATGCTCCGTCCTGCGGATACTCGCATGTCCGTGCAGCGATCGAAAAGGGAAAGGGCCTTCTAGAACTGACATCTCGATTCTCCGTCTTTGCTCGGATCAAGGAGGTTACACCGTTTGGTCGGACAGAGCGAGGCGCAGCATTGTCCGCTGTAACATGAGTGAGTCATTGCCGCTGGCCAAGAAAACCCTGGTGGTCTGACGAAAACAATAAACGACTCGTTACGCCGACGGCACGGAGGACACCGCCGCGTCATTGGGCGGCGCATCGAGCTTTCATCCGGTCAGACAACAACGCCGTCCCAGTTACCGTGTTGGGCCTAGATTCATCCGCCTCGGACGACGACAGGCTCAAAGTGGTTTTTCAATGCTCTCATCCCACTTCCCTCTTTCCTCTCCTCTCTTTCCTTCCCACACTCTCCCCCTCCCTCTGCCTTGCGATCAGGCAAAGCAAGCAAGGCATCTATCACTCTTCCACCTGTCCTGACCGGAGGTCACTTTGGACAGTTGTTCACCATGGCCGCATCAGTTACTGCCGCGCCTACCCGTGCCCTCCTCTCACTCTTCCCGCCATAAGAACCATCAATGGCCCGAGTGGGAGTCTCCGGTTTCACAGAATTACTACCTACGGTCCTATCCTCTGGCTGTCAACGATGGCCAGCGAACTGTTCAATCACAATACTACGACTGTCCCATCGGCAACGATGATAGCTCTTCGGCGCTCGGCTGGGACAATCTTGATGTCTCCGATGACTGCATTGGCGACGCTTGTCGCGATGAAGACACATATCGGATTCTGGAGGAGGCCACGCAGCGAATGGGCGAGGTTTCTTCTCAAGTGGGAGACGCGACCTCTCCTGGGAAGGATCAAGGCGAGGTGTTTGGCAACGTGGCTTTAAGTTTTCCAGAGAGTTTTTTCGCCAATCCCTTCGCTGTTTCTTTCCCAGGAGACATCCCATGCCCGGGAGCACCCAGCAGCCCACTCATTCCAGGGTGCACCTCACCGTCAATCCCAAGCCTAGGCAATATCAGCACCAGACCGTCTCCGGTCACGCCGGGGGCGGCTCTCTGCGGGATATCAGGGTTGAGCAACTCAATCCAAACGCCAAAGTCGACGGCCTGCACTCCACCTAGTGCGGGTGACACCCGTTTGACGTCCAAGGGCCCGGCGGGCCCGAAGGCGAAATACGGACCTCAAATTCATTTCGTCGACATGGCCGACAAGAAGGGTGCTCAGAGGATTCGGAATACGATGAACTCTCGAAAACATCGTCAAAATAAGCTTGACAAGATAAGAGAGCTGGAGAAGAAGTTGGCAACCATTGAAGCGGAGAAGAAAAGGTGGCAGGGACGAGCAACGGAGATGGGGTGGAAACCATCCCAATAGGAGTTTTGATAATTCATATTTCGCACCTTGCGAGTCCGATACAATCCATTAAATCCGGGTTGCTTGAATTTGTTGATGCCCATCTGCCGAAACCTTCAAACCAGACACAGCACTCGAGGAGTTCCCGCTCCGATATAGCCTGCACACGGGACGCCTCCCTGTCAAAGTAGTGATCGAGTGTATCAGCCGCCATTTCGACAGCTCTAGCTGGATACCTGGTAGGCGATCATAGCTCTGTATGCGCTTGACACTCGAAGGTTTCGATACCCACCCAAACGAAATGGCGGAGGAGTGGGGGGAGAGACGTAAACCACGGTGGCCGCCACAGCCTTGCACAGCCTCGTCCCGTTTGACCATCCACCACCACCATATCTCAAAAAGTTCAAGGGTTTCTGTTACAATCGGGTTTGGTGGGCGGGGCCTTCTCCCCCCTTCCTTGTTTGAGAGACGAAGAAAATATGTGCCTTGCTGTTGCCACAAGGTAAGATCAGATCTGGTGGGACCTTGAATTTTTCTGTTCTTTTAAAATAAGAGGAGGGAGAGGTAGAGTCGCCAGCTAAGGCGATACTTATATCGAAAGTTCTTTGGAATATCTACCTATCCTTCAAACCTGAGGTGTAGTATTAGTTCCTATAGTCGTGTGATGATCAGCCGCTTACCGAACCGGAGTTTGTTTACAAATGTATCAAGTACTGTTCGACATCGTCTTATTTTATTTTGGCTTGGCCATTTCTTCGCCTCTCTCCTTGATGGTCTTCCGTCGCGCATACCAGCTCCAGAGAACTTCCCAGGAAGCGATCGTCGCCATGAGAGGTGGACAAACGAGAAGCAGCAGACTCCACCACCGCGGGCTTTTGGCCTTGACCTTCCCCATGACGTCCGCGATCTGAAGCTTGAGATCGTCTTTGCTGCCATCATTGTAGAGGACATAGCCTTTTCCAGCACCCTTGTTGCCGTTATTTCGACGCTCACACCGCGCCGCCTTCTCGCGAACATCAACCTGGCTCTTGACTCTGTTCTCGGCGTCTTCAGGCGATAGATGCGGATCTCGCTCTCGGAGCCGTTGCATCTGGATCGCCGGATCGGAGACAGCGACCACAATGACCGTGCTGCAGAAGATGTCGAGGCCGGACTCAAACAACAAGGGCACGTCGACCAGGACCGCCCAGTACCCTCGGAAGTAGTAATACAGCATCGCGCGCGCCATCAGGATCCGTACCGCGGGATGGACGATGGCGTTGAGCTTCTTTCTGTCTCGTACCCTCTCCTCTGTGTTCCCGAATACTCTTCTCCCCAACGCGGGTCTGTTCAGCGGTCTTCCCTTCCCGTTCGGCCCAGCTTCATTTCCGCCGCACTGGGGATCCGAGGCCGGCAGGAGGAGGTCCGGCGTGGTGGGACCAAAGGTCGAAACTATGCGTCGGTATCCCCATGTGCCCGGTTCCACGGCTTTTCGTGCGAGCAGGTCGGCGTCCACCAGGGGCAGCGAGTATGGCGGGGAGGACAGGATCTGAGCGCAGGTGGATTTGCCCGTCGCGATCGAGCCTGTGAGACCGATGACCAGCATCTTTGCGTTCTTTGCGCGACCAGTGGTTACTCAAGCATAGGACACTTTGCGAGACAGTGTTGCAGACCTGTAGACCCAGCGGAAACGAGCAGTGCAACTTCACTGTACCGAGTGGTCTGAATCGCACCACAGCACTGCTCAATCGCAAATGCCGACGATGGCCGAGGTCGATTTCGGAGTCCGGCGCAACAATATTCCGGCTCGACCATGCACTGGCGAGGCTGATGTTTAGACTAATGAAAATCAGATCTAAAGCAAACAGCTTGTGGAACAGTATCGTGGAAGCAGTCTCAAGCGCAGAGTGCCATAGAGCATTGGGGAAATCTACAAACAGAAAACCTGTGACTTTCTGTCCGTCAGGATTGACCTTGCCGCCTTCCCTTGCAGTGACTCATGCCAGAGACGAAAATATTTGCGCTTTCCCCATAACACCATGCGCGCAGGTCCAACACTATCAAGTGAAATGGGACGCTGTCACTCGGACTGAGATCCATCGAACTCTCGCCGCGGGCGCATATTATGAGCGTTCGAGTCTTCAGCGGCGTCAAGAGATTTCCAAGCCCATTCCGCAATATTTCCCAGTCAAGGCCTGTGTCCAAGATGACTACCATACAGCTACCGCTAACGCCAGCTGAGAAGCTGTTCCGGCAATGCCTGCTCGACTGCCGCAAGGAGATGCAGTCCGTTCCTGGGATGGAGGATCTCGTGCTGAGGTGGACCGGAGGCTGGGTTCGGGATAAGCTGCTCGGTGTGCAAAGCCACGACATTGACGTGGCTCTGAGTACGATGACTGGGTGGGAGTTTGGTCAAGCCCTGCAGACTTTCATCAAAGAGCACGGTGCAAAGTACGAGGAGCAAGCCGCGAAACAAGGCTTCAACTCGCAGGTCAAGGACATCCACAAGATCGCGGCGAATCCAGACAAGTCGAAGCACCTGGAGACCATCACCACGAGAATGTTCGGCATCGACGTCGACTTCGTCAACCTTAGAAAAGAAGTCTACAACCATGAAAACCGCCATCCGCAGGTGGAATTTGGCACTGCGGAAGAAGATGCGCTTCGTCGAGATGCCACGGTTAATGCTCTTTTCTATAACCTGGACACACAGGCGGTGGAGGACTTCACGCATCGAGGACTCGAGGACATGAAGAACAAGATCATCCGGACGCCTCTTGCGCCGTATCAGACGTTCAAGGACGATCCGCTTCGGGTTCTGCGCCTCATTCGATTCGCCTGCCGACTCCAGTACGAGATCGAGGCAACTGCGAAGGAGGCGATGAAAGATCAGACCATCCACGAGGCTCTTCGCCTGAAGATCAGCCGAGAGCGCGTGGGGGTGGAAATTGGGAAGATTATGGCTGGACCCGATCCTTACACCGGGCTGAAATATGTCAACGATTTTGATCTCTACTTCACCGTGTTCGCCGACCCGTCAACACCACCGACCGACGACTCAATCGATGCCAGTCACGCGGTCATCGCGTACGACGGACTCCAGAGAGTTCTAGACGAGAAGTCCTCGATCTGCCTGAGCCTGAGACCTAAAGAAGACCAAGCCCTGAGCTGGTTCCTCGCGGCATACACGTCGTGGTATAAATCGTCTGCAAAGGCATATCAGGCATCCAGGGAAGGCATCAAGGCTACCAATAGCATGAGCAAAGTCCTGAAAGATGCAATCGACCTGCGGCCCTCCATCGTCGAAGCCGTGCAGTCAGTAAACGACGACAAAGCCGTTCGCGGGGACGTGGGCATGACTCTGAGACAGTGCAGGGAGGCGTGGAGATCGCATGTGCTTTTCTCGTTGCTCTGCGACATCGTGGAGCAAGATTTCTCGACCGCGACAGACCGATATCAGAAGTTCGTCGCCTACGTTCACGACCAAGATCTCGAAGCTGCGTATGCCGTCCCTCCAATTTTGAAGGGGAACGAGATCAAAAAGGCATTGGGCGATCCTAAAGGTGGTCCGTGGCTGAAGAATGCGGTCGATGAACTTGCACGCTGGCAGTTCAACCATCCGAAGGGAACGAGGGAAGAGGCAATTGAGATGATCTCTGGCAAAAGATCGGAGTTTGGCCTTGGTTGAAGGGTGGTCTCTTTTGCAATTTCGAGCTTTTGCCGCAGGCCATCCAGGCACCTCCTTCTACCTGATGGGCATGCTCAGGGCATTGCTTATCGCTAGGTGGAGATGGGTTCAATGTCGGCCATGACCCGTTTATGCCACTTTCACGATCTTGAAAGGTTTCAGTCGGGCAGCTAAAATGCTCACAATCAATGCGATCAATTTACATACCATGGTGTGTGGCAGGAATCAGAAACATTTCACGATTGACTCTATACCTAGTACCTTTCCAAGAAAGGGGCTTTCCGGAAGCAATGGTTCTTCCGGACGCGACTGGGAAGTGGACAGACCAACAGGGAAGGCACCAGGGAACAAGGAAGGTAGGACTCTGGTTATGTTTCTCACACTTAAGGAAAAAACCCCTCCCCCTTCTCTCTCCTTTTCCTCTCCTCAGGCAGAAACGAGACTCTGTAAGAACACCCACCCACTTTCTCTCGCCTTCCCCCCTTCTATTTGCTGTGACTCGAGCTTTCTCCCGGACCAGTCAATCTACGCCTCCACGAGACACTCGACCTGTCAATCAAAAACTCAGCCAGGCTGCCCGTCTCGTTGTCTCGCTCGTGCGCTGTCGGAAACCAAAAGATACTTTCTGGCTCCTAGCATGCTTGTTCCAATGACTGTATACGTTTCTACAAGGCTTTCGCTTCGTTTATGCACTAACACATCATTTTGTGCAGACAAGACACGCAGCAGCAGCAGGAGCACCGCCGCCGCCACCACCAGCACCAAGCACCAAGCACCAGCAAGAATGTCTGTCAACAAGCGCAACCGCAACAGCTTCGGCAATAAACGCCCCTCAAAAGCAGAAACAGCAGCAAGAAAGAAGCCTTCTATTTTGGAGGGTCTCAATCCCCCAAACGCGGCGGGTGTTCAACAGCTAGTCGCTCTCATGAGGAGAGACAGAAACCGACCATTCTCTGTTCGGCCCGAGCTTCGGACGTTGTTAAAGAAGGTGCAAGCCGAGGTCAAGTGGGTCAGAGAGCAGCAGCAGCAACAGCAACGGCGCAAGGGGCAGGAGAAATGCCTGCGAGAGAGGCTGCAGGAAGCAACAGCAGAGGAGCGATATTGCAGCAGACTGGCAGCAGAGGCAGAAGCAGCAAATAAAGCATTTGATGAGCGAACCAAGGCTCCAGTAGCAGAAACAGCAACTGAGAAGGAGGCGTTGATTGCAACAGCAAGACGAGCAATAGAGGAGGAGAGGTTGAACAGGGCGCGCGACAGGGCAACAGATGCAGCAACAGTAAAAAACCACCCCAGGCGGCCTTGGACTCCTTTTTAAAGTCCAACAACAGCGGTAACCGCACCAGCAACAGCAACAATGTCGCAACAGCATCTGGCGGCAGCTTGGATAGCACTGGACCATGAAGGCGAATGGTATCGACGCAGCATCAGTAGCAACAGCATGTGGCAGCACGCATGAGATGAAATAGAATGCAGAGAATAACCAATTCTATTTCAATTAAGTTTTGTTCCTCTACAGCTTTGAGCTTGCTGCAAGCCTAGCAGCTCTCAGCTTGACATCCCTCGCCTCCTGACGGACAGCCAGGTCAAGCATGATCTCTTCACTTCCACCACCGACAACATGGACACGCACGTCTCGACTGATCTGCTCGATCCGAGCGCCTCGTCCAGTTTTGGAATAACCTGCTCCGCCCATAATCTGTTGGGCCTCTCGGCAGACTTTCTCCAGGCACCTTGTGCTCATCACCTTCAACAAGGCCGTCATACCGCCAACATTGACCTCCTTTCCTGTAACGCGGGAAGTCTCGATGATGTAGCACAGCTGTTCTAGGAACGCGTGGGCGGGCTCAATGAGGAGTCCGAAGGACGCAATCTTCGACTTGATGGGAGAATGGTCGATCAGTTTCTTGCCAAAGGTTTCGCGTTCGCAAGCGTAAGTGTATGCGTCTTGAGCGCAGACTCGGGCGAGACGGAGTGCCGCGGTGGCCAGAGACAAGCGCTCTGGGTTGAAGTTCGACATGATGAGCTGGAAGCCGTGGTTTTCTTGTCCAATGAGATTGTCTGCTGGGACTTCGACGTCTTCGAAAGTGATAAAGGTCGATCCTGGGGATGTTAGTGGAACGGACAGCGATGGGCATGGTTAAACATCATACCGCTGGCGTTGACTCCCTGATTCTCCATCCTTCTTGTTGTAACACCCTTTGCTTTTAGCGGCACAACCAACAGGCTGATACCTCCACGGCCAGGTCCACCCGTTCTCACGGCGGCGGTAACGAAGTCGCACCAGATTCCGTTGGTGATCCATTTCTTGCTACCATTCACAATATAAGAATCTCCTCTCCTCTCCGCAGTCGTCCTTATGTTTGCCACGTCACTTCCTCCATCTGGCTCGGTGATACCCAGACAAAATCTGATCTCTCCCCTAGCAACTTTCGGCAACCACCTTTCTCTTTGTTTTTTACTTCCATGGCGCGAGAGAGGCGGGCAGCCGATTCCATTTCCCCCTCCTAGACCCCATATTGGACCACACCATCCTAGGCGAGCGAACTCATCCCCTACAATCACACTGCACCAAGTATCCCATTCGTCGTAGGGTATTCCGGCAGGATGTTGAATACCGCCCGCATCGGCTGGATCGACGACGGGATGCGTGATTGCAAACCCTAGCTGACAATGCCGTAGACGGACGTGCTCAGGCACCTGGCCTGCTATTTCCCATTCTTGCGCATAGGGTGCGATTTCAGTGTCGACGTAGTTGCGGACAAATGCGCGCAGACGGTGGTGCTTCTCAGTATAGTATGGATTCGCCGGGAGGTCGAGCTGAGGGAGGAGTGGTTCCGAGAAGGGCGCTGGAGCGGTGGGAGCCATTTTAGGACTTCTGGTATAGATGTGGGTGGTGAGGAAGCTCGAGCTTCCAGCGTACGTTGGCTACATTTTTAGAAATAAGCTGGGGGAAGGAGCAAAACACCTTGGGTAGAACGCGGGGAGAGCCAAACATTAAGGGACGAGCCCGAATTGAGCCTCGGCCTCGAAAGCTTGGCGAGCTTAAACCAAAGTTGGAAACCCTTGCATCATCGCCAAGCAATTTGTTTCCCTTCCTCATCGGCGTGTAGGTGATGTACGCTGTGGCTATATCTTCGAATCCACCAACTTTAAGATGAAGTGTGCATCATTATAGCCGGTATCATGGCCTCGAGTATGTCAAGCGTCTCTTGCTGACTGTAACGGTGTTGGTCAATCTCGAAATCGAGCGTCTGTGATGGGGTCGAAGGGGTGTTGTTTGTTGCCACTCCAGGCAATGTGAGACGCGAACATACCAAGATGGAATCCTTCAGAGAGTTTGTCGCCAATCAGGTCCTGGTGAAATCTGGCGATGAATACACGGAGACAAATGAAGATGCTTCCGTCAATGGCACCGACGGCCAGGACAGCGAACGCAAACCGCCTTCGCAGGATGTTGAGATTGGCAATAACGTTCCTCGCGCCCTGGGAGTCAACAAGTCCGACTCGGACGAGACGGAGAAGATGGTCCCTCAGAAATACCCCCAGCTGTCAAACAATCCCCCGGAGTCACCGCCCCTGGCACCGGGACAGAGGGAGGTTGAGGAGGACGAGGACGAATTTGATTTGTCGAAGTCTTTCCACCGCACAGCGAGTCCTTCTCCGACAGCACTGCAACGCAATAGGGGCGCGCTGGTCAGCAAAGTGGGAGAGGAAGGTGTCAGCAAAATGCACAAATTTACTCTCCACGAAACGGCCAACTATTACTACATTGTTGGGTCAGACCTGTTGGACTCGGCCTTCCGGATATTGAAGATCGATCGGACATCAGAACCTGGCGAGCTCAATATTACAGAGGATGATATTGTCTACACCAAAAAGGAGACCCAGCAGATTCTCAATGCCATAGATGAGGGCAATCGAGCAACTGGCGGGCTGAAAATCAAGACCAGCTTTTGGGGTCTGCTGGGTTTCATCCGCTTCACGGCCCAGTATTACATGTTGTATGTGACCAAAAGGAGTCAAGTAGCCATGATCGGGGGCCATTACATCTATCAAATTGACAAGACGGAGCTCATGCCTTTGGTAACGGCAGCATCCACAAGAACGAAGTCAGACCGACACCTCGAAGAGACACGCTTCATTGGCATCCTGAACAATCTCGATCTTACCAGGTCCTTTTATTTCAGCTATTCCTACGATGTCACTCGAACGCTGCAGCACAATATCATGCGAGAACGGCAAGCCCTCCAAGAAGGTCTGACGCAGCCTCACAAGCCGGACCACAATGATATGTTTGTCTGGAACAACCACCTGTTGCGGCCCGCCAAAGAAGTACTCAAAAATCCGTATGACTGGTGTCTGTCAGTCGTTCATGGCTACGTCGATCAGAGTGCAGTGTCGGTATATTGGGGAAGGGTGGTCTACGTGACAATCATCGCCCGTCGATCGCGATTCTTCGCCGGTGCCAGATTCCTGAAACGAGGTGCCAATGACCTTGGATATGTGGCAAACGATGTGGAAACTGAACAAATCGTCTCAGAAATGCTGACCACTTCATTTCACGCCCCGGGCCCGGAGCTGTTTGCGAACAACAAATACACTTCCTATGTGCAGCATCGTGGCAGCATCCCGTTACATTGGACTCAGGACAGTACAGGTGTCTCACCGAAACCTGATATCCATCTTAACGTGGTGGACCCCTTCTTCAGCGCTGCTGCTCTTCACTTCGACAATCTCTTCAAGCGGTACGGAACCCCCATCTACGTGCTCAACCTCATCAAGGCCCGCGAGCGCATCCCAAGAGAGTCCAAGCTTCTGAAAGAGTATACTCTCGCTGTCAACTACCTCAACCAATTTTTACCCAAAGACAAGCAGATTGTGTATCATGCCTGGGACATGAGTCGAGCATCGAAAAGTCGAGATCAAGATGTCATTGGTAGCCTCGAGGCGATAGCGGAAGATATCCTTCCCAGGACAGGGTTCTTTCGGAATGGAAGTGACGAGGAATCCGGCCTCCGGCTCCAGACAGGTGTCGCAAGAACCAACTGCATCGACTGTCTCGACCGGACCAATGCCGCACAATTTGTCATTGCAAAGAAGGCCTTTGGCTATCAGCTCCAGGCACTAGGAGTGATCGAGCACCCATCGGTCGAGTACGACTCTGATGCCGTGAACCTGTTCACCCACATGTGGCACGACCACGGCGACACTATAGCCGTACAGTATGGTGGCTCACACCTGGTCAACACAATGGCGACGTACCGCAAGATCAATCAGTGGACGAGCCATTCGCGCGACATGGTCGAGAGTTTCAAGCGCTACTACAACAACTCATTCATGGACGCGCAACGGCAAGAAGCGTACAACCTTTTTCTGGGAAACTATGTCTTCTCCCAGGGCCAGCCCATGCTTTGGGATCTCACCACGGACTATTACTTGCACCACTCCGACCCGCGCTCCATGTTTGGCAAACGCAGACCGAGTTATCGCCACTGGTACACGGACGAATACCTCGAATCCCCCCGGATGCCGCCCTCGCTCTGGCCGCGTGAGCTGCGCGACCGACCGTTGGCGTATTTTGACGACTACTGGGTCGAATACTACCGCCCTTTGTCGATCTCGTCCTTCCGGAAGCTCTTCTCCTTCAAAATGCGCTCGAATCTACAATACATCCCGATCAGCTCCACGTCGGCCGGGAAATACGACCTCAGCCCGTTTAGGGTGCGGACGGCGAATGACAGCGACGGAGAAGGACATGACAAAGGGCAGGGAACTCGGAAGGGCGTGAAGATAGTTGCGCCGTCGGATGATGCAGCATCCACGACCACCCTGTTCGGAGGAGAATCGATGCTGTCGTCCGCCGACGGACGCCTGAATTCGGCCACTCCATCAGCAATTGAGCCGACTCCGAAACCCAGCACCTTGGGGCCTTGGCTCGACGCGCAGCATCAACTTCACAACGCCCTGCGAGGCCGCCGATACACGGGGATCATCAAGGAACCGTCCTTTGAAGTCCAGTCCACTTCGGTGCCCAAGATCCCACGACTGCCGACTACCACTAATAGCGACCTGACTAACAGCTCTCTGCTACTTGGCCCGCCCACAAAAGCCGAACTTGCTCTCCAAGCCTTCACGTCCCTGATTGAGAACTCTCTCAATCCGCAGGTGCGCCAGTTGGACGAGTATCAGCGCTACGTCGCACACCCATCAACCATCCCATTGGTGGTGTCCAGCCACATTGACTACTCCTCGGCGCCGCTCGAATTCCTCGAGTACCTGTCAAAGACGACCTCGGACCCTGCTGACCACAGGGTGCTCAGGCACTTCGATGACGAGCGCGGTGCAGTGACTTTGACCATGGAGGAGAGAGCCGAGGCCAGCATTGATGAGTACTTCGAGTTTGTGGCGAGTGGGCAGGTGGAGGAACCGCTGACCGTGATGGAGGAGGACGGTGGGAAGAAGAGGTACAAGGCGTACAGGAAGTGGTTGAGGGGCAAGAGTCTGTTCAAGCAGAGGCCCGTGGTCGGCGATGAGTTGGAAGGAAATGCTGATGGGCCGGTCGTCGGTTAAGCGGGCGTTTGTTCGATCCTTTACTTGATTGCCGTCGCCGGACGGGGAGTTGACAGCAAGGTCAGGTTTTGGGATGGCTTTTCATTTGTGTTGCTCTTTTCGTGATACCCCAATAGATTGACATTCTCTTGGAACGGGTTGATGGCTCGAGTTTGTGTTTGTTCATGCAAAAGGACACAGCAATAATTGATTGACCGCAGAAGGCCAGCATACGCCTGTCCATGTTTCTTTGCACTGGCTGGGCTTGCTCGCCTCCATCCCATGCGTAATTTCTGAAATGCCGATTCCTGGAAGCATGTCCCCGGATGATCCCTCAGTCACAGCATTCTTTAGTCTTCAAACAGTCCGTTCAAATCTTTCTCCTCTTCGAGCAGCTTCCCCTTGACGCCTTCCCACTCCTCTCTTCCCAGGACACCTTGCAGCATCTTGACCACTCCCTTCGCACTCTTCATTACCTCATGTGTAGCCTTCGCGGTCTTTTCACTCGCGCCTTCTCTCTCGTCCAAACAGTTGCACCAGCATGCGACACAACCCCTTAGAATCTCGCCCCACCACTTGTCCTTGACCCTCGGCGCGCACACCTCGACGACCACTTCGAGAACGCCTAGCAAGGCGAGCGCCATCTCGGGAGCCGCCAGGACGAATGGGTCCATCAAGGCCATCCTCGTCATGGGCAAAAGTTTCTGGAGATGCTTCACGGCGTGAATACCCAGCCGCCTGAATACGGGCGGGATCTGTTTGAGTAGGAAGATCGTTATCGGGGCGCAGATTGTGTTTGAAAAGGCGTCCGTGGATGAGGACAGGTGGGACAACGACGCCAATATACCGTGTCTGTAGAGCTTAGTGAGCAGGGCTTCCCTGGCCACGAAGTCCTCTCCCATCGCCCACGTCGCCCCGGCGTCGGTCTTCTTGCCCGTGGAGATATCAACCCCCTCGGCCATGGCCACTTGAAGTTTGAGGAACCGCGCGTCCACCAGCGCCAGATAGGCCGGATAGAGCTCCCTCAGGACCAGCAGACTGTCCTCCTCGGGTGTCAGGGTGGGCAGCAGCAAGAAATTCGTCTTGAGCGCATCGACGAATACGTCCGTCAATCCGGTACGTCGCAACATGTCGCTTTGCGCGGAGACTAATGTCGTGCAGAGCAGATGTAGTAGCAGGCAGCCTTCGGATTTGTACTGGGGGGATGCGTCATCGATCATGTTGAGGATCGGTGGGACAAGGAGGTGGAAGTGGGATTCGATGGTAGATTTCTGCACCGGTTGTGGGAGAGATAGATAGCTCTGTAAGACGTATTTGAGCAGAGGCACGGTGAAGGGGGTCCGCTTCCATGGTTTCTGGCTCTCTTCCTGTTCATCGTCGTCGAGGGGCGAGAGGAAGCGCGCTGCTGCTATCGAGGGCGGCGGTCCTGGAACAAGGGACTTGCGGCCCGTGGATGTCAAGTGTGGATGTTTGGTTTTTGTGAAGAGCGGCTTGATGATCTGGGTGAGAAGATCGAGGAGCGCGGCTGGGAGATGATCTGGATGGCCTTGGCCCTCGTCGTGCGGGATGCTGGATATGATGGAGTGGGCTTGTTGCCGAAGTTCGACGCTCTGAGGGCGCTCGTGCCTTGACTCATGTGCGAGCGCGTTCAGAATCTCAGTTCTATCCATGTTGCAGGCCTTGTTGAGTGACTAACGAGATGACGAGGAAGAGAATTCAGTTGACAAGGCTGGCATTTTCAGCGGGAGGTGGGGTGCAGCCAATCAGAGGTCAGTGCGGACAGCCTCATCACGAAGAGCCCTTCATGCATTGCCAACAGATCATGTCCGATACACGTTGACGCTCAACTTCATTTCTGACGACTCTCTGAGTGCTATGAGGCTGGAAGCAGATTCAACAGTCCAGGGATTACATGTCCAAGAGTTTCAAAGACGCAGTTGCCAGACGGTTACGTCCATGTAATGGCTCTCTACGGCGACAAAGTCCAGCTTGACACTGTTTGATCTATACAATAGCAGCATGGCCATCCACCCCCCCCCTCCCAGCCAAAGGTATACATACAATACATGACGCTCAACACCATTGAAGACCCCTCCCAAGCCACTTCTCAGCCGGAGAACCAGCCAAGCCCCACAACCTCCGGCAAGATTATCATTAGGGCTTAGTTAAACGCTCGCCTTCCGCCCTCCCCGTCCCCAGTTCTCAGTTCTCCCAATCGCCAGAAGTCAGATATGGGCTGAAGATAAGGAAAGGAAAAGGCGCCGCGACAATTGGATAACGCAATGACTTTTGTCCACGGACGCAAAGCTTCCCACAGCTGCATCATTGACTGCATCAGCTCATTGTTGATAGGCGTCTCCCCGTTACGTTTTGCCATTTGACATTCGATTTCGAACCGACCCAATCCGACCATCACCGAATCGTCTGCCCTATGCTTGCCAGCTCGAGGGACGTACGATCCGTCCAGGCGTCGGTATCTTGGATGGGGCGTCTCATGGATACCGTTGACTAACCGCATCTTCACATGCCCTGTTTGTACTGTTCCATAACTAGCTGGTGTCGGTTCTCTCGAGTCTGGACTTTTGTGTCCCTTTTCTTTCCAAGACAATCTTGTCAGATTGTTAATTTGTTTGGGGCCGCCCGCAAAAGAAAGTCATACGGCTTTGCTGACTAGTCATGCGAAGATATAGTTCCACCGGTAAGTCTCGAAGGGTGCAGCAGCCCCCAAGTATACCGGCTCACCGCGCGGCTCTGCAGAAGAAGATCACGACCGGCGACGTTCAGTGGCGTTGATGAGTGAAGAAATTCAACGGGAGGAGCCCAATGAGCAAACCGGGCTTCTGCCCAAGAAGCACCAGGATGAAGAGCGAGCACCAAGCCAGGAGGAAGGCGAGCTGCTCGACATCCTCCCTGAAGATGACACGCCGACTCGCAAGCTCATTCTTCATGAATTCTGGGTCCTCTTCCGCGGCTCTATACCCGTCATTTTGGCCTACTCGCTACAGAACTCGCTGCAAACAATATCCATCTTGATCGTCGGCCGAGCATCGCCGCAAGATCTGTCCACTGCTGCCTTCTCCTATATGTTCGCCATGTGCACCGGTTGGCTAATTGGTATGGGCGGATCGACGGCCTTGGATACTCTGGCGAGTTCCACATTCACCGGAAGCAAGAACAAGCATGACTTGGGCATCTTGCTCCAGCGGGCCCTTATCGTCCTGACGCTGTTCTACGTCCCGGTCGCCATCCTTTGGCTGTGTTCGGAACCAGTGTTCAGAGCTCTGGGCCAGAGCCCCCAATTGTCACACGACAGCTCCAAATTCCTGAGCTGTCTGATCCCCGGCGGACTGGGCTATATCTACTTTGAGACCATGAAGAAGTATCTTCAGGCCCAAGAGATTATGCGACCAGGCACCTATGTGCTCCTGATCACCTCTCCAATCAGCGCGTTGCTGAATTACCTGTTTGTCTATGTGGCCGGCTGGGGTATCTTTGCCGCGCCATTTGCAACAGGTATCGGGTACTGGCTTTCGTTCCTCGGTCTCGTGCTCTATGCCAAGTTCGTTGCTGGCGGAGAATGTTGGGGCGGCTGGACCAAGAGATGCCTCCAGAACATGGGAGTCTTTGCTAAATTGGCTTTCCTAGGAGTGATCCATGTCGGCACCGAGTGGTGGGCATTTGAGATTGTTGCGTTGGCGGCTGGCCGACTCGGAGAAATCCCTCTCGCATCTCAAAGTGTCATCATGACGGCAGACCAAGTCATGAACACCATCCCCTTTGGCATTGGAGTCGCCGCCAGCGCACGGGTGGGCAACATGCTTGGCTCACGCTCTGCCAAAGGTGCAGCCCGATCGGCCAATGTCGCTGCCTGGCTGAGCATGTTCATGGGAGCCGTGGTGTTGGCGATTCTGATGGGCACGAAGAACGTCTTTGCCAAGATTTTCAACGACGACGAGCGGGTGGTCAAGCTCACCGCCCACGTCTTGCCGTATGTGGCGCTGTTCCAGATCGCAGATGGACTGAACGGCAGTTGTGGCGGATCTCTACGGGGCATGGGCAGACAGCATATCGGAGCTGCCGTCAATCTTGTCAGCTACTATTGCGGCGCCCTCCCTCTCGGCATCTGGCTCGCCTTCCATGGCTGGGGCCTTCCGGGACTCTGGGTCGGTCAATGCATCGCACTGTATCTGGTTGGGATTGCCGAATGGGCGATTGTGGCGTTCAGCAACTGGGAGCACGAAGTCGACAAGGCTTTTGCCCGGATGGACAAGGACGAGCTAGTGGAGGGTGGTCATGCAACGGCGTCTGTGCCAGCGCCCGCGGGAAACGGCCCTCAGTGACCATGAGTGGATGATGCAGGATACATGACGACGCAAAGATAGACGGATAGATCGCAAAAAGTAACATGCTCCTAGGTATAATAAGATGCGGTGATATGATACAAGCTTCCTCTTTGGGCTAGCGTCGTCGCCCGCCGGCCTCGATTGAACGTCGGACCAAAACTGCGCATGATACGAGCTTCTCTCTCTTCCTCTCATTCCCACTGTGCCACTGATAAGCATCCCGACAATGGGCTGCGTCACGCCTTCAATGACACACAACATTCGCTCACGCCTCTCTCCTCTGACACGTCGCCGGTCATGTCCACCTGCATTCCCCTCGCATGGACTTGCGCGCTGCCTCCTCTGCCCACCAAACCCATGTGGCTCCCTTGCTGCTCACCGGCTCTTTGCTCTTCGTCTGCTGATGGGCCAAACCCCCCGCGAGATGCGCGACCAAAAAATGTTCCGCACCGCAAGCTCCAAGAACCCAATGTAGCTTCCCAATGCCCTGGTCTCGGCCTCTGGGCTCGGGCTTGAGAGTTCTCATGCCGTCATGATTTGGCAATTCCTCGTGTCAACACGGCGGGGCATGCATTGATAGGAAAGCTTCAGGCTTGCTCGGAAGACTCCCGCGCCCACTGTCATGCTTGGAAGCTTTAGGTAAGAGGAAGTCCAAATCGGCATCATTGGACCTGGTCCAGGGTTGAGGTGCATTGACCTGCCCGAGCTGGAAGCTATCTGCAGGAACTCGCTGGCTGGGAGCTTGGTACCTAGCTCGTGGGAAAAAACAACAAAGCTGCTCACGCTCGAGCTCCGAATTTCTGCTTCGTGGGGTCGTGTTTCTCGAAATCCTCTCTTCATTTTTTGCTGTTTGAGTCTTCATCGTGGTGTCTGGACGTATACACTCACGGCACAAGATGCTGCTAAAATCGTTTGCCCTGCTGGCATGTGCCAGCTGCGCACTCGCCCATGGCAACCATGACCACGACCAGGCTCCTATCGAAGGACCGCACAAGTCTCTTTGGTACAACACCCTGCCAGGTGACGGCGGCACACAGGTGAGCATGACCACGAAACCCAGCGGCAGAATGAGCTTCGTTAACACTCGTGCAATCCAGGCCGACTCTGTCTTCTCCGGAATCTCGACCTTTGGCCGCCTGCCCTACTTCCCCTGCTTAACCAGCGACGAGGAGAAATATGACATTGCATTCATTGGTGGGTTACTTCACCATTTTCAATCTCTCTCCACACAGACGAGACATGAGGAGCTAATTGTGTCGTCTCCTTGTGCTGCAATAGGTGCACCATTCGACACGGGCACTTCGTACCGACCAGGAGCACGGTTTGGACCCAGCGGGATCAGGCAAGGTTCTCGACGCCTCAATCTCTAGTACGTCTGTTTTCGTCCCTGCTCAAAGGCTTACTTTGCGACCGGATTGAAAAGGCTCACGAAAGCTTGGATTTAGCGGCGGGTATAATGTGTACGTTCGCCGGTCCCTCCCTTCCCCCCTTCGTCCAATGTTGCACAGATGCTGGAGTCGTGGAAAATCAAGAACAAGAAGCAGTGCCACCCAGCAGCAGCAGCAGCGGCAGTAGCAGAAGAGCAAGGCTAATATGTACGGGAGATAACACACAAATAGACCTATGAAATCCAACCCCTTCAATTTCTGGGGCAAAGTCATTGATTGCGGCGACATCCCAGTCACCTCGTGAGTACAAAGCCTTGGCCTCTCGACAAGCCTCAAACCCTTTTTCTACAGCATTTGCTGACGACGACGCTAGGTACGACAACCACTACGCCCTGCAGCAGATCGAGGACGGGCACAACACGCTGCTCATGCGCACGCCGTACACGGCGGCCCAGGAACCGGGCATCTCCAAGGCGGGCAAGACGCTGCCGCGGATCATCACGCTCGGGGGCGACCACACGATCACGCTGCCGCTGCTGCGGTCGATCAACAAGGCGTACGGGCCGATCAGCGTGATCCACTTCGACTCGCACCTGGACACGTGGAAGCCCAAGGTGTTTGGCGGGGCGCCGTCGAAGCAGGCCGCCATCAACCACGGGACGTACTTCTACTGGGCGTCCGAGGAAGGGCTGCTGGCCAACGACAGCTCGATCCACGCGGGCATCCGCACGACGCTGTCGGGGCCCTCGGACTACGAGAACGACGGGTACTGCGGCTTCACGCGCGTCGAGGCGCGCGAGATCGACACCATCGGCGTCCATGGCATCATCCGCCGCATCCGCGACCGCGTCGGCACCACCAACCCGGTGTACCTGTCCATCGACATCGACACGCTCGACCCGGCCTTCGCCCCCGCGACCGGCACCCCCGAGACCGGCGGCTGGAGCACGCGCGAGCTGCGCACCATCCTGCGCGGCCTCGAGGGCGTCAACTTCGTCGCCGCCGACATCGTCGAGGTCGCCCCGGCCTACGACACCAACGCCGAGCTGACCACCATGGCCGCCGCCGACGTGCTCTACGAGGTCATGACCATCATGGTCAAGAACGGGCCCTTGACCAAGGGGGCCGCCCAGGCAGAGGGCAAGCCGGCCGACGACTTTGTCCTCCCCGAGCTCGCAGAGGAGTTGAAGTAGGAGGAAGAGGAGACCGGTGCCATAAGAAGTGGTGGTGGTGGTGGTGGTGGTGGGCATGCTCGAGGGGGCAGGAGAAATGGAGGCTACAAGGTGTCCAATCGTGTGGCTCTCATTGCAAGGCGTCCGTCGAGAAGGGGAGAGTGGGGACGAAAGGCGGCCAAATAGCCTGGGATATACATAGGCCTTAGCAGCTACACACCAGGATCTCTACGCATGGTGCACGCCTGAACGGGGCGAATCGCCATGGCAAGACACGAGCGGTGTAGAACGGAACAAAGACAATGAAACCCAGGGACAGGCCAAAAGAAAACCCAGTCTCCCAACTCTTCATTAATGGTCTTGTAATACATCGCACAGAAGGCCCGACGCCCTAGCAAAGGCAGCGCGTGAAGCAGAGGACCATACCCATCTGGCAAGTGTGCATGATTGGTGGTTGTATGTCTATCAAACATCGTTTCTTTGGGTCTCTCTGGAGGGCATTCCGCTGCTCACACGCTGCCTGCGTCCTCGTTCACACTCGTCATGCTCATGCCATCACCTCTCTTCACGTCCAGGATATCTGGAGTCACTTCTCACGGACCTGCTGCTTTGTGAAGCCCCTTGCTTTACACGATATTTTCTCTTTCTGAATGATCGCCCCTGTCGTTTGTGTGAAACCCTCGTCTATCAAAGCGCAATGGAGAACCACACCCACCCGAGGATGTGGCAGTTTCTGGGACTCTAGTCGTGTAATCTGGGCAAGGTTGTGCATGGATCTTGTCTAGAGGAAGTAGTCTGGCGTTCTTCGACTGACCATTGGCTCGCCGGCTCGGGGACATGGGTCGAATTGCAAGCTGAACACCATTCTGTCAGTATAGCGATCAAGAGCAGTGAGGAGGTCCACTTACAATGTATACTTCAGATGCTCGTCAATCTCCATGATGGCAGCCTGATTACCACATCTGTAGCAGTAATTGGGCGCGCTGAAGATGGTCACCACATTGCGATCCTGGCTCCAATTGTAACCCTCCATGACCAACTGATGAGCTCTGGCCACCAGCGTCAAGCCGTTGTTATGGTTGAACGCTTCGGAGATATCTTGCCCGAATGTGTATCCTGCACCTCTTGGACTAATACCCCATCCGCATCGGTCATCAGGGTCACTCCACAGGAGATCACACATTGGACCTTCGTGGGGGACTTCTTGAATTCTATCCAGCGATCGGATGTTATCAAGGGTGTCAATGCTGGGAGAAAGCCCGCCGTGCAGGCAGAAGATCTGGTTGTCGATCAAAGCGGTAAGGGGCAGGTAGTCGAAGAGATCTGTGAAGTATTTCCAGACGTTGGCGTTGCCATATTTTCGCAAGCATTCGTCGTAGAAGCCGTAGACTTGCGTGATCTGTCTGGACTCATGGTTACCACGGAGGATGGTGATGCGGGAAGGATATCGGATTTTCAGCGCGACAAGAAGGGTCACGGTCTCGACGGAGTAGTAGCCGCGATCTACGTAGTCTCCTGTATATCGTTGTCAGTTTATGTGCACCGGAGAAGCAAACACTCTGACCCACCCATAAAGAGGTAGTTCGTGTCTGGGTTGGGACCGCCGATGCGAAAGAGTTCCATCAAGTCGTGGAACTGGCCATGAATGTCGCCGCAGACTGTGACAGGACATTTCTGCACAAAATTAGCCGTTTGACCAGAGCCTTGCGCCAGAATCGGGGAACTCACCACTGGCTGTACATTTGACTCCTCTTGGAGAACCTCTCTAGCCTGCGCGCGCTCACTTCAGTCTTCTGGCCTGCACAGGGTTGCAAACATTGCTTACTCTATCGCAAAGTCTTGATACATCACTCTCCGCCAACTGTTTGCAGTCCATCAAGCTCTCAATCCAGCCATCGAGGGTCGGTATTGATTGCGGGTCCGTCGCAGGAGACAAGCCGTGAGGCTGCGCTGGTTTCCCCACGTCAACGTCCATCTTTGTATCCATGGTTGGGCGTAGACCCGCGCAGAATGCCGATTTGGACGGAGAATGGCAAGTGAAAAGGAGGAGAGGCGAGTCTTGAAAAGGGTTCGGGGATGTCGTGTGCGAAGGTGGGATGGCGTGTTGTGGTCTCAGTCTGGGAGAAATTAACGCAACGCAGTCGAATGGAGGAGCACCGCAGGACGGCAGGTTAGGCGAACAATCTCAGGTGAATTCAGCTGGCTTCAATATGTGTCACAACTACTTTCTGCAGTGAGGATGCTGTTGGGTTGTGGTCAGGTTGCGGCCATGACATACCTGTCGAAATCCTGCCACTGGCATGTACTCGGAACTAATAATCCGCTAGCCGCTTAGGTGCTTAGCCAGCTCGAGATAATAATTAATACCTAAATTACTTGTACAATAATAAAGCTTAAGCGCAGTACCGCGCCAGTCACAGAACGGAGATAGGTTAATCCGAGCTCGACGGGAATCCTCTATTCTTGCACCTCACCACCGCTAGGAATGTCTTCTCTTGTGCTCTGTAGCCCACTGGCAGTCCCGATTTATCCACGAGATGGACACAATCCCGCAGCCTCCCTCCAGAGCTCCTAGTCTCCCTTACAGAAGAGATGGCCGAAATCCGGCAAGGCACAGGCCGACGCCGAACTGCGCGATCAAGCTCGCTCGGCCACTTCCCTCTGTCAAATCCAACTCAGACGACTGAACGAGGGCCTAGAACAAGCAGGCAAAACACGTTCGCAGAGAATGCAGATGGAACCGTCTCCGCATACTCGCAGTTGCTGCTCCGCTTTTTCCTGAAGCCCCGAGAGAGGTCAGTCTGAAGCGCGGGGAACAGAGCTATCTCATGACTACTCTATAGCAGTACAGCTGGTCTATGTACTTATTACATTTGAAGGCCTTGCACGCCGCCTGGCCTTTTTCATGCCGAAGAGTCACATTGCTGCGTTCTTTCTAGAGATCTCTTTCACAACGCTGTGGCGCCTTTGTGATCAATATCACCGCAGATGTGCACGGCTATGGACTCTGACGCAGTGACTTCGGGGTCGTCTGTCATCCCCCTGCACCGTGCAAAGGATGACATACCCCTAGTGGCGTTGACACATCTGGAGGATGCTTCCAACAAACCCGTCAGCGGGATTTCAAAACATCTAGAGCAAGCAAGAACTCCCGAAGAAGCGAAAGCGGAGAAGCGTTTTGTGCTGAAGACGGACCTCATCGTCCTTCCGCTACTCGCCTCCATGTACTTCCTTGCTTCTTTGGTAAGAGTTCCTCTCCCAGCTTCGAACTTAATCCTGATAGCCACTGACAAGAGTACCAGGATCGTGGAGATGTGGGAAATGCAGCAGTAGCTGGCATGACGGATGAGCTCCATCTGACACCTCACCAGCTTAGTACCTGCATCACCATATTTTATGTCGGGTACATCGTCTTTCAGTTGCCAGGCTATCTATGTCTGAGAATCGTCCGGCCCCCTGTCCAGCTCGGGCTAGCTCTCATGGTTTGGGGCACGTTCAATACTCTGTAAGACTGGAGGCCGTCAACCACAAACTCTCTCATACAGACACTAATTCTCGCTAGAATATGTGTTGCAAAGTCATATCAAGCCATCGCCGGTCTTCGTGTAGGTGTTGGTGTTGGGGAAGCTTTTCTCCAGGCAGGCCCCCTGTATCTGTCACTTTGGTATAAACGAGATGAATTGGCAACAAGAGGTGCTATTTTCTTCGGCACCAGTGCGGTTGCTGGTGCTTTTAACGGCATCATAGCCTATGGCATTGAGAAGAACCTTGATGGTGCTGATGGTTGGTCAGCCTGGCGATGGCTGTTTCTCATTGAAGGTAAACTCAGTACATATTGTGCTTGACTTGGCTGATGGGGGACCTTCAGGTGTCGTTTCGGTCGCTTGGGGCTTCGTTGTTCTCTTGATGCTGCCGCCATTGCCTGAGCAAGTTCGGTGGGGATTTACCGAGGAAGAGAAGGCTCTCGCAAGACGCAGAACGATCGAGGGTTATAATGAGCCCAACGCGCAGATCAAGCCGAAACAGATCCTCGCCATCTTCAAGGATCGTCGAACCTATCTTTACAGTACATTGATCCAGGGCCCCTAAACTGATTGCGGCAGATACTGACAGCTGTAACAGTAATATTCTACTCCTGCACCAATCTGAGCCTGGCATGTTTCAGCAGCTTTCTGCCAGTCATTCTGAGGTCGTTTGGATATTCACAGCTACAAACTCAGGCCTTGACAATTCCTGTGTTTTTCTGCGCCGCAGTCTCAGCGGTGGGAACCAGTCTGGCGTCAGACCGTCTCCAGCAACGTGCACATGTTCTGTTGGCTTGTTTTGTGTCGATGGGCATGGGATGGTTGATCCTGATATGCAGCAAGTCTCAGCACCTCTCGTTCGCGGGCTGCTTCTTCATCGGTATCGGGACTTATCCTAGCATCATTATCGGCCAGGTCTGGCTAAATAACAATACACCCGGTTTTACCAAAAGGTGAGCAACTCTGAGCCCGACCTGTCAGAATCCTTTCAGAGAGACGTGGCTGCTAACATGCGGTAATGCGACTTTAGAGCAGCTGCGCTCGGCGTGCTCGGCACGGTTGGCCAGTGCTTTTCCATCATCGGCACGCAGGTCTACAGCGATCCTCCCCGATATTACCGTGGCAATGGCTTTGCTTTTGGCGCATCCGTGGTTGGCGGAATTGCCACCATCGCGCTATTCTTTGATCTGAGAAACGAGAATGCAAAGAAGCGTAGGGACGCGGACACGGACTTCGCCAGGAGCCAGCGCTCTCTGGGTATCGAGGACATCGGCAACCAGCACCCGGACTTCTACTACTTTACATGAACGAAGCAGAAGCTCATCAGAAAAAGAAGCTGGAGAATGTCATCCCCTTTGCCTATGGAAGACTAAGAGGGAGCAGGGCGATTGTTAGACGAGAGGCGCTCGAGCAAGACTGGCAACAGTATACAATGGATTCAGACTGTTTACTTTGTCGAAAGACAAACATTATTCGTCTCTCTACAAAATGAAGACGTCATTCTCACTCGGGCCCGCTTTTGTGACTGTAGCAGTCTATGCTTCTCTCTACAAGCCGATTTTCGCTCCTCGACGTCCTTCACACCTCTGGTTTGAAGTCCGAAGGCTACTTTCACCGTCCCTTTGGAAGGGCCAGCATCAAACATGCCGATGCCCCTTCGACACCGATTGCTGTCTGTTATCGCTCCGGCGTGCGCTTTCGGTCCATCCCGATTGTCGGCAAAGCGAAAGCGGCGACACGATGGGGGCTTGACTGACATGTTGCAGTATCTCTCGATGAGCCAGTTCAGCCTGCTCAGCCTGCTCAACGGCGAGGGTAACACTCGACTGTGGTTGGCCGTTTACGTCTCATGCATTCTTTGTATGGCGCTCCTTTTCATTGAAAAGCAAGCCACTCTCTCCTCCTGGCCTTGGACGACATCACCAATATACCGATTTTATCCTCGTCCGCTTTGAAAAGGCAAAAGATGCCTCACGCATCATCAGAAGGTGTGTTGATGGGGGAATGATTACTCCCTCGTTACATGGGCAATGTGGAAAGCTGATCAGCCGCATGACAGAGACCGTACCAGCGAGTATTACTCGAAAGCTGGCCGAATTCGTACACCAAACGACATGGGACGACATCCAACCCATCCGCAATGTCCTCGAGTGCGGCCTCTTGGACTACATCGGGCTTGCCTCATACGCGGTCGATCACGTCGCCTCAAGCCCGGTCTTCATTGAGGCGGTGAACAACCTGTCCGCCACGGGGCCAGGGTCTGTCCTGGGCCTCTCCCGCAGGTACCAGGCGCAATACAGTGCCCTGCTGAACGGGACCTTGGTGCACTCGATGGACTGGGACGACACGAACAGCGTCGCGTCTCTGCATCCGGGCGCCTCTGCCATCTCTGCTGCCCTCGCTCAAGCTGAGCTGGAGATGAGTGCCGCCGCCCCCGGGGGTGGCCGCAAGGTGACGGGACACGAGTTCCTCACCGCCGTGGCCGTGGGGTACGAGGTGACATGCCGGCTGGGACGGTCGATCAGCGACGTGCTGCACCGGGTCGGCTTCCACCCGACGTGTGTGGCCGGGGTGTTTGGCGCCGCCGCCACGGCCGGGAAACTCGCGGGCTTCGACGCCGGCCAGATCGAGCACCTGTTTGGGGTGGTCGGGAGCATGGCCAGCGGGTCGCTGCAGTGCTTCGAGAACGGCGGCTGGAACAAGCGCTTCCACCCGGGCATCGCGGCGCACAACGCGCTGCTGGGCGTGCAGTTCGTCAAGGCCGGCATGGTGGGCGCAGCCAGGGCCATCGACGGGAAGCGCGGCCTGCTCTACGCGTACGCCCGCCTGCCGGAGCCGGACCTGCACATCGTCGACGCCCTGAGCTCCTTCTGGGAGACGTCCAACACGGCCATCAAGCCGTACCCGTCGTGCCGTCTGACGCACGGCCCCATCGAGGCGGCCTACGAGCTGCGCAAACACTTCCTCCCGGACCTCGACTCGGCACTGCCGCTCGACGACACCACCATCGAGGTCACCGTGGGCAGCAAGGCGTTCCAGGGCGTCGGCAGCACGGCTCCGAACAAGATCCGCCCGACCAACATCGTCGAGGGCCAGTTCAGCCTGTACTTCCAGTTCGCGGTGGCCTGGCTGCACGGGCGCAACACGTGGGACTCGTACCGGCTGCTGCAGGACGAGAAGGTGCTGGCGCTGTGCCGGCGCATCACGGTGCGGGTCGACGACGACCTCCGCGACGGCTCGCTGGTCACCGTGGCCCGCATCGGCGACCGGGCCGTCAAGATCGAGCACCCGCTCGGCGAGCCCGGGAACCCCATCGGCCTGCCCGAGGTCGAGGCCAAGTTCCTGCCCATGGCCGAGAAGGTCTACGGCGTCCAGGGGGCCAGGGACATCTTGACCCTGTTCCACGACCTGGAGAACCAGGACGATCTGAGCGTCTTCACGAGGGCTCTTAGGACCTAAAAGCCCCCCTCAGCTCTATGAACCATGAGTAGCAACATATAGTCAATTCCCATAACAGAGGCATCTGGTAGAAATCTTGAACTCTACCTTCCCAAAAACGCATCTGGCTATACAACTAGTCTTTCGAGTGTCTGCTTTCTTTGATTTCACCTGGATACTCTCTAGGTCTGAGTTTGTCCTATTATTTCAAACCCATCTTTGTCCGTCGATATGGAGAATAGTTCCTGAGTGATAAGAAGCTTTGATAATCTCTCTTACGGACATTCTACTGAGGCACCTAGTAAAAGCAACCATGTGCCGCTCTAAACTCTCTGATTGTGCTGCAAATGCCCTTGGCTCATGCGGACAGAATCAGAGGCCAGCAGAGAATTTCGAAGCTCCTCGGTCAACCGTAGCGTCATGAGAGGCATGTACTGCTGAGACCCGTGCACGTCGCTTTCCATGTAGCCCCCGGAACAGCTGAGTTCGCCTCCCCGTTTCCTGGGCAGGGTGAGCTTGAAAGCCAACGCCTGGTCAAAGAAGCCACAGTAGACGACTTCATCGACCGATCGCCCGAAGAGCTGGGCCATCGCGTCCGTGCTCAGCATTCCGGACGACTTTACCGCCTTATAGACGACGGGATCGTCGAATATCACGTCAAAGGTGAGCTGGAAAGGACCTGCATTCTTCGAACGAATGACCTTTGCCACGTCCCGAAGTGTTGTGGGATCGCGAGGTTGGAAGTGCTTCGTCTCATTCTGGGCGGTGCGCTTGGTGACGCCATTGGTAGCGATCTTGGTCTCCAGAACTGGAATCGTGTCGTTGGATATCGCGACCCCAGACGTGGAGGCTCGAATGACTATTGTGTCCCATGGAAATAGACCATCTAGGGTGCGGTCTTGCGCAGCTATTTTTCCATCGCCGTTTGATATGGGGTGGCCGCTTTCTTCTCCGTTGCGCAAATTCATCAGGTGATAGATAGAAAACTGACAGCAAGGACCGACATCTAATTCTGTCATCCCACCAATGCCGAATGCAAAGTTTCCAGAAGTAGCCATCTGTCCTTTATAGGCGCCATGGGAGCAATAAACGCGTGCAGTAGATGCAACACTTTTGGCCAGCGTTGGCGAGTCTGCGAGGACTTCGCCCACGATGAAGACTTCTTTGGAATTCCAGATTTCATCAGTAGAGGTTAATCCGTCGGCCCGCCTCTCCGGAGCGCCATAGATGTGAAAATCGAGTTTCCACTTGCCGTCCATATCTCTGTGTTGGCGGGCGCAGCGGTTCTTGCCAACCTCGAGATATTCGTGTATCTGGCCGATAAGAATCGGATCTTTGAATGACCCAATAAAGAGGTTACGGAACCCAATGACACGAGCGCCCTCTAATTTGACCGTATAAGATAATCCTTCGGAAACCGAAAAGTGGAAGTTGCCTCCCCGCACGCGAACTGAAGTTCCGTCAGGTAACTGTTCATAAGTGGTATTGGTCAGATCCAGATATCCTCCTGGGCCGTGCAGGATGTCGGGACGGGACTTCTCATAGAGGGTGTGCGCAGCCACACTGAGGGGAACACATTTTGCCGCGGGATCAAGGGGTGAAATGTCGAACGTCCCATCTTTGTAGACCAAGGCTGTTGCGCCAGATGATTTGGGCGTTGCACACAGGCCACCACATTCCATGATCTTTCCCATGTGATAGAAACCCCCTAGCAAATTGTTGCCAAGTGAGCTGAAGGACGAGGATGAGGACTTGACGCTGTTGATGGCACAAAACGCCACAAATATCGCAGGGTCGTACGCGCGCCCCGCGACGAGGATATCAAAGTCGGGGTTTGATTGCATAGCATTCAAGATGGGCTCAGGGCCCATTTGAGCCAGTATGCGCGGAGTGGCATGGATTTCTTCACTTGTTAGTGCAGTGACTTCATCTCCACATCCAGATATGTCCCCGGCCAGAAGTTTGTTCTCTACAACTTCCTTGGATAATTCAGAATACACGGCAAGGACCTTCAACTCCCGGCGGCTGGATGTCTGCTATTAGTTCACAAATACTAAGCGTTGTAATCGAGACTGACCAGTTGAGCGACGCGCTAATCTCCTTGATCATCTCCACGAAGAGATCAACATGCTCGTTACTACCGTCTCCTCCGACCGAAGAGATTAGGACAGGTACGTGATAATTGATGACTGCCCGAATCAACTTGGTCAAGTCCCTTTTGTAGGATGTTTCAGGGCAAGTCATGGTGCCCAATGCCAATTTCGAGGGCCCAGAATCTGTTGAACCAGAATCCATGACGACGGCGAGGGGCATGGGTGACTTGGTCAATTCGTCCAGTTTGTCGGTCAGGAGATGCTCTTCGAAGCCATATCCCAGCATTCCCAGTGGGGTGACAATCGCACAGAGCGGCTCTGGACTCCCTTTCGGGGATGATTCAGCGCCATTTGCAGAGGCATTGCTCGATGAAACTGCCATCGGTGTCATCGTCTCCAGAGACCAGCTTGCCGACTGTTGATAGCAACTTTTGACTCAATTGCTAGCAGGTATTTCAACGTTCATAGAAAGCCAAGGTGCCGGGGATGGCAATGAAGATGGATTGAGAGAACGAAGGTATAGATTTCAGTAGTCTCGCTAGGTCCTGGCTCATGAATGGCGGACCCCTTGCAGTCCATGGTGGTTTGACTCCGGCAGCATGTTGATTCCATGCCGCAGCGAGTGATCCATCGTTCGGCTTCATGGGCGCGAGCGTGATTCACAAACGCCCAAGCTTGCGAGTTGGTCTCAAGGCTGCTGTTGGTAGCATTGAATGAAGATTGACGTGGGGAGAAGCTTCGATGGTGACCACGTGACATACCGAAAATCGGCCACGGCCAGCGCCGACTCCGTTTTTCGCTCGGCGTCGCCCCTTTTCCCCCTTTCCCCTTCTCCCGCAGCCTGCCATTGTTTGTGTCGTGCTCCTCTTGCCGAACCCCTCTTACATGACATCGGCTTCTGGCGATGGAGGTTGAAACGAAATGGCCAAGGCTGCCTGGCGCTTTTGCCCTTTGCGAATCAAATGATATGAAGACCTGGACGGCAGAGTCCGATATAAGAAACATGGTCACTTCGATGCCACAATACTCTAGACTGACCACTCTGCGCAACTAAACTACAAGATCAACTTCGAGGCAAGAAAATGGCTGAAAGTCAGATTGGGACAAACCTTTTGGATCGCGGTAGGTTCTTGTTTGAACTCCTCTTCGGGGTCTCTTTGGAGGTATTCTATACAGAGACTAATTTGACGATGGGCGCCGCAGAGTGGCTGGCTGTGGATGCCCAAAACGATCCTGACCGATGGATCCATCGATTCACAGAGGAAGAGCTCAAGGATATCGATCATGCTTTGCAAACCACGTTGAGAAAAGGCCACAAGAGCTGCGAAACGATGACCAAGGAGGATTTCCCGCTAGGCCCATCGGAGAAACCGTTGCAGCAGGTCCTCGAGCATCTGGAGAATGACATGGGGCTCTTTGTCTTGCGTGGGATCCCTGCCGACAACTACACAAAGGCAGAAATGAGGATGATCTACTGGGGAATCGGACTGAACATGGGCGTGGCAGTGTCGCAGAGTGGGAAGGGAGATGTTCTGGGGGATGTCAAGAACTTCGGCAACAATATCCACCCATCTTCCACCACTGGCCGTGGATATATGTCCCGTGTCCATCTATCATTCCACACCGATAGCTCTGACATTGTTGGTCTCATGGTACTGCAAGTTGCCAAAAGTGGCGGGCTCAGCATGATTTGCAGCTCGGTGGCCGTGAGGAACGAGATTGCGCGCCGGCGACCCGACCTGCTTAAGGTCTTGTACGAAGACTTCTACTGGAGCTGGAAAGGAAACTCCCCCCCTGGAGCTGGTCCCTACTATAAGATTCCCATTTTCAGCGAGGAAGGCGGACGCTTCTCCTGCCGCTACATTCCGCCGCACATCTTCACGGCTCAAGAGTACCCTGAGATTCCCCGTCTCACTGAGCAGCAAAAGGAAGCTATTAAGTTGGTCGCTCAGATCGCCAATGAAGAGAAGTTCCACTTTGCCATGATGTTCGAACCAGGAGATATACAGTTCCTGAACAACCACATCACCTTGCACGCCCGCACTGAGTTTGAGGACGGGGACACAGAGGAGACAAAGCGACACTTGTTGCGAGTGTGGCTGTGTCCCCCAAACAGCCGGAAGCTGAGCGCCAATGTCGTCGATTTCTATAGAGATCAGAGGCCAGGCACGGTGCGAGGAGGATTCCATTCGCAGACGGGCAAATTTGTGTTTGAAACAACCGTCCAGGGATGATTTGTAGCTGGGTAGGTAGCCTAAGTAGGTTGTGCCAGTAGGATCTACCAGAATGATTAAGATTATAAGTCATGTCCAGCCAGGTCTCTCAGTATGAGTGTATTCGGTATGCAGGATTGCATGTATGCCAGTGGTATGTGTGTACATACCTTGATAGGCATGTATCTGGACGCTGGAGCCTCGGCACAAAGCCTCTCAAAGCCTCCAGTCCACCATTTTTTCTTCCCACTTACTCTCTTCATTCTTTTCAATCTCTTTGGCCTGTCTTATTCATCTTCATCGCCGACCAATTAACGCACTCACTGGCCAGTCAATTGACCGCCTATCGTGCCTCGCAATCTAGTGAATAGCTCCCAGAAGCACCGCCCGGGGAACGCCCCAAATTTCTGATGAAGCCACCATACAATGGCTAGGCCAGCTGCATGCATCACTTGCCGACAGAACAAGGTGAGGAAGCCTAGGATTGAAATTGACTATGGCGACCACAAGATTGTCTGCATATTCGTACCTGACACAATCAACAGCTCCGTTGCAATGCATCTTCTACCTTCCCAGCGCCCTGTTCGAGATGTGGAGCACGAAACATTGCCTGCAGGATTGATCTAAATTACAAGCGAGTCCCGACGAGGAAGTATGCACCCAGGTTAAGGCATCCGCCGATATATCACACGCTAACGACCACACTGTCGAGTCGAACAACTCACTCAAGAACTCGACAGGCTCAAGTCAGGTCTCCAGGTGACGGGAGAGAGCGAGAAATGGCCAAGCCAGCCTCTGCTTACTCTGTCAAGCATATCTCCCGGTGGCGACATCTCCCCAAGAGCTGGAGCTATCCCTGAATCTGCCTCGACAAGCCCGCTCAAAAACTCTCAGAGTGGCCATGACAAGACTTTCAAGTTTGAGGATCTTGTTCTGCTAAAGACTGATGTGGATGAACTGTTTCAAGAGTGCGTACCCTCGAGCATGAGACAATAGACTCTTGACGTCGGAAATATGCATTAACTGTTTGCGACCACTTAGGTATTTCCTTCATTATCATCAACAGCTTCCGGTTCTTGAAGTGCAAGCTGAGCCTGCGGCCATCATAGATGCGAGTCCCCTCCTGTTTTGGACCATCGTCTTCACAGCTTGCCAAAATCTCCCGTCACAGCAACACCATTTTCGAAGTTTGTGCAACAAACTGCCCAGCCTTTTGGGCCATCTTATGATGCGTCGTCAAGACTCAATTTACGCAATACAAGCGCTGCTCATCTTGAGCATGTGGCCCCCTCCGGTCCAACGACAAGCTGACGATGTACGGTGGTTATACAGCGGCATGGCTATGCAGATGGCAATGCATGCCGGATACCACCGTGTTGGTTATGAGCATGAGTACCACGCGTACACTTATTCCAAGTCACTTTCAAACGAGCAGAGCCATACACGAGTATGGCGTTGCTGGTGTTTTGTCAATGCACTGTAGGTGGGCCATCACCCTCTGCAAGTTTATGCTTCGCTAACGATGCTCAGACTTAGCTGCGAACTCGGTCTCCCCTGTCTCGTCCCATTCGACGCTCTCGAGATCAAACCTGGAGACGAAGCCGCTCTGCCCGCAGACTTCATCTCCAAGCTTCGTATCGTCTTCTATATCAGTCGAATCAATGACACTTTGGGCGACAATACGTGTAAAGATGGAAGCCACCGGATGAGGACGGTCCGTCTATTGGAGAAGGACATCAACTCGTTGGTATTTGGGCTTCGTCAGTCCCCAACGCAGTGGAATCCCTCTGTCGAGTTCGTGCATCTGAGCGTCCTTCTTAACCTATATTCTTGCTGTCTCCGCTGGTCTTCTCCGGTGTCCATCAACGACCCCGACCATACGATAATCCAAAGTTCCGCGGCCCAGGCTGCCTCCCAACTGATCAAGCTTTATTCAAGCTCGCCATCGCTCATCAATGATACAGCAAGTTCTGAGCCACGCCCGCAGAGGTACTATCCTAAATTCTATCTTCGATTCAACGTCATCGCACTCCTGATGCTCCTCAAGATTTCCGTGCTCAACAAGATCTCCTTACGAGAACTTGGCGAGGTGGACGACGCCATTCGACTTGGCCATGGGGCGCTCATGTCTCAGTCTTCTTCCGAGGGCGACGAATTTCACAGGGCCGCGAGTGTAGTGGAAGTCCTTTGTAAGAAGGGTGTGATTGACTCTGTCCGAGGAAAATCATCTGTTGAGTCCCGCTTTGGCGCCTCCCTGTGGCTTGAACTTGTTGCTACTGCGATCCGTTGGCGTCGCCAGAACTCGAAAAGGGGGCCACGGCCAACAGACGGTGGCCGCGGCAACACTGATAACAACAACGATAATCCTGGAGACAGCGCGATCCCATCTTCAAACATGGGCAGACCTACTGGGTCCGGAGATGGAGTGATGTCAGGTTCTACAGCGGCTGATAGTGTGGATGCCGCCAGGTTGACTATGGCCGATGTCCAGGGAAACGTGAATTTGTTCCCTTTCAGCATCGAGGACTGGTCTGCCTACCTAGATGTCACAGAAGCCGATCTGGGATTTGGCTGTGAATCCAGTGGGTGGGGAGGATTGGGGGGTTGAACAGGTGAAGTCATGCCCCGGCCGTTCTAAACAGTTATTCTCAGATCTATCGTTGAGTCCGAGTTCTCGCAATGTCCGAACTACTGCCCTGATTTGGACGACCGCCTGCTAACTTTCTGGTATTAGTGAGATATGCAAGCCTGCGGAGCCCGCGAGTCTTACTGTCTGTGGACCAGAACACGAGATTCGAAAGTCCAGTCAACTTCGATTCAGCCTGCATTGTCACGGTGTTCTTCCGTGAAACGTCAAGTCTATTTGGTGCCCATCACCATCGGAGGCCGATCTGAGCGTGCACCCCGATTGAGTGTTCACCATCATTTCTGCAACTGGCCGAACCTCGGAGTCGGCCGATCAGACCATCGACATCAATGGGAGCGAGCTGCTTTCCCTCCCCGGATTATCATCCCCGGTATCAACCTAATCTCTCCACAGCTCCATGGTTTGAAGCCGCCGAACGCGGGGGAGTCGTGCTCATGGAGCGAATGTGTCCGGGTATATATTTTCAAAAAGGGGTCTCCTTCCATCTACCTCCCCGGTTTGTTCAAGGGTACGCCGTGGACAAAACTGTTATAGTCCTGCGACCGCCAGACATCATCATCATGAGTGTCGTGCCCCTGGAAAACACCGACAAAGTCGAACTCGAACGGCTGCACGATCTCGCCGTCCATCATGAATACGCCTCTACCGTCGTGGAGAAGGACCAGAAGGTTCAGCCCAGGGCCGCCGAGAGTCCAGCTCTTCCGACCGATTCGGACGAGGGGAGCACCTCTCTGGACCATCAAGACCAAACGGTGTGGACGCTCAAAACCTTTCTTGCCACGCTCGCATTGGCCGGCCTCTACGTTGGATCTCAGATCCCTTTATACTTCGTTGGAGCAGTGCTGTCATATGTGGCTGCCGACATTGGGGGCGTCGAAGCATCATCATGGCTCTCTGTGGCCTACGCTCTGCCTCTTGCAGCAGTTGCTCCATTCTGCGGCTACCTACAGGATCTGCTGGGGCGCCGGAACATTACACTTGCCGGTGGCGTTATCATCATGATGGGCTGCGTGATCGTGGCGACTGCTCACCACTTCCGAGAAGGTATCGTGGGCATGGGCTTTGCTGGAGCGGGCGCGGCAATAGGAGAACTCAGTGCTCTGGCTGGGTGGGTTGTTTGATCTCTTGATCAGCCAGTCCTGACCGCTTGACCCAAGATCACTGACAATAAAACTAGGACATCCGAGCTAGTGCCTGTCAACAAGCGCGGGACGTATCTGGCATTGGTCACCGGTTTCGTCCTTCCCTTTACTCCATATGTTATATACGCTCAGCTTCTAGCCGCGTATCACACGTGGCGTTGGGGCCTCTGGATCTGTTTGTTCGTTTCACTGATCGCTCTCGCTCCAGCCCAGCAGCCACTGACACGCACCACAGAATATGGAACGGGATTTGGTGGCTGGTTCTGTTGGTCATCTACTTCCCCGAGTCGCAGACAAGGGCAAAGGGGAGAATGTCGACAGAGGCCTTGAAGAAGATTGACTACATCGGCGGAATAACTTCAGTCACAGGCCTGACTCTCATGTGAGTTTCCGGTTTGCGTCGGCAAGTCGCTACTTTCTGACGAATCGCAGCTTGGTCGCGCTCGAAGCTGGAGGCTACTCTCACCCCTGGAAGAGCGCATATATCCTTGCTCAGCTTCTGGTGGGGATTGCATTGCTCGTTGCATTCGTTGTCTGGGAGTGGAAATATTGCAAAGAGCCGATGGTCCCGCACGAACTCTTCACCGGGCAGCGCATAGTGGCCATGGCGTATGGGATTGCGTTCGTCGCAGGCAAGCTTCCCCGGAGATTCACAGGATCAGAAACTAACGAACCCTCCGGCAGGCATGAACTTCTATGCAATGATCAACTTCTTCCCGCTGGTGTACCAGAGGGTCTTTCAGCCGGATCCCGTCAAAGTCGGGCTCAGAGGTCTGGGTCCGGGGCTAAGCACCACCCTGGGTGCTGTGATTGCCAATTCATCGCTTTCGTGGTTCAGGGGCCACAACAGAGAGATCCTGCTGGCAGGATGTGTTATTATGAGTATGTGTGCCGTCGCCGCCTCAGGGCAAGTTTCGGAGACATTTGTCGCTAACTTTGAATTTCTCAAGCTGCATTTGGCGGAGCTTTCGCAGCTGTGACGCCGGACCGAGAGGCCCTGGCGATAGGTCTAGGTATATGCACGGGCTTGGGCGTGGGAGCCGTCCTGGTGCCGGCCGCCACTGTCGCCATCACAGTCGCCCCGGACACATCGATCGCGACCTGCGTCGCGCTGTCGATCACGATCCGCGCCGTGGGAGGGGGTATCGGCGCCGCCATCTACTACAACATCTTCGTCAACAAGCTCAAGTCCACACTCCCGGCATACGTCGCCCAGAGCGCCGTCCACGCGGGCCTCCCCGTGGCGGAGGCGGCTGAGTTCGTCGAGCTCTTCGTCGGCGGTGGCGGTGGCGGCGGCAGCGGCGTGTCCCTCGACGTCGCCCAGCTGGTCCAACTCCCCGGCGTGAACGAGCGGATCATCGACGCGGCGTCGGTGGCCACCAGATGGGCGTACGCGGACTGCCTCAAGTACATCTGGCTGACCAGCATCGCTTTCGGCGGCTGTGCCATCATCGCCTGCCTGTTCCTGGGCAACGTCTCCAAGTACATGACCAACCGGGTGGCAGCGCGGATCAGGGAGTGAAGAGAGAGAATGGCAAGGTCAGCCCAGGAGACGAAACACAGAGAGCATCACTCTCCCGAGTCATGATCTTGACAAGGGGCCACTGTGGACACTCGTGGGGAGGAGAGACCCGTGGCATATGTGACGAGAATGGGGCGGAAGAGATTCCTCAGATTCGGCTTCACGCACGCACGCCAGATACTGACCACGACAGTGACATCTTTACACTCACTTACATCTTGCCCGCTATGCTCCTGGTATCCAGGTAGTCATGGCCGATAGCCTTCTTGTACTAAGTATTGGTTCCCCTACGTCTCTCCCTGTCGTGAGACAGACTGAGAAGGCCATCACAGCCGACCGTTGAAACATTATTCTCGCAAAAGACAACGACTCGGAAGGAAGCCTTGACTGAGCGATCATACTGGGCTTAGAGAGATGACAACGCCTTCTCCAGATCACGTCTGCTTTTGAGTCCTCACAATCATGCTATGCCACGTCTCCGGTCGTGATGTTTGTTTTCGCTGGTTTGCGCGATAGATACCCCCCACTCCTGTCATTCCTCGTGCAGGCATTGTTCTCGTTATGATCTTCCCTGCGGCTGTTTACAGCACTCTATATAAAGTCACCGCTTCCAAACCCTCCGAACGGATTGTTGCCCCATCCTCGACCACCACCTCCTGGAAACCGTGGCCCACCTCGAAGATTTGGAGGACCGTCGCCTGGACCAACAGGGTCATATCGAGCCCCTGGAGGCACCTGAGGGTCATAAGGTCTTTGACCCCCCTGGCCGCCAAACAAGGGATCGTCAAAAGTGGGATGCATGCCTCCTCCGCCATGAAAACCGCCTCCAGGTCCCATCCTGAGAGGATCATGCGGTCCTAGCCCTGGAGGATAAAGGTCTCTCTCCCCAATGTTTCCAAATGGCTGATGACCTGGTGGCATGCCGCGCGGGGGTCGGTTAATTTCATATTCGTCCTCGAAACCCGGTGGTGGAAAGTCTCCTGGCGGATGGGGTCTTCGAGGGGGTATCGCTAATGGATCATCGAAAGGGTACGGTCGTGCAGGTGGAGGATGATCGTCACGTAGGGGGTCGCGCTCAGGAGGGCGAGTTTCTTCGTGCCGTCGTGGCTGCTCCAGGGTGGAAGCTGCATCCTCGTACCCCGCCTTCTGAATCCCTGGAGCCAATTTCTGGATGATGTTGAGTTTGAAAAGCGACGCGAGGTCAGCAATCCGCCCACTTGATATAAAAACATTCCGAAGGGCGGGAACTTTGTCGGACGTCGTGGTTGCCTCTTTTATTGACCCTTCGGAAGTGTAGTCGTTGGCTTTGACCTCAAAGGAGGCGGTCTTGTCGTCACCCATACCGGCCCCAAATATGATAGCCTTGCCTCCTAGTCGATTCACCTTGATAAGATACTCCATGGCGGATTGCGAATGGGCATAGCGGAAAGCGTAGGAAGAGGATTTGTCCCACTCAGAGGGCAGAGGTTGGGCATCTTGGGGGTCTGATCTTGCTTCTGCTAGTGGTGAGATATCTGGGTCACTGCGACACCACAGAATCCTACCTATCTTGTGGTCTTCTCCCAAGCCAACGAGACGGAAGCCAACTGCAAGCATGCAGGCATGTGAGAAGAGGGCAATGGCGGCGAATGGATCTTTGATGAGTGTGGATTGCTCCGAGTCGGGAGGCGGGGTCGGCAGGCTCTTGACCATGTAGTCGAGGATTGAGTCTGCGCTCAAGGCGTTCCCCGAAGCAGGGGCCATGGCGACGTCAGGAATCACGTTGGATGGAGCTTCTCGACCAAAGCAGGAGATGCGCAGGAAATGGGTTTGTAGAGAGAGGATACCTAGTAGGCAGCCAACGGGCAACGTATGGCCTGACTTCTCCAATACCGCAACGAACGACATGCACTGTGCGGGACGCGCTGCCCGATGCAAGACACGCGCACCGCACTTCGGCCTGATGTCATCGGGATCGGCTAAGTTGCCCTTGTCTTCTCGCATTCCAAACCGTCCTTGGTCTCGCAGAATCACCAGTTCGATCGCGTACAGTACCAGCCAAGTTACCCAGAACGGAGATCAATGAACAAGGTGGGATCCCTACACCCGTTACAACCGCTAACAGGCATTTGACCTAGAACCAGCTCCAGCAAAGCTGGAATTCGCCCTCCATCCACCCCACCCCCCAAAACAAGCATCTATGATCTACTTTTGCTGCATGTCGCCCCTGTCGCTGAATGCTTCTTCCAACGCCATACAGGCAGACATTTTGCGCCTCCAACCCTGGCCGATATCACCAATCTTTCCACCTATTTGCCGGGTGCATCATCACAAGCGCTCCGGTCGGTCTCTCGGCCGCCGTGGCAGGACGCAACTGAACGTAATAGGATATATTAGCGAGGGGATGGCCGTCCGTTAAACGCCGAGCAAGTCGCGCTATCTGATGGATGGCGAGTGCGGCATACAGGAAATACCTCTCTTCCATGGACCCGAGTTACACCAGAGTCGTCGATCGAGAGTGGAGGAAACCTCCTGATTCGCTGATTGGCGGCATCTATAAATTCGTGTAAACCCAGCATTGTCTCATACTGCAGCTATTTGCACGCAAAGCACGAAGTTGCACATGTTACAACGCCGCTCACAATGTGTCTCTCCAGCGCGAAGCCACAGTGCCTGCGACTGATGCAGCACGTTGCTCAGTTAGCTTTTGGACACTCTATGCTATGCCCTCGGAGTCATTCTTGTCAGTTGACCTAGGACGACTGGCGGCCTCATCTCTCTCAACCGCACAACAAGGAACGGAGCAATGCACACATTATAAAGGCTGAGCAACATATGACCGAATCGCACTCCAGTTCGTCTCTTTAGCACGGCGTATAAGGATTGAGAACTTTGCATCGCGACAGTTGCAGCGACATGATAGGTTGATGAGTGCCATCTAGCCCAAATTGCTACGTGCCAGGCCAACAGTCCATGTGCGAGCTCACATTCGCTAGTGCAAACTACCGCAAGACCCTTACCTGTCGGCGTCCGGGTATCCAAAGCTCAACACGCGTCGAAGGGTAAGTTCCGCCCCTGGACAGACATTACGACATACTGGGGAGACCATACATGCTCCAGGCTTCTTTTAGCGGCTCGGGTGATCTCAAAATCCATAAAGGATTCCCCTGTCTCTTTCTGCATTTCTATACTCAGATAGCATTCCGACTCTCGTAGGGCAAAACGTCCCAGTGGCCAACATTCACATTAACGACAAGGAGCAGCAACTTCACCAACATGGCCTCATCCAAAGTCGTCTGTCTTCCATAACAACGTTCGAGTTACCTGCTGACTATTTATAGCCACCAGGTCCTCCCTACCAGCCACAAACTGTTAATGTTGGTGGAGTCCCAGCTGTCGCCGTTGACGTCCCAATATGCAGTGTGTTCATGTTCCTTTTCCTCGTCGGAGCCATCTGCCATATGACCATATTGCAAATCAACCTGAGGCGAGGACACAAGTTTCTGATGAGTGGAATCCTATTCGGCTTCTGCATGGCTCGTGAGGTGGCATTGACCATAGTAAGTCACCCCGTCGACTTGTTTGTCTTGGGAAGTGCCGTTCGAAGGTTGCCTTTTCCGTTGCTCCGGGCTCAGTTGACTACCCTTGTCTCGACTAACGGCCCTTGTAGCGAATAGTGTGGGCGGTCTATCCGGAGGACACCCAGATAGCCATTGCCGCGGCCATTTTCGTTCCAATCGGTGTGCTGCTCCTGTTCCTCATCAACCTCATCTTCGCACAACGGATTCTTCGAGCTTCGCATCCTCACCTGGGGTGGAACAAAGCCGTCTCAACCACTTTCACGGTCCTGTACGCCTTAATAGTTGTCATGCTCGCCATCATAGTCACAGCAACAGTAGACAACTTCTTCGTTCTCAAACCCAACGCTCACAACACAATTCGAGACTTGACAATCACTGCGGTGACCTACTTTCTGTTCCTGTCATTCCTACCTATTCCGATCGTCGTCCTGGCCATCCTCCTTCCTCGAAAGACCAGGGTCGAGAAGTTTGGAAGCGGCCGTTGGCGGAGTAAGGTTGGCGTCCTCCTCACGTCCTCGGTCCTTCTGTGCTTGGGATCATCATTCCGCGCGGCAACCGCATATAAGGATCCGCGACCGAAAAATAATCCCGCGTGGTTTGATAAAAAGTGGTGCTTCTACCTCTTCAACTTCACGCTCGAGACGATTGTCATCTATCTATACCTCTTGCTTAGGGTCGATCGTCGGTTCCACGTTCCAAACGGCAGTAAAGGACCTGGGGACTATAGTGCGGTACAGAGACCGCAGGAGACGCAGCAGGATTCCGGAGAAAGTGGTGGAGATAGCAGTGTCGCAACTCGAGTCAACTCCGAAGAAGAAGTGTTCGACGACCACATGCCAATCGAACGAGAGCCGAGCAAAGATATGGGGATCTTGGTTTGACGGTCTTGTATGGAGATATTGAAAGGAGAGATAGAAAGGCGGTTGAGGAGCCTGTGATGATCAACAAAGAATTATCAATTGTACCATATAAACAGCCAACCGAGTATTGATATTCATCACAAACCACACCATCCAGCTCGTAATGCTACACCCTGAAGGGAGAGGAATTGGAAAAAGGGGCAGGGAAGACGAGGCTGGATGGAGGGGGGTGGCCAGATGGCAACTTAGCCGAGGCTTATGTAACAAGGTTTTTCTGGAATGCGAGAAACAAACTCGAGAAGCCGGACAACCACATTTCGACGCGTCCCTCTAAACAAAGACCATAGTCAAGACTCGACCAGACTTCAAGAGCCGCCTCGGATGCCATCGAAAGGAAAGTCTCGATCTTAATGCCCGGAGCCGCCCCTTTGGCGTCGCTGTGTACGGTTTGCTGAATGCGACAAAGTCACAGTGTCTGACCGCGCCATTCCATCCTCCTCTAACCACCTCCACCCAGATCTGAAGTCGAGATTCATTTGGGCCAAATACAACTATCCTACGGCCTTGCTCCACATCGCCCACAGAAATCACGTCTCCCCGATATTGCATCCGTTGCGACGGAAGTCGATGAAGGCTGGGCCGCAAATTCACTCGCACCTCGGCGCCGATGGGTCACAGGAGCGGTGACTGTTCACAGAGAGAGTGATTGTTCGGCGATTCCTCTGCCCGCCGTGGCCGAATTTCGTGCTTACTTTACACAGAAATTACCATCCGAAGGTTGCACAAGCCGTCGACATCCGTGCCTTGTGCCGTAAGAGCATAAAATGGCGCCTCGTCGATCTACGGCAAGAACCTCAAGTGCGACGCCGGTACGCGCAGCTTCACCGACGAAGCGGTCAACTCGTGCAAGCAGTGCTTTAGCACCAGAGGACGCTATCCCGCGTCGAGTCACTCGTGGGACTTCTCAACAACCGAGCCTTGCTGATGGTATTGTGAACAATCCGAGACTGCCTGAGGTGCAGATCCAGCAGTCTTACGCCTATGGGTCAAGCAAGACTCCCGTTTTACCCACCCAGTTGGTCGCACGAAGTAGGATGAACTTGAAGGAGATGGCCGAAACGATCGACGCTGGAGTCGAGCAAGCGCAGCAACATCTTCAGAACCATATCGAAGAGACCCATGCAAACTTACAGAACGACTCTCGGGCTGAAAGAGCTCGGCGAAGAGCCTCTCGCGAACACTCACAGGAAGCCTCGGTGGCGAGCGATGATGCCGAGCAACAGTGGAATCAGCGGGTAGCTGCATGGGCCACCTCTTTACACAATAACCGACTCAATGAGATACAAGAAGAAAGTCAAGAACTAGGGGAAGATGAAGACGAAGATATTGACAGGGACAATGAGAGCGTCGCCCGCAGTACTCCCGATGACGATACCAACAAGGAAACAGATCCCTCCAGCTTTCCCAGCGGCATATTTGATCACAGCTACAATTACGAGCGGGGACTCCGGAAACCTAACATCACAATACGAGAACGGCAAGACCCGTGGTTTCGAAAAGCGTGGAATACCAGCAAGGGCTCCGTGCAACAATTTCGGCAGACCTCCTTGGACATCTTATCTTCGATATCGGACTGGTTCGTGCAGTTATTGCGGGTCAGTGGACGAGCGATCAGAGATCTCCCAAATTCACCTCTTGTACCCATCATGACGAGTCTTCTTTTCAGTTTGTTTTTTGTCGGCGGAGCGAGCCTTCTACTATGTTATACCTACACTAATTTTGTTTGCGACCCTCTATCCACTTCTACAGCCGGGTTGACTCTTCAGAAATTCTGTGGAACCTGTACGAGGAGCCCGAGCATAGCGTCTCTCAACCTTACAGCTGGCAATGGGAATGATTTGTCAAAGCTCTCAGCAGCAATAAACAGCATTAATCAACAACTTCGGACGCTTGAGACACGACTGACCGACAAGGCCGACTCGCGATACGCGACAATAGACAAAGATATTGAAGCCCTGAAGAGGCAGCATTCGGAGTTGTCAAGCCACATAGCGGGATCGAAGCCCGGAGGCAAATCGAAGACCCTGTCTGGCGACGTTGCCTCTCCAGTCATTCCGAAAGTCAACTACTTCGCTCCAAATAACGGAGCCATGATTGAGCCACGATTAACCTCACCAACTATGCAAAAGCCGCTGACACTTGGCCACCGAATACTCTTGCGAATCCTCCTGTCGACACGCTATGTGAGCAAGCCACCCATTACAGCTCTCACTCCATGGCAAGATGTAGGGGACTGCTGGTGCGCTTCGGCTGTTCAAACTGGTGGCCCAGGACACGAGGATGACATGATGAGACTGGGCGTGAAAGTGACGGAACTGATCTACCCCACCGAAGTGGTCCTGGAAAACTATCCCAGCGCTGGCTCGTTGTCGCCAGGGTCGACGCCCAAGACTCTGGAACTGTGGGCCGATTTCGAGCAACTGGACAGTTTGGAATGGGAGAAGCTGAACATCAGATCGATGCAAGGCGCGACGGGGAGCACCCTTGGACCCACCTACGCCCGGATCGGAAAGATGGAATACGACGCCTCGATCGAGGCGAGCCATGTCCAAGCCTTTCCGCTGGACGTGAACCAGGGCGGTTCGTTGGCATACGCGGCGCAAAACTTTGTGCTGCGGGTGACGGAAAATCACGGCGCGGAGTTTGCTTGTTTGTACCGGGTCAGGCTGCATGGCGTTCCGGTTTTTGGGCACGGAGCGGAAGACTCAGAAGGCTAGAATCTCGTCCGCGAGCGTTGGGATTGTATCATTACCAAAGAGTTTGCGACTGCCACGCACAGGCAGCTCGGGGATGACATGCCGACAACAGATTGGCGCCAGCTTTTGGCACGATTTGTGGCGGAGAGACAGGACGGACGTCGGAGCTCGAGCTTGAAGATCTACAGGACCCCTTCTGCCTTGAGCATTGGCCCGACCGAGTCTATGGGAGAGGATTAGTATTGATCCCAACACATTGGATCGATGAATAAACAGATCCAGTGAGACCTTCGTGTTGATCATTCCATCCACACCCCCTTCACCGTGTTGGCCTCCGAGGAGGTTCTCAGGTATGAGCATCAGAGTCCTGGCGTAGAAAAGTAATGCGCAAGACCGCCGTATTCTGCATCTTCAATTCCTCCTATGATCTATCTACATATCTTATTACAGCAGCTCGAAAGTACCCTTCCTGGATGTATGTCTATCATCATTACTTGTGGTATAGCGTAGCGTGGTGGGTGAAACAGAGAGCCGGCGTGAATACGACCGGTCTGGAACGAGGGACCAAGAGGGAAGGGGCGGGAGAGGGTCTCGTCTACCAGAAGTCCGTGCCCCCTCCTCCGGTTTCAAACGGGCGATTTCTGTCCTGGTAGAGCTCTGCGGTTGCTGCTGCTGCTGCTGCTGCTGCCTGAGAGCCTGACACGCCCGAAGCCTTGGCCTTCTCGCCCTGCGGCCTCTCCGGCGGGGAGTGCCAGACCAAGTCGTGGACGATGGCCTCGAGGGTCTCGCCGGCGGGGCCGCTCTCGACCCAGTCCTCCCTCGCGACGCCGGCCAGGTCGGCCACGGCGTCGAAGCCGCGCAGCACGGTGCTCATGGGCGTGATCTGGCCTGGGAGCAGTTTGTCCAGGAAGCCCAGCGGCAGGCCGCCCGTGTCGACGATGGCGGGGCAGACGCTGTTGATGCGCACGTTGGCCGCGAGGGCGGCGTCGGATGTGCCCAGGGCGCGGACGAGGCCGATCAGCGCGTGCTTGCTGGTCGTGTACTGAGGGGTGGACGGGGAAGGGAAGAGGCCTGCGCCGGACCCCGTGACGGTGATCTTGCCCCCGGGCTTCGCCTTGCCGGCCGCCCCGCTGAGGATGGTCATGTAGTGCGCGGCGAGCTTGATGCCGTAGTATCTAAAGCCATCGAAAATCAAGAAAAGAGGGTTAGTCACTCTGGGGTCCCCATTCCACTTCACAGAAAGGACACAAAAGAAACAGGGACAATGTTAAACGGGGCGCGAAAGAAAGCGCGTACGTTCCAGTGATGTTGACCGAGAAAGTGTCCGTGTTGGGCTTCTTGGGCGGCTTGTGCAGGTCGTACGACAGCGTGTTGAAGATGTCGTCTCGGTCGTCGATGCCCGCGTTCAGCGCACAGAAATCGAGCCGCTTGCCCCATTCGTAGGCCTGCTTGAACATGTGGGACTGCTGCTCCCAGGAGGACACGTCGGAATGGATGTATAATGTGCCCGGGAGAGAGTGCTTCGGTTGGTGGATGTCTGCGATGACCACGTTCCAGCCTAGGGAGACGAGGTGTTCCACGAGGGCTGCCCCTATACCGGAGGAGCCACCAGTAACGATGGCAATTGGAGGAGCCATGGCAATGATGATGTTTGATGATGATTCAGCGGAAAGAACAGTTATCTTGGATCGGTGTCATGAGAGGGGGAGCGAAAAGGAGAAGGAAGAAACAGATATTCTGTCCCCCATCGTCTCTGCCGCGTACTTGCTGCGTTCAAAGGTCTCCGGTCTTCCGAGGCCGTTCCAGCAGGATTGTCAGACTACCTCATACTCCAAGTATATATTCTCTGCGCTAGGTATATAATAGCCGGTGGCTCGGGCCTATATTCTAGCGGATAGAGCACCCACCGCAGGCTGGGGCCATGGCAAGGCTTGGCGCCAGCCTTGCAGATATCGGGCTTCAGTCTCCTGAGTTCCAGATAGCCTTGTGGTTTTGCCGCCTCGACAGGTGGAGGTGGAGGTCAATTGCGAGAAAACGATAGAAGGAGGTGGCTCTTCAAGACACTCAAACATAATATGTTTCACGGAGATTATTCCGCGAGGTCATTGCCAATGGTCCCATTGGAATTGTCACCATTGGCACACCCTGGCACAGGGCTGCTCATGACGACGAAGCGGCGGTGATATGAGATCTGGCGAATGATATAGGTGATCGATCAAGCACCATCATCTTGCAAAGGAGGCACACCAAATATAATATCAGATGAAGGTCAGCTCCACGATGATAATGGTGAGTCACTCTTAAATCTTTTTGTCAGACGATGCCTTTCTTTGGTAGTCGCCAAGCCCACCGAGTCATGCATGGCCCCCTGCGCGCAGTTTGCGACATGCCCGCAATGCTTGCAAAGACTTCACCTCCAGACTCCTATAAAACCCAGTGGACTACACAAACGAACGAAAGCCATAGGCCGGAAGGAACTTCAATCGCGTGCTTAGCGAGAGGGATTTGACCCGCGGTACACGCATCAGTGAATGAAACTCCGCACGCCGATCTTCACTTCGCGGCGCATTCACCTCGAAAATTTTACCAAACAAAGAGTCTCGTTAACGTCTCTTGTTTCCTCACCTTCTACCCCCTGCGTTGGTCGGGGCTCCCTTGCCGTACCCTGTCGAACCATCACATCATCAATGACGTCCGAAGTCCCCTCGACTTCCACGTCACCCTCTGCTCCCGCACAGCACAAACCTCTGGTCGTTGGCCGCACCAAACCTCAGTCTGCCACCATGGATGCCTCATCGAGTAGCGGCCCTGTTGACAAAGCCATCCCCGCTGAGACCAAGGCAGCCCTCAACCACGAGATCGCCGAGAACGTCAAATCCAACACCTCAGCCCCCGCCCCCGCAGAGGGAACCACCAATCCGTCCACCAACAACAAAAAGAAAGAAAAGGCGCCAAAGCAGCCCAAGCAGCCCAAAGCCCCCGCCACGCCCGCAGCGCCGGTGTCGCCCGCCCTCATCGACTTGCGAGTCGGCCACATCCTTCGCGCGATCGCACACCCCAACGCCGATTCCCTCTACGTCTCCACCATTGCCATGGGCGACCCTGAAGGAACAGAACACACCCAAGTGGACGAAGAGACAGGCAAAGTTGTGCGGACGGTATGTTCAGGTCTGAACGGACTGGTTCCGCTGGAGGAAATGCAAAACCGAAAAGTCGTGGTTGTGGCGAACCTGAAGCCGGTGAACATGCGCAGCATTAAATCCGCGGCCATGGTGCTGGCTGCGTCCCCGCCGGCGGAAGAAGGCGCAGACCCGCACGCAGCTGATCGCATTGTGGAACTCGTCAATCCCCCGGAGGGAAGCGAAGCGGGTGATAAAGTCTACTTTGAGGGCTGGCCGTACGGCGAAGGCAAGGGGCCGGAGAAGCAGTTAAACCCGAAGAAGAAAGTGTGGGAAAGCGTACAACCGGGCTTCTTCACGAGTGAGGAGTGTGCGGTTGGGTTTGATGCGGGCAGGCCCGGCGTGGAGATTGAGGGCGACAAGGAGAAGAAAGGCTGGTTGATCGTGGAGGGAAAGGGGAAATGTACGGTCCAGACGCTGAAGGGAGCCGTGGTGAGGTGATCCGTCGTCGGTGTCGAGATGAACTCGCCTGTCCAGTCACCAAAGGATCCCAGGCGTATCTGGCGTCGGTGACCAAAAAAACGGACGGAATGTGCCTTCTCTTCTCATGAGGAGGACCTCAAAAATGATTCATGCGGTGCGTGCGGAGATGAAATGGTCTACGAAATAAAAGGATCGGACCGATGAGATAGAGCATAGAGCCCATGTACGAGCGTCGTGTCGCGCTGCATCGTCTCGCATCGCAGCAGGGAACCGAGGGAGCAGGACAGATACTGTAGATCCTCGCGCCAAAAGACCCGTGGTGCAGGGAACAAGATACCCCCGTTTGCTTGGAAGAGCAAGATCTGGAACCGGACCTGAACTCCAGACCAAGATGTAAGATGCAAGGCTTGGGGCTGAGCCTCCGTCGTAGCCCAGAGCTGATGCTGGAGCGGCATTGATGGCATGATATGGTGGATGCAAGTCTCTTCGCTCTACGCATGACGGGGATCCAGTTGCATGTACTGTACATATTATATGGATACACGCAGACAGGAAATTCTAGGCTTCTCCATAATGTGCCTGCGCAACCACGCCCTCATTCATCAATCATGAGCAAGGCCAAGGTACCATCCGCATGTCCTCTCTGGCCTTGCTCGACTGTACTCCTAGCAAGTATATCTGAGGGACACCCGAGGCAACATAGTACGGCAAGCACATGCCTCGCTTGTGAAAACCTCACACAATGTCTGAGGAACCGCCAAGGGTGTCAGCAATATCCCAGACTCTTGCTTCGCATCGTTTTGGGGCCCCGGTTTGCAAGAGGGCCCAAAGCTCCTGTCGTTTTACCATCTATATGATCGCCTGCTCATTCCCAGACACATTAGTTGTCACCGTGTAAGCTCGCTTCATTTCAGTAACACAATCAACAAGACCAAAATAACAATCAGCACAACGATCGTCGTCATGCCCCAATTCTGCTTCGCCCGTTCTCCGACCCCCTTTAACCGTCTCTTTGCGCCATCTAGCCGACCTTGATGCCGGTCTACACCCCTGTCGACTTCATCTAAGAGAGCAATTTGACCCTCCAACTCGTCACCCACCTGCATGGCCAGATGCCGCTGCCGGCCAATAGATTCACCCAGCCGGTCAAGCTGCTCGTCTTGCTCAGCAATCACTTGTTGGTGGTAGACGTGGATTTGTTGGTTGTCCATGCTCTCCGAGGGGTCGGGGGTACGAGCGCGAGAGTCCTCCTCATCCGTATAGCGAGCAGGGAAGAGGGCCGCACGGTTCGCTTCGTCTTGCACATCAAGTGATTCTTGCGAAGGGTCATCGCGGAAACGGACATTTTTGGCGCCTTGATTCTGCGCCACCGCCGCATCCTGCTTCCGCAAGTTCGAGGCTCTCTGCTGTTGGGCAGCGTCACTGGGTTTGCGGGTCTTTGCACGTTCAAAGTCTTCTTTCAAAGCCGGGTCATTCGGTGAAGAAAGTGTGTCTTCGGCCGTTGCAGAGCTTTCCCCTTGAAACTGCCGCGATAGATCATTATATTGACTCCAAAGTTGGGACAGCGATTCATCTTCAGGGGAGCGGTTAGAGAGGGCTTCGATGCCTTCTCGGAAGGATTCTAGTGAGCGGGCGATGTTCGAGTCTTGCGAAGGGTTTAGGTCTAGATTTAGCGAGATGGCGCGCTGGCGCTCGAGAAGAGAGAGTTTAATGTGGTCGGCGAGGAGTAGGAGTTGGGATGGATTGGACATTGTGAGTTGGGACGGAGCACGAGGTTTGAGGAGAGGTGTTGCGGGGGGAGGCTGGAGGTCGCAGGAAGTTCCACGGTTGATGCCAAGGCACAAGGAAGAGAACGAGAGAGGTTGGATGAGTGCTGTGGGCGTCCTATGTAAAGAGTGTCTCACAGGGTTGGACGAATCGCATGGGACAAGAGGCTCATTTGTGTAGAGAGTGCCTGGACGAAGTCAGCTGAAGCCTGGAAGAAAGAATACCAGCGGAAAGTCCGGGGCAAGGTGAAGCCTAGTGGCCGGCGAGTAGGCGGCAGATGCACCTGCCGTGACCTGCCAAGCACGAGGAGAGCGAGTTGGGTGTCGGAAGTGCAGGCGACTTAGGGTCCCCCAATCGAGTCTAGGGTGCTTCCAAGGGGCCCCTAAGGGTGCCCCTCCCCTTCCACCTGAGGGGCCTCAGAAGCCTAAGGGTCAGATGAGGCAAGGGCGGGCCCAGACCCAGGAACAACGCATCCGCTCACCCTCGTCGTCACCGCAGTCCATCGTGCAATAGCGACCAGATTCCGACCCCCGAGGCGACGAATCTTTTCTCCACACGTCGCCTTCCGATTCACTTCCAACAACAAAACTGACTTCAACCAAACAGCGGCCTTTCTTAAAACATGCCCCTCTGGCTGCCGAATGCGAGGTTCTCCTCTTCTCTTCCTCTAGGTTTGCGACTCAATCCTGTCCACTTTCAAAATGGATGACGATGATGTGAGATACTCTGGGGCTGGCTATGGCGCCCTCCCCTCACCGAGTCCGATTCAGTCACAGTTCGACACCCTCTTTGCCGAGTTCGCTCGCTCTCGTCCCCGAGTCTCACCTCCACGGTCGCCTTCCTCTCTGTCCCACGAGCCGCTGTCGAGGGACATTGAGAAGAAGACTATAGACCTCCGCGCGCTCGATTATGTGTCGGAGTACGACGCAAACTTGATGTGTCCGATATGCCATGTCCCTTTCATCGAGCCCGTTGTCCTCGAATGCGATCACACATTCTGCGAGTCTTGCCTGAAGGAATATCGAGAGGGAGGTTCTAGCGGGTCACGGAATCAATGTCCTTCGTGTCGCTCCTTCCTCCTGTCGACTGCCCACAAGGCTTCCCGCCTCATAATCAACATGTGCAACGACATCAGAGTCAAGTGTCCCAACGAGGATTGTGAAGAGGTGGTCGCTCGAGGCTACGTCGAGCGACACGCCACGAAAGAGTGTCCGCATGAGCGGCTTCAGTGTCCGGATCCAGACTGTGGGAAACTGATCAAACGAAAGAACTATGTGCCGGAACAATGCATCCACTCTTCGCATATCGAGTGTGACTGCGGCGCCGTCATCGAATTGGGCAAAGGCGAGTGGCTGAGACACAAGGATGAAGATTGTCCAAATACCGGCGTCAAGTGTAAGCGATGTGGCCAGAGAATTTCAGCCAGGGACTATTTGAATGGCATTACCGGCCATAGGTGCGGCGCCGATGAAGACCAGCGCTGTCCCGGCCATGGATACGGCTGTACAGAAGACTTCCACCCTGATGATCGGGACAATCACGTGAAAACGTGCCCTCTGGCGCGCATGGCACCATACCTCCAAAGACAATCTCAGCTGCTCAAATCTCTGCAGGAACAACTTGCCATGGTCAAGGTCCGAAACGAAGTCCTCGAGGCTGGCTTTGACAGGATCAATGACATTGTCAATGAACGTGTCCTGCCTCACATTGGTCATTCCGACCAGTCTCAGGCGGGCGAAGCTTCCGATATCGAGGAGATTGAACGAGACCATATTCCATCAGCAATCTCTCACCGTGATCTCCTCATGCCAGCACATCTTCGCGCCTTGACACCTTCCCCAGATCCCGAGGCTTCCTCCATTTCTCAGACTCAACAGCACCTCCTTGCTTTGCACGAATCCTTGCGCGGGACCGTGTCGACCCTCGAGCATGACGTTGCAGCAATGTCCAATGCACTTGCAGATCTCGACGCTAGATCTTCAATGCAGATAATGAACGAAACCTTGCGAATAAAAGAAGAGCTAGCCCATACCAACGCCGCCTTGTTCAGCACTAGATCACAAGTCCAGTGGCTCTTGAACCGCGAACGACTAGGCCAGCAACAACAGGCGGGGCTCGTGCGCGGGCGAGCACCGTCAGCTCAGCCTCAAGCCTCAAATATAGCGTCGTCGGCGAGGAGTTCGGTCTCAGAAGACACTGATGGGTCCGGCCAAGGGTCGAGTTTGGAAAATCAACCTTCAGGGAGCGCGAATCTGGCATCAAGTCCTAGTTTCCGACCCCAAATGCGAAGGCTCAGCGGCAGTCAAGAAAGAGTGAAATTGTGATGTTTTGGCGCCAGGTTATCTTCAGACCTGCCCGAAAAGTCGATAATCTCGAAGCACTTATCTAGAGGAGCTCATCTGAGAGGCTTTATAGTAAATAGACGTCAATCAGCGCGTTAACGCCTGCATGACCTGGATGCTCGAATGGAAGAGCGCCAATTTCCAAGCAGGGAGTTCCCCAGGAAACTCCTTATCTTCGCGAGCCTTGCCGATTCGCTTGTTCTCGCTTTGTGCTCGGGTGGACCTGCTATTTGTGGGGGCGGTCTTCTGCGATTCTCGCCCTGAGCGCCTTACACAGTCCAGGCCGACCCAGTCCATGGGCAGAGACTCTAGGATTGGTTGACTCGAAGGGGAGAAGGGAGAAGAGGCAGGCTACCGCGAGCGAGAGTGCATCGCCTGGGTACCAACATCTGATAAGGCTCCGACGGTTTAGCTAACCTTCAGCTGTGGAGGTGGGGGATTGGGTCGCTGGGGTGTAGTATGGCAATGGCTTGGTGGTTCTACCATTGAGACAGTTGCCATTGATAATGAATCTACGATTTAAGTAGACGCCATATGATTATGATAATGACTGTGATTATATATACCTACGACCATATGTGTCTCTGTAGTCGCCTTCCACCTTTTGCTCGGAGTAGGTAACCGAAAGGCCCGCGTTGTCGCAACCATCATATCTATTTCTCGCTCGACCCTCTTTCACCTCGACCGCAGCAATCTATTCTCTCTGAGACCTGAATAATCAACCCAAAACGGAATCCAATCCACGCTAGCCAGTTCATTCACCCACTGCAACCGGCGATACGACGTGACTAGATCTTAAGATGGGCCACGGCAGGACGCTCGAGTATCCCAAGACGCCGGTGAACAGGGTCAACCGGTATAACCAGCGAGGTGAGTCCACAGTGCTCGATACAGGACACGTGACCCCTGAAAACCTGCCCGAGAGATATAGAGAGAGATAGAGGGAGGGAGAGATAGAAGAGTCCAACGGAAATGGAAGATAGCCGCGTATTTTCTGGCGATGGAGGGTGGAGAAGAATAAACAGAGTCTTCCTCTGGGGTTTTGAGCGAGGAAAGAGACGCGGAGGTTTCAAGCAGAACAGACGGAATGACGGCTTGTTGTTGTTTCGAGTCGGTGTCTCTGCGGGAGACTGTCCTGTCCTCATTTTCTCTTCGTCGTTTTGTTTGAGATATGGGCAACCCCCCTATTTCGAGGCCTCTTCTTCTTCCTCTCTTCTCTTTTCGGCCTTTCCAAAGGGGGGAAAGAGTGCAATGGAAAAAGAGCCTCTGGAGGGGGCCGAGTATTCTTACACTGAAAATGAACCGCTTGCTCACGATTTTCTGTATTTTGGGGCGACAATAGCAACCTATGACCTCGAACAAATCCACACCATCATCAACACCAGCACGGTGGTGCACGTCTCGTTCAACACGCCGGACGCGGCGAATCCGTTCCCGGTCACGCTGCCCATGGTCGGGGTGGCGGCGAGCTTCGAGCACCCGTCGGCGTCGCTGGGCGAGCCGCTCGACATCTACCTGCACGGGTACGTCAGTTCGCGGCTGATGAACCTGTCGCGCAACGCCGGCGGCCAGGGTGCCCCGGACTCGGCCTCCCCGCCGCCACCGGCGCAGGGACTGCCCGTGACCATCTCGGCGACGCTGGTCGACGGGCTCGTCCTGACGCTCACACCCAACACGCACGACGTCAACTACCGCTCCGCCACCGTGTTCGGGTACGCCAGCCTGGTGACGACGCTCGAGGAGAAGCTCTGGGCCATGGAGCAGGTCACCAACTCGGTCGTGCGCGACCGCTGGCGCCACACGCGGGTGCCGCCCGACGGCGCCGAGATGCAGAGCACCAGCATCCTCCGGGTCAAGGTCGTCGGCGGCAGCGGCAAGGTCCGCGTCGGCGGCCCGCGCGACGAGCTCAAGGACCTGAAGAGGGACGACATCCGCGACACCGTCTGGACCGGCGTCATCCCCGTGTGGGAGTGTTTCGGGGAGCCCGTGGCGTACAAGGGCGTCGTGGAAGGGGATGAGAAGGCAAACCGAGTGAGCAGTGTCCCCGAGCATGTGAGCGAGTTTGCGAGGGAGATGAGGGAGCAGAACGAGAAGTATGCCTTGGCAACCGTGGTGGACACGAGCCAGGATTGAGTGGCGCGTGATGCCCTTTCGGTCTCAATGAAGATGCAATGACGGCGATTCCATCCCCCCATTCCAGTCGAAGCAAAGGGTGAACGGGAGGGCGTCTGAGGCGTTGGGAGATGTAGTCGGCTGTTATGCCGCAATGATAGAATACTTGACTCGAGTTGTGCCTCGTCCTGTCTCTTATTTATCCAGCCTCTGCATGCGAGGTCACGACAACTCGTCTTGGCCAACGTTAGGGTTACAATGATGTCCCGTCCATCAGCAATGTATCCCTTGAATGATCGTCCATTCTCTTGAATGCCACCACCGACTTCAACTTTCTTCTGCCATGCAAGGGGAGGAGGGGTTCGGCATCATGGAGAATCGAGCATTGAGACCGGGCAGGCAAGAAGGGGCAGTCTTCTGGAAGCCCCCTCCCCCCTTGGCTTGCTTCCACAGGTCGTGTAACTCGGAGGGGGGGAGTCCGGTAATTGAGAGAGATGCCAATCAATCAATAAGGTGCAGTCGAGGGCACCGTGCCATGCACGAGTTTTGACGCAAGGAGCAGCATGCCCCCGAACCTTGGCTTGCCCGCATCGTCACCGCCCCCGTCGGATCAACCCGAGGAATGGGGGGAGCACGGGTCATTTTGCAGAACACGCTTTTGTACGAGGCGGGAGGATGTGTCTCGTTTGCGTCAATAGGCTCCCCACTGTTTCAGAAGGTGGTGGTGGTGCCATGAGAGCGGTTTGGCCGGTCGTGTTGGCAATGGGATTCCTCAATGACCGCGTTTGATATCTCCGCCGATCCTATTTACATCCCTTGTGTTGGTGTGCAGATCTCACCAGGGCAGGGAACGGCGGACTCCTCGTCAACGGCGTCACGCTCGCATTGTCTCGTTGTGCGTGGGCGTGTGCGTCCTGAACAATGAATGAGGCCTCGGTTTTGACACATTGAAAGGGCTCCGCATACTAGGCATTCTGCCATCACTCCTCCATCTCACATTGTCTTCACCGTCCCTCACCAAGGCAACCTGAGCGCCACGACATCGAGTCATGGCCTGATCCTCCGTCCGTTCTTTTCTCAGTCTCTTTTCTTCGCAAGGTGCATGTTCTTCGTCTCTCACCTTTTCCTTCCTTTCCTTTATACACTCGTTTCACCTCCAACTTACTGGTCACTCCTTTGTACATGTCTTGTCACGGCGCGGCAAACGAAAATTGGTTTCTCTGCTGTTCAAACAGACCAAAGCCAGGTCGACAAACGGGCATGCACAGCTCTGCCTCACCCACCTTCTGTGTATAACTGATCGAGTCGGTCTCAAGGGCGTCCGTCCGAGCACCAAGCAAGTCCACTCGCTCGCAACTCCAAGAAACCCGAGTCCTATTGTTTCGCTGTGAACCGGTCAATGCCATCGCTTCGAGAACTCAAAGCTGCCGCAATGAACAAGTTTCGCTCGGGTCGCAAATGGCTCAAAGGAAAACTGCGAGGACACCTCCAACGAGCTCCAAAGGAGAGAAAACTCATCATTGTAAGTTGAGGACAGCGAGGTGTCTTGACCACGAGTTGCTGATATGTACCAACCAAAGGGACATCCAACTGATTTTCGTCGGGAGAACATCACTCTTGGAACAGATGTTGACGGGTACAAGTCTCCAAGACGAACCCCTTCCTACGGAACATATGCTGATATATGACCCTCAGGAACGCGATTCTCGTGGAAAAGGCTCGAGAAGATGCCCAAGCCATGCACATTGCCTCAAAAACACAGCCTCGGGAGAATACAGCTGGATAGAAGTACAACAGGTACAACCCAGGCACTGTTCAGCCACGCACAGGATAGCTACGCATCGAGCTCCCAGGAGAAGAGAATCCAAACAATCGACATCTGCTTCAGATGACGGCAGACTGTTACCATGTGCCATGTATTCGCAGAACCCTCCGCTGATCAGCGGTTTTCTGGGCGGTTATGTCGGTCCAACCCTTGGATACGCTGATGGAAATAGGATAAGAGCACAAAGTCTTGCGAGGGAATTCAAATTATGAACAACGGAACTTCCTCGAATCGCAATTTCTTGTCCCTTTCCTTGTCTGCCATGCTTTTGGATAGGTGTCTTCCATCTGCTTGCGGCCCTGCTCTTGATCTGCGAGCACCATCATGAGAGTCATCCACGGCTGCTGTTGCGACAGAATCATCGTCGAGGTCCACAACGAACCTGTGCTTCGTAGTTCGCTCATCGGATCTGCTAGGCACTGGAGAGTTCCTGTGTTGTCGGACAGTGTGGTCGGACAGTCTAGATGTCGACGCGGGGTGAAGACCGTTTTGCAGAGTTTCCTGCTTTTCTGCCACCAAAATCGAGGAACCATTAGAATTGTCTCGTTTGGAGGATGTCTGTTGTGCGAAATGATCTGTTCCCAGGTTGGTGGTGCTTCTTCTGCTGCTCGGACTTCTGGCGAGACCCATGCCAGCCTTTGTACTGCTCGAAATTCCCTCCAAACCAACAAGAGACCTCTTCTGCTGGCTGTTACTCGCCATCAGCGGAGCGAGACTGGTGCCAGACCACAAGTCGGTGACCTTGTCTTCGTCTTCCTCATCGTCGACCACCGGACCTCTAATGACTCGTCGTAAAATCTCTTTTTGCTTGTTCTGTAAGGCAGCAGATTTGAGTCGTCTCTTTGTCTTCTCGGACATAGGCGACGTGGGTTCAGGAAGGGCTTTCGGCACTGCTTTCCGTGCTTGTTTGACCAATCTCTTGTATTCGGCGTGATGCAGATGTGCGGTATACGACTGTGCGACCGTCTGGAACTCGTCTTCCACCATGATGTAGATGTCATCGCCATCGTACCCCTCTCGCATGAGCCTGCATGGCCGTCAGAGCATATTCTCTGTAGCCGACTAGGATGGCTTACTCTGTTGTTGGGGGGCCTCGAAGAGGAGATGAAGAAGGTGTCCTCCCTACCCAGCGGTCAGTGCGATCCATGACACGTCATTCACTTGAAAAACGTACGACTTGGATCTGCTGAAGCAGATGCCTTGACGGAGCGTCCCCGGTCAGTCGCGGGTGTGCTATCGGCCAAACTGTCGCTGCGCGCTGGAGGGGATGCTCTCTCATGCTTGACATGCGGCGCAGGAGCCACTCGCGCTCTCTTGGCTGGCGGAAGATGGTCAACCGTCCAAGGCAAAGTGCGCGCCATTGGTTCTGCTAGATGATTGCAGCCTGGGAAACCCTGATGTGCGGAAGCTCAAGGAGGATTTGCGCGTTGCGGATTGCATTTCCTAAAAAGAAAACTATGCATGTCTGCCTTCTTGGTGGAAAGTGAGCTTCGAAGGCAGTGATCGGTGGTCACGACGGGAAGCGTGAATAACTGGATTCTGAAGTTTTGTGAGGCCGCAACTCCAGACCCAGACTGCCCCACCCTGCACCCTGCTCCCTCAAACTGTGTTCCTTCTAGAGTTGAATGGTATGGCTATGTCAAAGAGGTGATGGCTTGTGAATGAAATTCATCATAAAGAACTGATTATGCAAGAAATCGTAGTATTTGTAGATGCCTTGTCGCAGCCTTGCTGCATTTAATCAGCACGGGGTATCATTTTCCACTCATGGAGAGTGCCCATAGCCCATATCATAGCCATCAACTCCGTGTGAACGTTCTCAACGGTGTTTTGTCCTGTTTGCCCAAGTGTATGTCGTAGCAGCGTCTAGCTCTGCATGCGCAATCCATAATGCAATCCTGCTAACAGAGCACCACCATAACCCATGCCCTCGTTCATTCAAGCTCCTATGCCTCGCCGGGTTTCTTGGAATTGCAGCTGACGATCTTGACCTTATCCGCGTGGAACTCTTGACCAGCATCACTCTTGAACCTGACGTCTTTAACGAGAAATGTCCAAACATCGTCACAGAATCGATAGGTCTCAAGGTGTCCCTGTGGGCACTGTCAGTAGATCCAACGCAGGGTTGTCAATCTGTGAGGCCAACCTTGAATGTCATTCTCGACTTGACCTTCTCTGCGAGTGTCTCGGCGATTGCGCGATCGAAGTTGCTAAGGATCTTCATAGCCAGTTGGGGTTCGATTCGGCCGTCATTGATGAGATCGTCAATTGTATCGATAAGCGCTTCGCCGATACTGCATAGCCTGTCAATATCTTCTGCCGCTAGTCTCCGTGGATGTGTTGCCGGACGGAGGCGGCATAGCGGTTCAGCAGGCGCCAGGTGGCAGAGGGCAACCTACCTGCTGCCCCGGTACAGCTCATAATACTGTTGAGTCGCCATCCTCGCTGCTCTCGTGCGCTCCCGTAGATTGCTGGGAGTCTGGATGAACCCGGAAAACCCTTGAGACTTAGGAGGCTATCCTGCAACAAGGTGGAACAAAGGTGAGGTAAGAGTGAAAGTCGCAGGAATGGAGGTACAGATACACCCAAGAAGTACCTGGGCCATGGACATGACTCCCTCGTCGAGGCCGTCAAGGTCTAGTCTACAAGCGTGACTGGCCGGATCAAAATCTCCGAGCTTGGCATTCATCTTGCGCCTCATTGGATGATAGCCGACTCCGGTCGTCACCCCGCAATACCTACCTAGTCGAAGTAGATGACTTCCACCTTTTAGATGTTTTTGAAGCTGTTCGTTCTTGCAAGGGAAGGGCTTATTTGAGGCTGGAAGCGCATTCTCAGCCTGAGTTCTTACAATGATGAATCAACAGACTCTAGCTCTCTCTAAGGTCATGAGGCGTGGCCGACCATTTGTCTTGAATCATGTACTGAGCCAACATCGCTTGACGTCTTCGTCTAGTACTAAGGACTCTGAGGGCAAGTCCGCCAATGTAGTGGACACTGCGAAAAAGAAAGAAGCCTTTAAGAAGCTGAAGAAGACCCACAAGAGCATGGCCGACGCTGACGAGGAAATGCGGCAAGCTATGGAGAATCTGGCAGGAGATGGGGGAGAAGCTGGACTCGAGCTCGAGGACGGCAAGCCTGTTGCCATGAAGAGGGGTGTTCGAGAGAACATGTTCAGATATATCTGAACATGGGGGATAAAATCACAAATGACGGCATCGGAGTCTGCACAACGCCATGGGCTGAGACCAAGTCTGTGATGAAGCTCAGGGAGCTGATCATGTTGGACACGGGTATCATGCAAGTTGAACAACGCTGAAATCTGCCAGAGCCGACAAACAACCAAAGGAGCAACATGCCATCCTAGTCATACAATTTGTTGATATCACCAACAAGAGCGTCCACGGAACTGCCTCCTGGACAATCGTACCACTTCCCGCCATCACGAATGCATCGAACCTTTTCTGCGAGCCTGACTGTACAACTCTTTGTTACGTTGTTCTCTTGACTCCTTTCAATGCTGGCCCGAAGCAAACCGATTCCTTCCCCTTCGTCACTGATGCACGAGTTGAGCTGCTGGAAGTCAAGACCGTGTTCCATGGCACAGCTCTGGACGAGGTCTCGCTTTGGGATGTCTGGATATTCGGAGATCATGCAGTTGGCAAATCCGAGCCAGAGTTTGACTTCGGGATAGACTTTAGCTGCGCAGAGGAGGATGATGTTGCCCAGGCACTCGCCCGGTCCATGTTTACATGACACTGCGTCGGAATCAGGATCGACGCTGTGGCCGTGTGAGCGACGAATTGATTTTCGGCCAAGGGCAGGATAGCATACCTTCCAATAAATGACATTGTGAAGTTGACCTTTTCGTTCACTTGGATCATCGTTGGCACAATCAGCTCGCGCAGGCAATCCCGAGCGTCTGGGCATTTGGACATGACATGTATTTCCAGCGGGATCTTGTTTTTCGGTGCCTCATCCTCCACAACATCTATGGGTGCTCTGGATAAAGTCGGCCCATAATGGTGGTGGCAGACAAACGTAGTGCGGAATAGGGAGAAGACCACCAGTATCGTCAGGATGGCTGGGATGACTCGCCTCACGAGGTAGTGTCTTCGGGGGCCATGCTGCCTGGGTAGAGCATGAGCCGTCGACTCGGAGTGTTTGTGTAGTGGGAGCTTTTCCTCGGCATGCGGCGGCTGGAGAGCCATGATGGGTGCAGGTGTGTTCAGTGTGCACTAGCGTGAGGGCGTTATATGCAAGTGGTTTCGCGGGCGTCGGTGTGTCGAGATGAGGGGATGGGGTCACCTTGGCGAATCTGCAAGCCTGGAATCCTGGCGGCCTGTAGCGGGCAGCTTGCGGGGACCCGGGCAGCCCAGTGGCAGGTACCGACCTGTCGACCCGGAGTACTCCGTGGCACCGTGACAGCGGTGTCTGCCTGCTGCTGTCGATGCGAAAGCCTTTGCAGGTGGTGGGTGACGCTGCTCTCGAGATGATATGACAAACCGGCTTGACAGATACTGACTCATAACTGCCTCCTGATAGATAGGAGGCCCTGGCAGTTCTTCATCGAGGGAGCCTACGTACACGGTGACCTCCTAGGTACATGGCTAGCCTGCGCCATAGGAAAGTACTCGTCCAAGTCGCACCCAACACCGATGCGCCCCCAGGCTGGCCGCCAGCCCTGCCGTTATCGCAGGTCCAATTAGGCAAAAAGAGCTGCCCAGATCCGGCTGAGGGGCAGCTTTACGTACGCATCAAGCATGACTTCATCTCTGTGGCCCATAGCGAGCTCCGAAAAGCGGTGGTAGCCCTACCTTTAGGGAAGCTAATAGCTACAGTAGGTACCTAGGTAGCCATGTGGCAGGCCGTCTGGAGTATCTCACGGGTAAGCCTCCTGTAGCCTCCAGTCCATTCGCCGGTCTAGCCCCCCCTTTCTTCACACCCCCTCCCAAGCCTCATTCATTAGCCACTGCATCTGCTGCACAAAAAAACCCTTCTCTTGCTGCTGGCCTCCGCTGGGGTCTGTGCGCCTAAAGATGCCCTGCATCCTTTTTCAGATGGTCGCTGATTCGCACTCGAGGCAAAAAAAGGCTTGAGGCTGACTTTTCCCTTTTCCCTCCCTCAAAGTCCCAGCGTCACATCCCGACTCCCCAGGGTCACATCTGAACCACGCGATATAGCGATCGAATCCTGTTCTTCACGGGCACAGTCTCCTTATCCGGGGTCCTGTTTCATCTATGAACCTTCGCTGACCCGCTGCCGAAACTTGAACCTCGAACTGACCTTGACAATCCGACATATCCCAACTGCCCTGACACCTGCTGCTAGGTCACCCCGACTCATCCTCTTTCTCCGATGCTGACCTGGCCGCCTCGCACGTGAGTGTACAAGAGTACCAATTGGTGCACCATTCAGCCATTCGACCATTCGAGTCCGTGAGATCCCCTCAACCACCCACGATCATGTCGGAGCAAGCCTCGCATCGGTCGGCCAGCAATGGAAGCCCGCCACCTGATGATCTCGAGCATGACCTCGACGCCTTTATTCAGCCGCTGCTTATCAACGACAACCAGGTACACAGCCTGGCATATAAGTTCTCCAAGGTATATGAGGAGCTAGCCTTACGCTCCGAGGAGCAATTCCTGCCTACTCCCGTCACCAAACTGCCCACCGGACAGGAGACTGGCCAGTTTCTGGCCATTGATGTTGGAGGCACTAACCTGCGAGTGGCATTCATCGAACTGTTGGGCGACGCCGAGGAACTGCTGCCTACGGCCAATGGCGTGGAGCGGTCACGTGAGACGATTCGGAATGCTCAACGACCTCGAGTGCGGCGGACCTTGGAGAAGGCATGGCCCATCGGAGAGCATTTGAAGATGGACAAGACGGAGGACCTCTTCTCCTGGATTGGCGATTGTATAGCCGAAGTCGTCGGGGATCGGTTGACTTCAGACATGGGCAAAGTGGCCGTTCCAGATGAGCTCCCAATGGGCATCACCTTCAGCTTTCCCATGATGTAAGTCCTGACAACTCATCCAAACATCCAGTTCCTGACAAGAGAATCAAGGCAAACCGAGTTATCCGCTGCGACGTTGATGCCCATGGGGAAAGGCTTCACCATCAGTTCTGATCTTGACCTTGGGTCTACTCTGTTACAAGGCTACGCCCGCCACACTCGTCGACAGTCTCCCACGAGCTCGTCTCCCAAAGCAAAGCGAAGGAAGCTCGGCCCCCTTCCCCGACTGAAGATCACCGCCATCACCAACGACACGATTGCGACTCTCGCTTCTCTGGCATACACTGTCAAATCCCTTCCGAACTCTAGGGTCGTCGCTGGAATCATCGTCGGCACGGGGTGCAACGCTACGATTCCCATGAAGTTCTCAAGCTTGGGCGAGGCTAAAGTCGAACCAATCAGAAAGAACAAACCTCATGCTACTGAGACGGTTGTGAATACCGAAATCACAATCGCTGGTGCTTGCGGGCCCTTGCAAGACATTACCACTGATTGGGATCATCAATTGGACCGCGCGTGCGCGCGACCCGGCTTTCAACCTTTGGAATACATGACTGGGGGCCGGTACATTGGAGAGCTGGTTCGCATCATTTTCTTTGACTATATGACGCGTGCCCACAAACCACCAGTGCCCGCAGCGTCGCTTCCCGCGACGATTGTACACAGCTATAGTTTTAGCACCACATTTGTGAGCGCAGTCGTTGCACGGGCTCGGTCCGATTCAGAATTGGCAGGCGAATTGAAGCGACGCATCCCTCCTCCGGAATCCTCAAACTGGGGTTGGTCACCGCATTCGGCCGGCGCGCTTCGCAAAATTGCGCAGATGGTTCAGGTCCGGTCCGCCGGGCTTATTGCTGCGGCCACGGTCGGGCTTCTGGCTACCGTGGGCGAGATCGCATTGACAGAGCCTAGCAGCCCTACGTCACTTCCTGACGCGATGGTCTTGACCGACAGTAAGCCACCATCTCCCAAGTCAGGTGTCCCGTCTCTCCCTCAGCGTGACGCGAGAGATGGTCTGTCGCCCGCTCCTGGTGCCACCGCCTGGAAGTCAGGACCAGAAGAATTGGTCATTGCTTACACCGGTGGTATTATCCAGCACTATCCCAACTTCAAAGAACAATGCCAACGGTTCATCGACCGGCTAGTGATGAGAGCAGGTCCTCAGGACGGCGGCAAGAGTGTCTTCTTAAGAGAAGCTCGGGATGGCGGCATCATTGGTGCCGGCGTCCTTGCAGGCATGGAGACTCAAGAGCGGGGCCTGTCATAGCGAGTCGAGGTCTTGATGGGCGTGTCATGCTCGTCTCGTCTGGGTACCATTGCGACGTCTTGTTGTGGACAGCAGGTTGTAGGAAATTGGCTTGCCTTTTCGATTGCACATTCGAGGACGATCGATCGCCAGGAGACAAGCCTCGAGGATTCGTGGAAAAACTCCGGGGGATACTTGGAGGAGTTGTGAAGTTGAAGCAACGAGTGATGCAGGGCAAACCCCCTGCATGTTGGAGGAACTGTGACAGGAGCTGCTGGTGCTGCTGGGCCGTTTAAGAAGCTTCGGAACCGGTAACGAGGGGGGTTACTCCATTTGTCACGGAACTAGTCGTTACAAGCACTCCTTGCGGTGCTCGCCCAAATGCTTCGTACTTGCGCACCCTCGCTCACAAGCGAAAGGAAAATTGGCCTCGTGGATTGGCGGCCAGGGCCGCTAGCTGGTTCCTAAGGCGCAGGCTCAACCCCGTGAGTTTTAGCCGAAGGATCCAAAGGACCAGCCCAGGATCAGCATCGGCATCAGAGCCCAGAATCAGAATCAGGGGTCCCCGCAACACACCAACGCACCTAAAGGTATAGTCACATGAATTGAGGTCTCTGGGGTTTCAGAGGGCTCGACAAAGCCTTGAGCTTTCCTTTGGATTCGAGAAGGGGGTGTATATATACCGAGTACCTTATAGAGTCTGCTGAAAATAGACTGCTAATGGGAGGAGGGAGCTTGCCGATGAGGCGGCTAGTCATCAATGGATTGATGATCAGCCTCGATGTCATCAGATGAATCACGGCCACGCGAGTTCCAAACGGGAAGGCCCCGGTGGCGACAACTCGACAACTTCGGAGCCCTCCAGCCGTATCCCAACAGGCCATCGGCCATCAGCCATGAGTGGCTGCGTCAAGCTTGGACTAATCCATCGCTGCTGTGTGCATTCATTGCCGAAGTCCATCCATCAATGTGCTGCAGGTCTCAGGGCCTAGACAAATCGAGGCATTTGGACGTGCTCAACGGTTGCTCTGGGCGAGATGGAAATATTCCGTTGGCAGAGCTCCATACCACCGAGCTCACCTGTGTGACCGGACTCGACGCTGTGCCGGCTGAGGAAGGAATACGTGAACCATGGACGAGCTTGTAACAAGACACACACTCGGTGAAATCGAAATATGTGACCAACAACGGTGTACGGAGTCATTCTTGATGTCTGGTTGGGATTGAATTGGACACGGGGATCGAGACGAGCGCAGTCGACGTTGATCGACCGTCGAGACACGCGAGCAGCCTGGTGGCCCAGCAATCACGGTCCGGGGGGGGGAGGCTCCTGCGCATGCCTCTTGGGGCTTCTTAGGCCTGAGCTTTGCCTAGGTTATGTGCTCACTGCTCATACTGGTGCGAATGTTTTTAGCTCGTGCCTCGTAAGCTCTCGCTTTAACCCGAGAAGGGGCTGATTGACCGAAAAATGGCGTAAGGAGAACCGGCTCCTCCACCGCTGCGCGCCACTGGGGGAGCCACTGGCAACCCGCTTCGACCACCTCTTCCACCCCCGGCCAACGCATTTCGTTGCGAGATTCCTTTGCCCCCAAATTCCCCCAGGACCAGGTCTGGGTCTCAGGGTGCCGATGGCGTTTTGGCAGGGTCTGGTGCGTCTGTCGGTGGGGAGAAGGGTCATCTTTTTTCACGTTTTCACCTCGACCAGACGGTGAGTGATGTGCAGCCAACGGGCCCTCCACCTTTTCCCACTCACCCGCATTTTTTGCTTTGGGCCCATGATCATTACATCGATTCCTCCCTCTCTGTCCAAACCACCTACGCCTCACTCCTCTCCTCGACTCCGACTTGGTCAACTCGTTGACGTCGCTCGTTGCTCACCTCGCGAACCTCTCTCCCGCCCGTTCACGGAAATCCTCCTGTCTCCATCACTCACTCGCTGTCGCCCATTGATCAGCTTTCCATTCTGCAGCAACTGAAACTTTGCCCTCTGCGCTTCCTGAAATCGACTGCGAGCAGTAGCTGACCCCTGCCTTCGGCTCTGCTATGCGCAGGGTATCGCAGAGCATTCAGTCTTAATGGGCGCGATCGGACTTTCGCCCTTTTGCTCGTTGCGCACGGGTTGCGGTGCTTCGGAACCCGGACAAAGATGAGCCCAATTCCGACAGTTGAACATGTCCTGCATACCTGGATTAGACGCGATGAGCCTGATAACCCAGAACAGAGGCCGAGTGACCCAAATGGACTTGTCCTTGAAGCATGGGGTGGGTATTGCCTTGTCCCCCCGTCGTCGTACAGTCCGCCCGCAAGAACAAATGGCTGACAAACAAAATCTTTTGAGAGACAACAGCGCAGGGATACATGGTCGGGTCACTCATCATCATGTCCTGCATCACATTGGCCAATATGCGGAAAGGCGTCCTGCTGCACAAGCTGATTTTGCTCGAGGTAAGTTGGGGGTTTTGCGCTCTTTCGATCCGCTATGTTCTTGCCACAGTGACTGACCAGATTAACTCGGTCTGACAGCTAGTCCTTGGGTATTGGCAAGGCTTTTTTATTCTGTTCAACCCACCTGTGTACGCCTGGTGGCTCTCCATAGCCGCTATTCCGCTCAATATCTCCTGGTGGTTGCACAATGTAATCGCCTGGATGAAGTTGAGGCCTTTCCTCAACAAGACAGTCAGTCGCCTGTTCATCGGCACCGTGATCTTGGTGATCCCATATTGGATTGTCGAGATATACGCCAACTTCACCTACTTTCACAACGTCAACAAGGTCTTTCTCAGGACACGGCCGTGGGAAGCACTTTGTCGGGATCCTTGGTGGATATTAGCGGCTTGCCTCTTGATATACAACATCAAGACCAAGTACGACTTGACATTGACGCAAATTATTCGCATCTCTCCTCGATTTGCCGTTATGCTGGGTGCTATGGTTCTCAGCATTTGCTTTATTGTTCTGGACGTCCTCTCGGTGACCTCGGCCCTCAAGTCTGTTTTACCAGTCGGCATCAACCCGTTCTGGAAGCTGTCCTTTGTCTTCAAGTGCTTGACCGACTCGGTTGTCTTGGATGATTTCAAAACAGCTCTGGACCGATTGAGGGCATTCAAAATGAGCCGGCTTGGCAGCTTCGCCATGGACGCGGCAGACCATCGCAACAAGAAGCACAAGGAGGATGTGAACAGCGCCAACAATTGGAGCACCCCGCCTCCTCCACCAAATGGGGACAAGCCTCAACCGGTCGGCCCTCTGCCGATATTGCCTAGTCCTGACAGTGACTATATCAAACCTCGGTGGGAGGAGCTGAAACATGGGGGCTCAGCCCATCTGGAAAACGGAGACTCAACTGAAGTTGCTCGGAACGGCTCGAGAGATCGCGACCCCGAGGAGAACCCTTTTGATGCGATAGATTATGCCGATCCTCAGCGAGAGTCAAGTGACACTCAAATGCTCAAAACGCAAACCAGTTGGCTGCAAAGGCGGTCCTCTGAAGAAACTTCCGACGTCGACATAGAATATGCCATGGCCGTCCGCTCGATGACCAATGACTCTATGGAACAACAACGCAATAGGAGCAAATCAATAGGAATTGCCAAGTGATCCTTGGAAGTCTGCCCCCGGAAGGGTACTTCTAGCAATGATTCTCCCACGGTTACCGTGCGGAGCTTGAAGAGTACGGCGCGATCATGACAATCTACCTCAGCCACGAGAATTCCTCATGGTCACGGCAAGTCTGGAAGATCCGCGTGCTGGACACAGTTGTGTTAAGGCTTTCAGGAAGGCCTTGCCACCTGTCCTGCGAGACTGACTTCGCTGTCGAGACGGCCAGAGAGACCTTTCCCGGAATCCGAATGCGGAGCAGTATGTGCTGTCCTTCGCAGAGCGGTAACGCAAACTGCCTTTTATGTAAAGAGCGGTGGGAATCAGACTCGATAAAACAGAGTCCTACAGGAGGAACATGCACCGACTGAGAAGAACTGGCCACAGGGCCTCGAATGAGCGTGGAGTACCCCATGTGGACTCCAGGAATGACAGACGAAGGAACGGATCTGGGAAACATTTTCTGAACTTTTGGTCGCATTGATACCCCATGAATATTGCCGAGATGTTCATACATAGCGAATTGGCCCGGACTGGAAAGAGGAATAGCATCAGCTCTACGTGCTTGGGTGTTGTCTTGTTGCATTAACGTATCTGCGTGTATACAAATAATATGTCGATGTCTGTTATATCCCTGGGAAACTCCGTGTGTTTACTGCAGCTAGCTCGAGCAGGTGTTCGAGCGGCCCCTGGACGCACCCAGGGCATCGGCTTGACTAGCCACCCTCGCCTACCCGCAATTCGACTGGCTCACGGGCACCCAACGACCCCCAACCGTTTCCTTGGCACAAGGACCCTCCCGAGCCTCCCAAACCATGCACGGTCACTTCCAACGCAGGGAACAACGCGTCTGCGGGCCCTGCGCGATTCCCAGTTGATACTTGGACAATTCGACGCCTGCAATCATCAATTTCTCCCTCTATTCTTTCAACCCTCAACCCTTCTACCTCGCCACGGACATCTGTTCTTGTCAGCATTGCGCCGGCGCTGGAGGACTTCTGATATGCTGGCAAATGTCTCAGTCGTCGAATTTGTTCTTCTGTCAGATTGATAGACCCATCCCCTATGGATGTCCTTTCGACTAGCACTCCCAACGGGGATCCCGGTCCTACGACGGTATTGGAGCCCGTGGATCCCCTCGAGGTTCTCGAACATATCGCCAATCTGATTGAGACTACGCTGGGTGCTGCAAGAAGAGAGCTCGAAGCAGTTGGCAGCCTTTTGTCTAAAGCCAGTCGTCCCGAATCCATCAACAAGTGTGCTCGATTTGCCGTGGATACTCAAATCACTCTCTATGCGCAGAAGGATGTACGGGAAGAATTGGTCAATGGTCATGACGACACTCCTAGTTAGTTACCAAAATACCCTTTGCAGGTGAAGACTTCTAATCGATGGGCAGAAATCGAGCATCTCTATACCCTTTCGTCCGAGTTGTCCCCTGCACAAACGACCGTTGCCACAATTGCCTTTCTGAAACTGTCCGGGCCTCTTGATGGACGAAAAACGATCGCCAGTCAGATCCAAGTCTTCAACCTCCCGGGTTCCTACAACATTGGTGGTGAAGCAAACACCGGCGGAGATGTTATCTCTCCCTACGAAGTAGTCTACTCGCTCCTCCACAACGTTCTCAGCCCCTACTTTGAGGCCTATACCCGACAGCATGGATCGACCAACCGGAATTGGTATGATCCTCAGGCGAAAGGTGGCATTCCTGGTGCGAAGAGAAGGATTGCGGAACTTGAAATGAGCCTGCTGCACCTGCAACAAAACACTGATATTCCGATGATACACCTGCCCATGCATGAAGTGGTTATGGGAGCCTTGCAAAATGCTGAAGCCCAAGGACTGTCTCCCTCTGTGCAATTGATCCCGTCTCACGTCCTTGAGAACACCACCGTCCTGAACAGCATCCAAAATCATGTTATCGGGTGGATCAAGTCGATACAGAATATCACCAAATTGACCAAGGATGTCAAGGACGCGACCCCCACACAGACTTCTGCGGCGCAGGAGATCAATTTCTGGCTATCTCTGGAGGCTTCATTGAACAAACTAGTGGAAGAAATAAGTCTCGACCATGTCCGTTTGACATTGGAGATTCTGAAGAAAGCCAAGCGGCAACAGGCGGTCGTGAGTTTTGAAACCGACACCGGCTGGAGAGACGCCCTCGAAGTTGTGCGGAACTACAACACTCTCATGAGAGACTTTCCCCTAGATGAATTGTCTTCGGCAACGTCGCTGCAAAAACTGGCGGAGGCTCTTGTCCTGATCTTTAACCACCTGAACAAGAAATGGAGGGTTTGCAACTACCCCATTCGCCGAGCACTCAGACTGGTGGAGGGTATCTCAGAGGACATGAATACTCAGATTCTTCGTCTCCTTCAAGGCCGCTCGATCATGTCACTCAGCTGGGACGAGTTTACCGACCTGATGAACTCGGTCAATCTGGTTTGGGAGACTTGGGACGACCAGATGAAAAGTTTCACAGCTGTTGCTCGGGAGATTACACGGCGCAAAAACACCGACTTCGTGCCCGTGAAGATAGTCCCTAGACACGCTCAAACTCAGGAGCGACTGCGGTACGTCTACCGCTTCCGAAACGACCACGAGCAACTGCGCCGTACAATCATCAACGTACTCGGATCCAAAGCTCACGCGACCGACGCGACGCGACCAGCGGAGGACGGCGGGGCTGCTATCATCGAAGAGCTAGGCGATGTTGACGCCGTTGAGGAAGTCGCCGGTGCCTACGATATTGTCCGCCACGTGGATGTGCTAGACGTGTCTCCAAAGGGAACGGAAATTTGGGTCCAGGCTGAAATGCAGTATACCGAACGGACGTCTCGAGTGGAGGACTCGATCATCACAAGGCTTAGAGATCGCCTGGGCAAAGCGAAGACGGCTAATGAGATGTTTCGAGTTTTTGAAAAATTCAACGCCTTATTGGTCAGACCGAAAGTTCGAGGCGCCATCGCAGCATATCAGACTCAGCTCCTGGACAATGTCAAGAACGCCATTGCCTCTCTTCACGAAAGATTCAAGCAGCAGTACGGTGGCTCCGAAGCACAGATGATGGCTCAACTTCGTGACATCCCTCCCGTGGCAGGTGCAATCCTCTGGGTTCGTCAAATCGAAGCACAGTTGAACAACTATATGTCCAAGGTCCAGGCAGTCTTAGGAGAAGACTGGATGCTACATACAGATGGGGAGAAGTTGGAAGCGGAGAGCAATCTGTTTCGAAAGAAGCTCACCACCAGAGACATCTATGAAGCGTGGCTTAGGGATGTTCAGGCGAGGGACATTTCCGTCACCGGCAGGCTCTTCTCTATTTCCCGGAGTCGTACAGCAAACGGCGCTATGGAGCTCATTGTGAACTTTGACAATCATGCGATCTCGCTGTTCAAAGAGGTCAGAAATCTGAGTTGGTTGAACTACCAAATTCCCCACCGGATAGCAACAACCGCGAAACAAGCTCAGCGCGTGTATCCGTACGCCTTGAGTCTTATGGAGAGTGTTGCAGGGTACTTTTCCGCCGTTCGAGCTATTCAGGAAATCCCCAACATCGCACCTCTGATGGCAGGCTATGAGAAGGAAGTGCAAAGCCTCTTCGCTACTGGCATAAAGTTACGATGGGATTCCTTCATCCATTCCTACGAACTGCACATTAAAGGAAAAGCCACTACCAACGACTCGGCCCATGTGCAGTATGTTCGTGACTTGGCCACGGCGGTCACAACTCTGCAAAGCAAAACCGCGACCGTACGAAGCCTTGACCAGAGCATCCAAGTTGCTCTTTCTGAGATGAAGAGCTGTCCTTATACTGCCAAGAATTTCCAGGCCCAAATGGACGTTATCCAAAACGCTGTGGACAAGATGAATTTGGAAAATTACTCAAATCTCTCTAATTGGGTGTTTCAATTAAACCTGCAACTTCGCCATATTTTCGAGGAACGATTACGAGCTGCGCTAAAGTACTGGATCGCATCTTTCACCTCCACGGACGAGCAATACCCAGCCTCAGAGGAAGCAATGCACCACGTTCAGTTCCCCCTTACACAAATCGAGATAATGATGAACAATCAAACAGTTTTTGTCGACCCTCCTCTCAACTTTGTCAGGGCCTCTTGGGTACTTCAGCTAGAAGATTGGCTGGAGGTCTTGTGTCACTTACCGCAGGTCAGAGCTTCTCGGTACTCAGTGACCGCGGATCTTGGTTCACCACAAGCAACACCATCATTCACAGATCTACCGTTGCAGAATGTTGAGGCTCTGCAGGCCGCCTACAGCGCCATCGATACTAGGATCGACAATATGGCCGTTTATCTTGAGGAGTGGTACACCTACCAGAATTTGTGGGATCTCCGGAGCGATCAATTACATGAAAGCCTTGGTGATGATCTTGCCCAATGGCACCAACTGCTACAAGAAGTTCGCCATGCACGTTCAACATTTGACACCTCCGAGGGGCGCAAGAGCTTTGGCAGCGTTGTCTTCGATTATGAGCAGGTCCAATCGAAAATCACACAGAAATACGATCAATGGCAGTACGAGATAACCAGCAAGTTTGGTGGCATTCTTGGCAATCGTATGGCGGAAGTGTACACTGATATGAAACGATCGCGCCTCGAGCTCGAAAACCACTCCCTCGAGGCGTCATCAACGGCGCAGGCCGTTGCATTCATTACCATCGTCCAACAATGCAGACGAAATGCGATGATATGGGGTCCCGAAGTCGAGATCTTTAGGCAAGGCCAGACAACCCTTTCGCGGCAGCGGTACAATTTTGCTAGTGACTGGCTCTCTGCAAACCAAGTGAGCGACGAATGGGATGCTTTCGACGAGATATTGAATCGTAAAAGCAAGGTCGTTGAAGATCAGACGGATGCACTGCGAGCCAACATCATTGCAGAAGATCGCGTTATCGGCACCCGCATTGCTGATGTGGTTGCTCAGTGGACGGACGAGAAGCCGGTTTCCGGTACAATCCCACCTGGAGAAGCTGCCGAGCTCCTACGCGTCTACCAAGTCCGTATGGAGAAGTTGCAAGCAGAGGCCGAAACCGTCTCACGAGCAAAAGAAGCCCTTGCGTTGCCATCTACTCGGGATGATTCTCTTACTGCTGCCTTGGAAGAAGTGAGCGACTTCAAGTCTGTCTGGTCCGCCCTGTCCACGATATGGCAAAGCATCAACGAACTCCGCGACATGTTATGGACCAGTTTACAACCACGAAAGCTTCGTCAATCATTGGATGGCTTAGTGAAGATGACGAAAGAGATGCCCAGTCGAATGCGGCAGTATGCGGCTTTCGAGCATGTCCAGACGGTTCTCCGACAGTTGATCAAGGCAAATCCACTTCTAAACGACCTCAAGTCCGATGCCATTCGGGAAAGACACTGGTTAAAGATCTACAAAGCCTTGAAGCCCAACAAGAGATATTCTGAGGTGTCGATGACCTTGGGGGATGTCTGGGATCTTCAGTTGATCGCGAGTGAAGCAACTATCCGGGACATTATCGTCCAAGCAAGAGGAGAGCTGGCCCTCGAAGAGTTCGTAAGGCAAGTCCGAGAGACTTGGCAAAGCTACCCCCTTGATCTGGTCAACTATCAGAACAAGTGTCGACTCATTCGAGGC